AAGTAGTAAATCTACTTCGAAATATTTCGCCACCGTTGGGATTTGGAAAATTCTGTCCTCATCGAACGGCGTGCAAGGTATACTCTATTGTTTAGATATTGTCATACATATATGTATATACAATATTCAATGTCTCACATTCATTTATCTTTCACCTATCTTCATTCGACTTGTGTCGTCTTTTGTTATCTTGTTCATTTCGGTTATTCATGTGCTTTTGTTGTTGTTTCATTCAGAGGACGTATCAAACATCTCGATGTAATCACACTATTGAGAAAAATCTCACCACCACTCGGCTTTGGCAAACTTTGTCCACATAGAGTGGCTTGTAAGGTACTAGTACATTGTCTTCTTTATCATAAAAGCTAACTTTCATTCTGCACGCACCAAAATATATCTTGAATACTTGTCTTAATCTTCTCTTTCAACTGTTTGGTAATCTTCATATTAGAAATTGGTATCGATGAATATGCCATTGAATCAAGATGGTACTGTTATGTTCAATGCCACACTTTTTGCACTCATTCGTACATCATTAAAAATCAAAACCGATGGAAATATCGACCAAGCGAATGAAGAACTTCGGGCGGTTATACGTAAGATTTGGAAGCGAACACCTCAGAAATTACTCGATCAAATTATTCCTCCGCCGGGCTCTGACGATGACGTGACGGTGGGCAAGTTCTACGCTACATTTCTTATTCAAGATTACTTTCGTCGGTTCAAAAAACGTAAAGAACAAGCAGCGAAACAGGTGACACTGGGCTTTTCCGGTGCCAGTAAGAATTCAGTGGCATTACAAGCAGGATTGCGACAATTGCATGATTTGGGCCCCGAAATCCGACGAGCCATATCAGGAGATTTGGATGATGAAGAAACATTCAATCGATTCTGGCGTGAAGAAGAACCACAACATCACGTAAGAGAGAACTTTTTTCTATCGAATAAACATCGATCGATTGTTTTAGCGAGATCATTCATTATTTGGTACAATGATTGATGCATTTACACGTGCTATACGTAAGCCACAGCAAGTACTTGGCTATGTGCCTGGCTTTTCAGCAACAAATGTTGTCTCACCACCTCCACCACCAGGTACACGTCTTCGACGTGAGCCAGACGGACCAGTATCAGTGAAAATTGAAGGTGATCCCAATTTTCATACGCCATCACCGTTTCGCATCGGGTAAAATGCTCATCTATTTTGCATTTATATTGTTTCATCAGTCATTTCTTCTTATTTACAGAGCTATTACTGCTGAACGACGTGGCATCGAACCAGACAGTTATGTGTTTCAAGTACCGGAACATGAAGAAGGGCCTTTGGGACCGTTGACATTAGAACGTCGAGGAAATATTCGCAAAGAGAGTAGTTTTCGTTATCGGTAAAAGATCTTCGCTATTTTCTTCCATGAAATTATTCTCTAATCTCGTTAGGGAACCGTCGATCGCATCCGATCAAGAACCCGTACCACATCCTCGTCGTCGTTCTGTATTAGCACGCATATTCGCTAAGCGTAAAAATGATAGTCAAGAATCAGCTCTAGTCAAAGGTTCAACAAGTGTTGATGATTCAAATCAACCGCAAACAGCTGTAGGAGTTTTTCTCTTTATCTTCAGAAAAAAGAAGCGTTTCGTTCTTTTTCTAGACGGTAAATCGCGCATTGATCGTCGAAAATGGCAATACCATACGTAGTAAGTTTTACACTATCTTGCAATGATCGTTGCATGTTTATTCAATTTAGCATGTCTTGTGAATGTTGTTTGTGTTTTTGTTTCTTATCATTCATAGCCCGACTTACTTCTAGCACAGACAATCAATCCGATTGGATCCCTCACCCTGCACCCCGTCGCATCTACTATCCAACAACGTCAACCACTAGCATCCACACATATGTATAATACGAATCACTACTATCAAGGTCAGCACATGCTTGTTATGTCTCGGTTACAAATAAACATTCTCTAAACTTTCTAGATCCACCAAGTCGAACTCCCACGCGACCTTATTCAATGCAATTACTAGATAGAGATAACGTCGAAGAATTAGTCAATGCCTGTCTGGACACATCCGGTATCGATCGACGGTATAGCGCATTAATCTTAGAAGAATTACGCGATTGTACAAATCTGACTCATGATCAATTACGACAAGCAGCACTTGAACTCACAAGACAGATTCGTGCAAATTCTCCTCAGTATGCATCCGTTACATCCTCTGCATATGATTCACCAGCAGCAACTAATCTCCCATCATCTGATGAACGTCTCTATGAGTCATCTAATCGTTATGCTAATGTGTGATTGATTTTCATTATGCTTGTTTTGTTTTCTTTCTGTTTTTTAATCACGGTGCTCAGTTTGTTTCCTGTATCCATCTCCATGAAGTTTCGCATCTCTCTTCTCTTTTTTTTTCTCTCCTAGTTAATCGTCTTCTCTACTCTACTAACTTTGTGTACAGTACTCTCTGGGCGTGCTAGATGCTAGAAAAACTTCATTCAATCTCTATTTCATAAGTTATAAATCAATGTGTGATTCATACTAAGTGTGTTTTCCAAAAGTTTATTTTCTGTCTTCTATTTCAACCCCCGAAGAATACTTCCGTTTTGTTATTGGCAAAATCAACAGTATAAACTTATCTTTTTCACCTCATCGCCTGCACAGTTCTTTTCTTTTGTTTTGGATCTGTTTGAAATATGAATAAAATAGAAGATTCAAATTGATTTTAATAAACTGCCAAACCGATAATAAGTATCAAAAATGATTATGTAGCCGTTGGGCCACAGCTGCGATGGCCGAGCGGTTAAGGCGTTGGACTTGAAATCCAATGTGATCTTCACGCGTAGGTTCAAATCCTACTCGCAGCGCTCCGTTTTTTCTCTCGCTCTCTCTCTCTCTCTCTTTTTTCTTTCTTCCGAACAGAATGTGCGTCATTCTCACACAAACACATGTCGATAATCGTAATTACATTGATGTCGAACATCTTTTTCTGTTTCGTTTTCTTTCTTAGTATGACAACAGTTTTGTTTTTCACAAAAAAAGATACACAAATCGAACAGGTGGTGCGATAACATTTAACTGTTTGATATGTCACTATCTACTTTTCCTCCATGTTAGAATATCCACCCACCATCACAGGATACTCAGCATGATGACAACAACAGCAGTTGGCTACAACTAGAAGGAAGACATATTGATGATTAATCCTTTTATTTTGATTTTTTCGAGAAAATGAGCTTGATTACGTAAATTGTCTTCGTTCGTTCGTTCGTTCGTTTCTTTACATAATAGTTAATACATTTTGATTGAATCAGAACGAACAGGATATCAGTAGTGCTTCACAGAACAATTGAAACTGTTCATACGTACAACTAATGTCCTTAATCTTTATTCTTTTGAGTCTGATTTCATAAAAATGTCAAATTTTTTCATTTATTCATTCATCTCTCCATTGTTAACCTTCACATTTGCTCACATACATGCATGCACATGTGAAACCTTCATATTTTATTCAATGTACGCGTAAGTAAAGAGTGAAGAAAAAAGACTAATGATTATAGACATACGGCAGCAGCTTGAGTGTCAGTAAATAGGCAATGAAAATGAATTCGATCCGTAGATATACAGAGATGTGTGTATATCCACCGTCTTCTGTTCATATAACAAGAGCAACTAATCCTTCATAAAGACATTCATCGTCTCATCATAACAAAAACAACAGCGAACGTAAAGGGTTATGTATATATACACATGCATATGTATATTGAGTAGAGTTCACGGGCCAAATTTTGCACATTTTCTTTTCATCTAAAGGTGATTTGAGATGCTATTGCTTATTCATCGTATTAAAACGATGAAATATTTACTTGGACATGACAAGACGAATCTAATGATGTAATATTTCGTCTAAAATCAAATATTTGAGTGAGTAAAGCTTGTCGTTCGCACCAACACTCTCGGGTCTCTCGCTTTTATTTCTTTTCTCTTTTAAGAATTATTCTGAGAAATCAATGGTGACCTCTCGTTCCCATTTGTTTTATTTTCATCGTGCGATGCAAGTCGTAGCAGCTCTATTGTTTGTTGATATATGATTATGTCTTGCTCTACCCCACGACTATAGTCTATACCTGTCATAGATTATCAGAATTAGTAATTGTTATAATCAAGAGTCGTTCTTTCTTTCTTTTTTTTTCTCCGGCAACTGTATAGTTGAGTATAGAGATGGACAGACAAGCTGGCAAGGAAGCAGAGAAAGAACGAAAGAAGAGTCATATAAACTATTTCCGACGCCAGACCGACTCTTTTCTTTCATCGGTATGTATTATATATATAAATACGTATATGTATTTAACGATATGGTAAGAAGAAGAAAAAAAGAAGCTGATGAAGAAAGCAAAGAAGAAAATCGACCAGAATGCGGACTGCTTGCGAATGGATATGTATATATACATATATATATATATATCTATACTACTAGCGTTTGGAGTCATAGTCAGCGCATGAGTTATAAGAGAAACGCGAGAGAAGAGAGGGAGATGAGAAGAGAAAAGGAAATAAATAAATACATAGTATATAGACGTATATACGCGCGCGCGCCAGCCAAAAATGCAAAGTAGACGAAGAAGTAGGAGCGACTGTCGTTGGCGCGCGTCGATTATACATATGTTATCAGTGCACTTCTAACGGAGAAAGAATGGTTCTCTTCTTCCGAAAAAAAAAAAGAGAAAGGCGATGGCATCAGCAGAGAAATTGTTGTTGGTATAAACAGGCATGACGATGATGATGCGGTTATTTCCATATACATTCATTTCTCTCACTCTTTTTTCCTTAATCTCGATACGTCTACACATCTCGTTCGTATATGTTCATATGTTCATCAATTTTAGATACTTTCACTACACTTTCGTCACTGATTGATGTGATCGATTTGAAAACTGTATTAAATATATGTGAAGACGTTCATATTCAATATCAATCGGTGACACAAGAGATAAAGAAAAATGAACAACGACCACCATTATCAACATCATCCACGAACGGTCATACCCGTGACGGTAAATCCAAGCGATGATCAACGTTTCATACGTTTTCGCTCATCGGACGGACCATCAAATGATACACATGATCGAATGAGTACACGTATGCGTGATTTTGAAGATGAATGTCGCCGATGGCGAGAAAAATTTTTCAATGAATCAAGAACTGAGCCCAGCTCGTTTCCATCGTCGTCTCTCGTGCATTCAAAACCGCGAATGCGCGTCGATTTTCCTGATTTTCCTGAGTTCGGTGGAGTTGATTGGCCAACCTTTCGAGGATCGGCATCTGGCATAGGCTCAACTGCGAATACATCGGGTCAACGTGCATTCATCGAAGAAGACAATGACGGACGAAAGAAATATAAAATTCAATTTGATATTGGAGAATTTCGTCCCGAAGAATTGAATGTCAAAGTTGATGGTCGAATGTTAATAGTTAAAGGTGATCGTCAAGTCAAAGTTGGCAATGCGACTGAATCAAAGCAATTTAATCGTGAATTAACTTTACCCGAATTCGTCGATGCGAAAACTCTGCAATCTTATCTCGCCGAAGACGGTCAATTAACAATGGAAGCACCCGTTCTAATGGATCGTGTCTATAACGATGCCGGCTCCGCTATAACATTTCGTCAATCAAGTCCAGGTCGTCTTGTCGATACGACATTTCATGGTGGACGTCAACCATCAAGTCTTGGCATAGGAGCTAATCAATCAAATTCCTACTCATCATCGTCGTCTTCATTTCGACAAGAAAGCAGCAGTAGTAATACTGGTGGATCGAACAGTTTTCTTCGTCATAGTCCGTTACGTGATCAGTACTCATCAACAAGTTCGACATCCACTCTTCTCGGAACTAATGCAGGTGTTAATCTTCCACCTCCGGTCACATTTTCAACGATCACATCACGACCAGAATTTTCGAACAGTGATCGCAACGACGGCACAAAAAATGTTACATATAAATTTAATCTAAGTGAATTCGCGCCTGAAGATATTGCCATCCAAGTGAACGATACCATGTTGAAAGTGAGTGCCTTGAGACAAGAACGTGATGGACGTACTTCAAATCATCGAGAATTCAAACGAGAAATCGGTAATTCTTTTCGTTCGATATCGATTGCATTCTTATCCTTCTTCTCTTCTCTTTAAGGTTTACCTGATGGTGCAGATGCCAAGAAATTAACAAATACACTCAGTGCCGATGGTATTCTAACAATTCAAATTCCTGTACGCGACTATCGTCCACCATTAACACCTACACATCAACCACATCAATTTAATCTCCCTACTAATTTGAGTTCGAATGATTCATACTCAGTTGGCGATCAACAACTCAAACTTACATTTGATTTAAGTGGTTATAAACCTGATGATGTTAGTGTGAAAGTTAATGATAATGTATTAAAAGGTAAAAGATCGATTAGATATGTGAAGCGAATTCAATCTCCTTGTTGTTTTAGTTCAAGCAGTACATATCGACAACACACGCGGCAATCAAATCAATCGCGAATACATGCGTGAATATGTTCTACCGGATTGGGTCGATGTCGATAATCTGCGTGCTAAAATGAGTGAAGATTCAACACTAACTGTCGAAGTACCTATCCCACACGATCGTGTACCTGCTTTCAATCGTCAAATTAAAATTACGCAATAGAACTCCTAGTCATCAATTGCTGCATTTCTTTCTCTCTGTGTGTATTATAAGTTAGATTGATCCTTGTCGTTTCTTTTACTTTCTATCTGTCTTATCATTTATTCTATATTACCTAGACGAGAGAACGTCGGATGGTAGTATTTAACATTGAACAGTGTTGATTTGCCATACGTATCGTTCTTCTTTCTCTTTTGCTTTATTGATTTCTTTCTCTTTCTATTTTGCTGTGTCGAGAAAAAGAAGAATATCGTGTTGTTGCTGCCAAACTGTTTTGTTACATTTAGCGTGAGTAATCAATGAAGAATATACATATATAGATACACAAAATATACACCTTTTCTCACTGCTATTACTTTGTTGAACAATTTAGACGTTTTTCTTTTCGATACAATAAATTGCCCATTTTATTCGAATGTTAGTCTCATTATTTATTCATGAGCGAAATTACTTATTTCCCTAGACTAGTACGTCTAGGTGTGAACATAATCATTCACCTATGTCCTGTATTCCCTCGAGAATAATGTTCGTAAATCGAGATGAAAATGATAGTTGGCTGTGTTGAACGATTGAATAGATAAGAATGTTCAAATTCGAGCGGAATTACTGAGCGACTCGCGGAAATGCCATTGCAGCTGTGCCGTAATTAATATCTGCCATTGTCAATGTCACGACCGGTTGAACTCTTAACCGGCCACACAATCGTCTTCTGAGATGAGCAAATTTTCTTTTTACCTCTTGATTTAGTTTTGGTAATGAGCTGACAATAACAAATGGCAACAATTGATTAATAAAACAACCAACGTAATAGAAATAATCATTCTGGACGTCATATAAAAATGTGGGTAACCATAAAAGTTGAATACAACCAACGATTACGGCAGGAGAGGCAAATATTAAGAAGAGAATAGAAATGAACGCAAGTTGAAGAATTAAACGTCGATGACGCTTCCATCTCACTCGCCGTTGTCGACGAAGTTTTTGCCACAAAATTCGTTGAAAAAGTAGCAAATTTGCGAAAAATATAATCAGTATCGGTGTGCCACAGTGAAAGAGCCAATCAAATGTACCTAGAAGTGGATCGCTATATAGATAGCAAGGTCCTCCGCAGTAGAGCAATGAATAATTCCAGCTATTCGTGCACTGATCTGGGAAAAATACGAAATGCAAATAGAATAGCGGCGTGTAAATTAAGCATACTGTTAATGGTAGATAATGAAAGACAATTAACGCTAATTTTTTCTTCATTAAATGACTATGGAAAACAAATAGATGTCTTTCAATACAACACCAAGTGACGAGATCAAGATTGACACAATATAACGAATAATTCAACCAATTCCAAGTAACACAGAAGGAATATGTTGGAGAAATGACGATGCCCCACCGTAAGTAGTACAAATGGAATATAATATCGGTGGTCTTTTGGATAAAACTAACGATGAGTAAACATAATGTGACATGATAGTGTGGAGCATTGATAATCTCTTTTCGCCAATGACGAAAGAAATAAACGAACACGAATATGTCACAAAGGATCGACGGTGCAAGTGTTGTTTGCAAAATCGAGTATTTGACTAGACGAATACGTTCAGCAGATGTCGACATGGAAAGTTTTTTTTTGTAAAGTAAACACTGAAGAGCAAAGTGCAGTCCTCGATCTCTCTCAAGAAGAGTTAGCTAATACTTACTGAAGTTGCTTTCCTATAATCTTTTTCATATGAAATTGCCTGAAGACTTTTTATACATTTTGAAAATATTTTAGATCAGCTTTATTAAGAAAGAGGCTTGCCTTCCTGCTTTCTATCTTGTGAAATGTTTAGCTGCTTTTCATGCGCGTGTCTAAAAGTAGATTTGTCTCTCAAAAATGTCTCTTGTAATCGGATCTGACTTTTGTCGGCTCAATTTACAAAGAACTTTCTGAACATCCGCAGTTGTTCTAGTTTTTTGGAGGAGAAACGTGATTTTCATTCAACGTTGACAACAGATACGAGAAATACAATTAAAAACCAATTGACATCATTATAGATTTGTTTGTCTTTGGGTACAGTTCAGTCAAAAACATTTTTGAAACGTTCTCTATTGTTTTAACAAGGAAATAAAAGTAACAAATGAGAAGATTTCATTGATATATTAAAAAGAATCATATTCGACAGTACGACGCTATTGCAATGCTAGCGTAGAAATAAGAATTAGTTGAATTTTCGAAGATAAGACAAGAGCAGCGAATAATGAGGTGGTAAAACTGCATAATCAATCGAATAATCTCTAAAGTTGAATATATGAATAGCAGATACTATCGCAAAAGATTAGAGAATAATTCAGCTATTCGAACAAATTCTAATACAGTATATCAGAGATAAGTAGAATGTCAATATAGATAGAGTAAAGTGATTGTTATTGAAATGGAATTAAATATCCTTTCTATTTCGTCATTTGAAAATGACAAATGAACATGTGTCGTTCGACATGAAACCATGACGAGAAGTAGGTCTTTAATTTACGGATGGAGAATTATCTGATGATCATATTAACTAACCTTGCTCTTTGTTGTTAACTTTTCATGATAACATTTGATGACAAAATCATGTGCTTTTTCTTATCTGTATGCGACCTATAACCCCTGTCAAGAAAGTCTTCATACAAAATGTGTGTTCAGTTTTTAATCACTCCAATACAAAGTAGCACAACGCACAGCAGGCGGGTAGATTCAGAATTTGATGCTCTTTCTGAATATATGATCAAAAGTTTTCATATCATGTCTTCTTGCGAGTAATGGAAAAACTTTGGAATACCTGGAAAAATTGGTTTGTACAAAGAACGTGATCTGAAATGTTTCGGTACAATGTTTGTTTGATTTTAGTCAATTTCAAACGATTTACACTAATAGAAAATGGTTCGCTATAATCAGAATATTATGCTCTTTACGAATTCGAGCTCCAAAATTAGATGCCTATTTTTGCTCTCTAGCAGTCAGCGAATCTTTGAAGGGTAGCAACATTGATTTGTAAAGAAAACGCAAATTTTTCAGTATTTTTATTGACGAAGGTGAACAAAAACGTTGGAGTGAGTAATTGTATAGAGCAAAGAATCATTTACAAAATCTGGTATTACTTAAGATATAGACTCGAGACTGTAAATACTTTTCCAGCAATCAATTTCTAATGACAAACAAACTGTTATGACGCGAAATTCGGCATATCCGAAAAATAAAATCTTAAGCACCTCCGCATAAAAGAAAAAGTGAAATCAATTGCTGAATTTTGTAGACTAAACTTAGTTTTACAAAACAGGCATACCCACAAAAGTTTTCAATTTCAGTTTTGTGTCAGCTAATAAACATTGATGAAACCCATGTTTGTACAACGTATGTTCTTTACTGTTCGGAAGATTTTCTCATTACTTTCCAACAAAACATGATATGAAAATTTTTGATCATATACTCAGAAAGAGCATCAAATTCTGAATCTACCCACTTGATGTGCGTTGCGCTACTTTGTACTGGAGTGATTAAAAAGTCAATAAATATTTTGTACGAAGACTTTCTTGACAGGGGTTATATGATTTTTAATGGGATATATTTTCAACATTCTTGGTAAACGGAGATTATGATAAGCAGTTTGACTAGTGTTTCGAAAGCAAGTGAAAATTCAAACATAGTTCCAGAAAAGCTCGGTAGACGTCGATGTATTGATGCTAACAAGTGGCAAAATGTGGTGATAGTCTGGTTAGAAAATCGCACTGATCCTACTGATGAATACTTTCAACAAACAATTGAACAACTGGAGAAGGATGTTCAATATATTGATATATTTATGGATAATGATGAATGCATTGAATTCATACTTAGCAATGAAGATAAGATCATATGTTTGATCGTATCTGGATCAATTGGGAAATATCTTCTGCCTTGCGTACACGACATTTTTCAATTAGATTCTATTTTCATCTACGCTGTTGACGAGCAATATCGCAAACCATGGATGGAAGGTTATAGTAAGATCAAAGGATGTTTTGCAGACATGACATCGCTGTGCAAAACTCTGAAAGCGAGGGTGGAACAATGCAAACAGAATACCATGCCAATAAGTTTCATACCATCTGGTAAAAATTTCTACCAACTCGATCCATCGTTCATGTACACTCAAATAATCAAAGAGATTTTGTTGACAATCGAATTTGAAGACAAGCACATTAGGGAATTCATTGCTTGTTATCCTGATGCGCTAGTTGATGAACAAAACGAAACAAGTTCCAATGAAGAACAGATGCGTAGTTACCATAAAAAAACTCCAGTGTGGTGGTATACGAAAGGAAGTGTTTTATATTCTATCGTGAATCGTGCTTTACGAATGTTAGATGGGGAGATGATCACACAAATGGGATTTTTTATTACTGATCTTCATCGACACATTGAACAAATATATAAAGCGCAATATGCGAACTATTTATGTGAACCAAAGTTTATTGTTTATCGCGGACAGGGACTATCTGAAGCAGATTTCAATGAACTGATGAAAACAAAGGGTGGATTACTGTCATTCAACAGCTTCTTGTCCACTAGTAAAGACCGTGATGTATCGTTGGCTTTCGCAGAAAGTAATTCAATCGATCATGATATGATAGGTATTATTTTCGTTATCGAGATCGATGTTACTCAAGCGACCACTCCATTTGCTTGTCTTCGAGGCATTAGTTATTTTCCCGACGAAGATGAGCTGCTATTTTCGATGCACAGTGTGTTCCAAATTAATGATATCCAACGACTGAATAAGAATGAAAGACTTTATGAAGTCAATTTGACTCTCACTGGTAATAATAATGCAGAATTTCGTACTTTGACTAATTTTATCAGAAAGGAAAGTTCTCCAACTTCAACCGGTTGGCACCGATTAGTCTTCATGCTGATTACCTTGAACCAAACTGATGTTGCTGAAGCAATTAACAAGGAGCTTCTTGAGGAGAAATCGAATGAGGCTAGTCACATATCTATCTATCATTCCATGGCAGTTATTAAATACAAGCAAGGAGAATATCAAGAGGCTGTACGATTTCATGAGAAAGTCATTTCAATTGAACAGCACTTGCTTCCTCCTACTCATTCTGCTTTCGCTGAATCCTACAATAGCATCGGCGCGGTTTATCACCGTATGGGTGACTATCCGAAAGCGTTCTCAGCATACGAAAAATCTCTCGCTATCCGACAGGAATCACTTCCTTCTGATCACATTGATTTAGCGCTATCGTACAACAATATTGGCGCTATATATCATGATATGGCTGCATACGAAAAAGCACTATCAGCATACGAGACGTCTCTCTCAATTCAGCAGAAGTCACTTCCTCCTACTCATCCTCGGCTAGCTTTCACTTACAATAACATTGGTTTGCTGTATCATAGTATGGGCGATTATTCGAAAGCGCTCTCAGCTTATGAAAAATCTCTCGGCATTCAGCAGCAATCACTGCCTGCTAATCATCCTGATTTGGGCCAATCGTATAACAATATTGGCGTTGTGTACAATCACACGGGTGACTATCCAAATGCTCTTACCTATTACGAAAAAGCTTGTGGAATTTGGCAACAATCACTTCACTCCAATCATCCTTATTTAGGTCGATCGTACCTGAACATTGGTTCGGTGTATGACAACATGGGTAACTATTCAAAAGCGCTATTAGCTTTTGAGAAAGCTCTTGTAATTGGACAACAGTTATTTCCGTCTGACCCTATTCTTTTGAGTTCGTGTTATGGCAACATTGGCGCCGTGTATGGGCACATGGGTAGTAGTTCAAAAGCACTCTCAGCGTATGAAAGGTGTCTGGCAATTCAACAGCATTCACTTCCATCTAATCATCCTTGTTTGGGAATGTCCTATCATCACATCGGTTCGGTGTATCATAGTATGGGTAACTATCGAAAAGCACTCTCAGCGTACGAAAAAGGTCTTGTAATTGTCAGTCAGACACTTCCTCCTACTCACCCTAGTTTGGCTGAATCCTACAATAATATTGGTACTGTGTATCACGACATGAACAATTATGAGAAAGCACTCTCCTTCTATGAAAAAGCGCTTGAAATTCAACAACAATCGCTTCCTGACACTCATCCCACTTTAGCTTCATTGTACAATAACATCGGTGCTTTGTATGGACACATGTCGGATTATCAAAAAGCACTCTTCGCTTTTGAGAAATCTCTCGCTATCTGGCAAAGATTACTTCCTTATAATCATCCTCAATTGGCTACACATTACAACAACATTGGCACCATATACCGTCACAAAAACGAGTATGCAAAGTCACTCTCAGCTTATAAAAGGGCTCTTACGATCGTGCAACAATCATCCTACTCGAATCCTCAGGATTTAGCTTTATCATTCATGAATATTGGCCATCTATATCATGATATGGGTGACTATTCAAAAGCACTTTCCTACTATGAAAAAGGCCTTGCAATTCGACGACAATCGCTTCCTGACACTCATCCCAATTTGGCTTTGTCGTACAAAAGTATAGCTATGGTGTATGAAAAAATGAATAATTATTTGGAAGCCTATCTATTCTACGAGCAAGCTGTGGAAATTGCTCAACAATCGTTACCCTCATGCCATCCCGATATCCAAATTTACAAATACAAAATTGAAATTATAAAAAAGAAACTATAGTTTTTATTTACTTCTACTTTTGTCATAAAGAACAAACACGAGAAAGTTTTTAAAACTAATCTAAATATAAATTACATCAGCTTTGCTACATAAAAAACACACCGATGAAGATTTATTATTTATTGTGTATAATAGTCACCACTAATTTGCCCATGGTTAAATTATTTTCCATGTATTTATGAGCTTCGGCGATCTGTTCCATGGGCCATGTTTTGTCAACAATAACTTTGAGTCTACCATCGACAAAACCATTCATGATTTCATCTTCAAACTGCCTGATCAAATTCGTTTTATAATTGATCGATCGGGCTCGCAGAACAGTACCACACAACGTAATACGTTTCTTCAACAAAGTTGCAAACGATAGTTTATCCGCTTCGGGTCCACTCAGATGACTATGAACAATCCAACGTGAATCAACACCAAGAACGTCTTGATTGGCTTGCACGTAGTCTTTGCCAATATTATCATAAATAATATCATAGCCTAAATAAATAGAACCAACATGTTCGAACTCAGCTGGTATTCATTAGATAGTAATGAAACACACTTCAATGTGATGCAACCAATAACACTGCATAAATGTACATGCAAATAAGCATGGAAAACGCACGAGTTTCATACCATCTTTGTTCAAGCTTCGAGCGAATTCAAGTAAAGTATTCGTCCTGAAACGTTTTTTTTCGTGAAAACAACGATGAGAAGCAAGAGATTGATTACCAAGGTCCATGAGTGTAATTGATTCCCTTGTCAGCACCGAGTTTTTTACAGTAGGCAACTTTTTCATTGCTTCCAGCGGTGGTTGCTATTTTAGCACCGAAAAACTTCGCAATTTGAATACCCGCAGTGCCAACACCACTAGCACCGGCATGAATGAGAACAAGATCATTCCTTTTTATATTTCCAATCACTCTCAAACCTTGAAATGCAGTAAGAAATGCTTCTGGTATACCTAAAATACCCGACCTATTTTATCTACCAAAATACAATCTCGAGCACTGACCAGCAGCATCAACTACCGAAATTCCTTCCGGAATCCTCATCGTACAATCCATGTGCACGGCAACATACTCTGCATAGCCACCATTGGTAACTAATACCATCACCTGAGAAGAACAATCACAACTAATGCATCAACGAGTTGTATGATCTTATACTTTATCGTCGATCTTCCATTTGTCTTTAGCTTGCTCACCGACATCAACAATCTCTCCAGCTGCTTCTAAGCCGATAACATCTGTCACATTGAGTGGCGATGGACATTGACCCTTACGTTGTACAATATCCACTCGATTAACGCCAAATGCATGGACTTTTATCAATATTTCATCATCCTAAACAAACGAACTCGGTGAGATCAACCACTGTTTCTATTTACAAAATTATTTATACTTTTATTTTTGGCACATCTGTTTCGCCAATATACAAATTATCTAAGTGTAAGAATGATCAACAAAAACACATGAAATGCACTTCAAATCACCGCACACGAGCACCTACCGCGATCACCGAAATCTTTCAATAGGACAGCTCGCATTCTTTCTGGCACTGACATTCTTTTTTTTCTACAAAAAGAAAACAGACATCTCACAAAATATGATCTAATAGGGCCTTGCGGATATGTATTTCAATCCTTATTAGGAAAACAATCAATGACAACAAAAAGAAACAGAACATATTCGATCTACGCATAAGGATGAAGGCGTTCTTTGGAAGTAGCAAGCACATATAACGACGATATGCCTAAACCATAAAGGCCTCCTCTCAGAGCACCTTTCCAACCAGCAGTTGATCGATAGAGAAGACCGGTAAGACCAGCACTCGCCACAGTATTCAGCTCGTCATCGACTTCACGCCCCCAACTCAGACCGGTACCGATTAAACTGTATATCAATGCTAAAAAGTAATGTGAATGCACAAAAATACGAAGAAACTCCACCTCTACCTATCGAACCCATTGCCGAAGCAGTTGTAGCACCCTGACGAGCAACGTAGTTAATAATTCTAAGCAGAACCAGATTGAATAGTATTAAATTTATCATTTTCATTCACTAAACTTACGATGAAGTTCGTACTGATCCAGTTAGGTGGTTTGTTTCTCGTACACCACGATACAATCCTGATGCACTGCCAATCATACTTCCTATAAAGAAAAGCACCATTTCTATAGATCCTTTCTCCGTCTCATCATATGGAACAAACCAGCAATAACTGAACCACCAATGGTGAAAAACATCAATTCTAATCGACCACGTTTCTCTTTTTGTCCTTCAGGTACGATAAATTGTGAACCACCCTAGAGTAATAATAGCACGTTACCGTTTCTGAAACTTTCATCGAAATAAACTACATACGGTGTTTAATACTTGTGGATCGAAATTCAAAAATGGTGAAATAGCACTTGTGCCAGCAGATGAATGAACTAACAAGCAGCACTTTAGGATGAACAATTTTTCATGTTTATCTCCTTGAACTTACCCGGAATATCAGTAGCCGGCTCATGTAAGTTATAGTTTCCGAAAAGACTAAATCCGCGTTTTTGTTGCTGGTCTGTAGAATTCGTGAAATCCATTATTCTGAAAGAAAAAGAACAGAAAAATTCATAAACAATTATTTATTTGTTTTCTTTCTACAAATTGTTATCAAAGAACATAAATAGTTCGTGTTTTTTGTTTTTAAACAATTATTCACATTCTAGAAACCAATTATTAATTACGTGATAATACCAATTTAAAAAAAAACGAGAGCAAAGAACTGTGTGAGATGTTTCAAAGCGCCATTGTCCAGCACCATAATACATAATTGAGACATGATGAGAATGAAAACTATCAGAAGAAAATAGAATTATCACACACAAATAGACAGAGCGAGAGAGAGAGAAAAAATTCTTTTTCATATTTTTCAAAAAAATGCCGTTTAGTTACTAAATTCAGGATTTTCGCCTGTGTATTCATTTTCCAGACGATATTGTAATGTACTAAATGATGGTCGATTTTCCGGTTGAGCATGCCAACATTCACGCATAATACCATAGAGAGATGATGGACAGTTAGGTGGTTGTGGTAAACGATAGCCCTGATCGACTTGGCGTAGAACTTCCGCATTCGTCATACCTGGATACGGTGTGCGACCAAATGTGACTAATTCAGTTAAAAGAATGCCATACGACCAAACCTAAAGATCAATCGAAGTGAATAGGAATCTTGGTCTTAAAATCGTCTTACGTCGCTTTTGATGGTAAATCGATTGTAGAGTGCTGCTTCAGGTGCTGTCCATTTGATGGGAAATTTCGTACCTTCTTTTGCTTCGTACATACCACCAGCGTATTCCTAAAATGATTCGTAATTTGAAAATTGGACACGGAGAGTGAATGTCTGAGATCTTCTTGACAAGCATTTGAAAGAATTTTTCTTCATTCGACTTTGCAATCACTGCGTACGATAAGCAAGTCTAGTTCTCGTGTCAAAACATAATGAAGAATGACAGAAGCAAAAACATCGAGCAATGAACATGATCAATGGTGATGTCACACTTACCTTCGCTTCATCCTAGCAAAGTAAAAAACAAGTCTACAGATCAGTTTCTTCAATAATGTCATACTGAACGCCTACAGAATTGTTCCTCATCGATCATCAATCAGTCATTCGTATACCAACCTTGATTATTCTTGCGAGACCGAAATCTGCAATCTTAACAGTATTATTTTCACCGACAAGAACATTTCGAGCAGCGAGATCTAAAAAGAGAAGAACTCGAATTATACAAACGAATGGCATCCTTGAATTCATAATACAAACCTCGATGAATGTAATTCTGCTGTTCTAAATAAGCCATTCCTCTTGCAATTTGTGTAGCGATGTAAATCAATGCAGACATTTTCAATTGTCGTCCACGTGGACCTTAAAATGATACGAATTCATACTTCAAATCCCATCGTACTAAATGTATATCTCTATTTACTTTGTAAATAATCCAAAAGACTACCATTTTTCATTAATTCTGTCACAATATAAATCGGTTCTTCGATTGTACACACGGCGAATAATTGAATTAAGTTTGCATGTCGCAAGCGTTTCATTATTGACGCTTCAGCGAGAAAATCCGTTGGATTCATCGAACCTGACTTGAGCGTCTTCACAGCAACAGATACATTATCATTCCAGACGCCTTCCCACACGTCACCAAATTGTCCATGGCCAAGACGTCGAATTAATTTGATTTCCCGTCGAGATATTTCCCATTTATCCACAAGACTATGCGATAAGCCATCTGGTTCAGGTTTGATAATCTACACAATCAATTACTTGATACGATAATAATCACGTGTATATATTGACTTACATGTACACAGGGTTGTCTTAAATTTACACATAAGCCATCTGACGTTTTCGAGTAATGATTGACAAGTTCAGGTAATGTATTGAACGTTGTTCGACGCGCAATGTAGTATCGGCCATCTTCACCTTGTCGTATTCGATAATGTTTCACAGAATCATTATCACGGACTAAAAGTATCGACAATAATTTTGATGAGAACACGAGTCGCACTCACTTGAAAGAGAAAAATCGGTTTTTTTCGTTTCACTATCGCGAATCTAAATGAAACTTTCATCAGAACATTGTTTACATTGCATAAATCAATATATATATGAAAATATCTCGCCGAGTGATCGTATTCTTCACCAATGATTGAAGGACATTTTGTTTAGAAGAAGAAAAAAAAACGAAGAAGAATATTCGCGTCTATTCATTTCAATAACCGTTCATTCGATTACGTAACCGTTTTCTTTGAACAGTATGACTTGAAATGAATAAACGATAAGCGTATAAGAACATGAAATTCTTAATTGAAATATTTCATCTCTTTTTGGCGTTTTTTTTCGCTATCAGTGAAAAAATGAAGGTTACGACGACATACGAGAAAACTGCCGTGTTCATTGACATCTGACATCAGCTGTTTTTCAGCATCAATTCGACGAATGGACTTGAAATACCATCTAATGAGAAGAGAAAAAACGAATAAACGAAAAGAGAAAGTTCTTCAACGCACGGCTCGGATTCAAGACTATCCCGTTTCGCGACGAAATTCGATGGAATCCAACCTTCTTGTCCACCCTCATTTTTCGCCTTGCACCATGCCGTATTTTTGCGATAAATAATTTCCAATAGATCATGTTTTCTTATAGTTAAATCATCGTTTGTTCTGGCATCATAATCACATATGGCTACGTATTGGAATCGATTATTATTCATGTCGTTATTCGTTTTCATTACAATCGCTGATGTCGTCGATGATGATGCACTTGACACACCCGAAGACGATGGTGTGGCAATTCCATTCGTATTCTGATGATGATTATTATTATTGATTGAGAATTGTACGGATGAGGGTGAGACAATCGGCTGCTGTTGTTGTTGTGAGATGAGATTCAATGGTGAATCAGGTATCTGATTTTTCTGCAGTTTGCCTGACTTTGGACGGCCAAAATTGATACAGTTTCCCATACTTCGCTAAAATACAAAATGAATTCAGTATTGATTTTTGTCAATAGAGAAGACTAGCGACGAAATCTCTGCACTTGTAAGTCTTACATTTGACGGGCCATTTTTTCGTGACTGTTCGATTAACAATCGACCGTCAATATGATCAAAAAATGACTGTCGCCGAGATTTCAATCCGTTTTGAAGCAATTGCTGAACGTATGCTTTGTAAGAATCTGCCATTCGTTTTACTTTGGATGTGTTAATGCAAATGCTCGACTGTTATGAAAAAGTTTCAATGTGTTCAGTTTACGTTGTCACATTTTCTTTTTTGTATAAAAAGTCAAAAGGAGGAAAGAACAACATTTCTTTCTCTTTCCCGTTCTTCACTTTACTAGTCAATTACTCCTAACGAATGAAACATTATTTACCTGTTTATTTTCGTTGATGAACGATTAGATGTTCGCAAAACAATCAGTGAAGATCATTCGATCGATTAGTTGAATGACGATTGATCCTCTTCATGGCTGAAGATCTAGAAGAAAGACTGAAAGGTCTAACATTGCTTTGATTCATTTCTTTGCTTTGGCTTCTATGATGATAAAAAACAAACGAATGAAACTTCAGACATTCGAATAACAGTTGTTATTGTACGAGATGAAGGAGGACGAGGAGGAGAAGAGAAAGAGAGAGAAGAAGAAGAAGAAAAACGAGGAAATCTGATGTATGAAGAATTTTTTTTCGAAAATGGATATCATTTATGCGCAGAGAAAGAATTTGATATATATTAGTTTCTACAAACGAATGTACGTACGAAAGAGATGAAAATCGAGCTATGTTTGATTTGAGGACTATTCAGCGTATGTGTGTGTGCGTCGCGACGAGAAGTGAAAACCTTGACCCTATTTGAAACATATATTCTCAATATTTTTCACTTCTAGTAAAGATTAATTTGCATGAAAAGATAATAAACAATTGACAAGTGTTTACAAGAACAAAAAAAAAGTGACCTCCAATAGTATCTGTTGAGCAGATTGTTTGATCGAGGAAAAAAAACGGACGGCGAGTCGATGATCGACAGAAGAGAAGAAACTATCGAATCGAATCGAAGAATGAGCGATTAGAACATTTGAAGATATACAGACTCATTGAACTGATGAAAAGGTGATGATGTGAATGACGTTCGTACACTCTCGCTGAGTAATAGTACAAGCATCTACAACTATATATTGTTTTTAACGTTTTTTCATTGGTCGAAGATTACATTGATATTTCGGAACAACAAACGTGTAGATGCCGCTGATAAACAGCAGGTTGTCGAGATAGGAATGATCGACGAAAACAACATGTGTTGATTTGTGCTAAATAAAGAATCATCGTCGTAACATTTTCGACGAATGTATGTTTTGTATGGCATACTTGTGTTCATAGTCACGAACAAAGAGAAGTTCATTGTGTCGAGCACACTATTGCGATGTTCTTACGCAATCATTTGTCACTCTCTTCTCAATTTTGTTCGAACTGATAAGCATAACAAAACATATGTCATTTCTACGCGATTTTACATCTAGTTAATAGCGATAACAGGTGCAACAAAATGAATGACGATACCCCGTTAGATTTTACTATTGTGAATAAACGTCTATGGAATGCGAAGGTTGACCACCATGTTAAGTCGCCCATGTATGATGTTCCGGGATTTCTCGAAGGAGCTGATTCATTGAATTCCATTGAACTCGACTTACTTGGCGATATACAAGGTAAACGTATCATTCATTTGCAATGCCATTTTGGACTTGACACACTTTCACTTGCTCGACGCGGTGCACAACAAGTTACTGGTGTCGATTTTTCCGAAAAAGCTATTGCGAAAGCGGAAGAATTAGCAAAGAAGACAAATCTCACTGCATCGACAAAATTTATCTGCTGTAATATCTTTGATCTACCGGATCCGGAAGAACTGTTCGATATCGTTTTTGCGTCGTATGGAACGATTTGTTGGTTACCAGATATCAATCACTGGGCTCGTATTCTCTCGAACCATTTGAAACCGGGTGGATTTTCTCTTCTGGTAGAATTTCACCCCTTTCTAGATATATTCGATGAAGCTTATACACGCATAGAAAATTCTTATTTCAATCATGGACCTATTGTGTGTGATTGCCAAGGTACTTATGCTGATCGCAATGCTCCAATTCGAAATAAAAGTATGGAATGGTGCCATCCAGTAAGCAGTGTTATTCAAGCACTTATACAAAATGGATTAAAGATCGAAGTCTTCAAAGAGTTTGATTATTCGCCGTATGATGCGCTTCTCAACTCCGTCAAAATTGCGGACAAATGCTATCAAATCAAGGGATTACAAGGAAAAATACCGATAATATATGCTATCAAAGCCAGCAAACCAATATCCTAAGTTGAAATCTTGTTACTCGATAGAGGGCGCTGTTCGCGATTGAATGAAATAAAGATTTTCAATTTTTTCAAAGTCTCCATAATGAATAAAGATTCACATTCCAATATTCTATTACTACTCATATTTGTTCGCTCATATAACTTGACAACATAAGGGTCCCTTGGATACCATATCTAATATGGATATTACATGACACCGTTATAGAGTGTCGTCATTCTTCAACCTATTTACTAATAATCTACTCTACTCTTCCTTAACTTGGAAAACATTTCAATTGTTTTTCATTGCAATTAGTTTCCTAGTGAAATACTTCTCTCATCTTTTAAGGTCAAGACTTGCTTTTCTCAAACATTTGTTCATTATGGTATGTTATTTGATTTCAATGAAGATAACAGTGAGTGATTTTCTTGATAGGGATTACTTGACATCCTGCGAAAACTTCGTTCAACTCCACAAGATGAACTTCGTATATTGCTCCTAGGCCTCGATAACGCTGGCAAAGTAAGAGTTGCTTGATAGTTGAACGATGCAATCGAGTGAAATACTTCTAGACGACGTTACTTAAAGTTCTTGCTTCGGAAGATATTTCGCATATAACCCCAACGCAAGGTTTTAATATCAAAAGTGTGCAATCAACCGGATTTAAACTTAATGTTTGGGATATTGGTTAAGAATATTGATGCATTGACTTTTTCTCAGAATAAAACGATAATTTGTATTTAATAGGTGGTCAACGAAAGATTCGTCCATATTGGCGGAATTATTTCGATAATACTGATGTTCTAGTATGACAACAGGGAGTTTTAGTCAATGATATTGATGACGATTTTGTATTTAGATTTATGTTATTGATAGTTCTGATCGAAAGCGTTTTGATGAAACAAATCAAGTATATATTCATGATGGAAAGAATTAGGTCAATTACATTTTCTCCCCTTTATTCGTCTCATAGGAATTGTCGGAATTATTGGAAGAGGAAAAATTGCATGGTGTTCCATTACTCGTCTTTGCTAATAAACAAGATTTGCTAAATGCTGCTAAAGCATCAGATATTACTGATGGTCTGTCCTTACATCAAATTCGCGATCGACCGTGGCAAATTCAAGGTTGTTCCGCGTATACCAAAGAAGGTGTCAAAGTACGTCGTTAACCTATTTTCTCTTTCCACGAAACATTTATCGTTTTTTTTTCCAGGAAGGTCTTGAATGGATATCAAAAACTGTTACAAAAAATAAGAAATAAACTCCCGTTAGACTTCGCTTCTTTTCTTTTCTATTTGTGTGTCAATCTATTATTTATTTGCGTTTATCCCTTGTGTCATAAAAGAAAAGAATCTACCAAAAAACTATCTATCGCGCGAAGTATCCATCAATGTATAGCTGAATGTCATTGTCCTTCCGTGAACGGGAGCACGCTTGTCTTCTTTGTGAACAATCTTTTCGTCTGTGTTTTTTTTGTATTGTTACCGAGTGTGTCTAGGCATCTAAAACATGCCACTTATATCAAAATATCGATCATGTGTTGTGGCTTTCCATGTGTGTGTTGATTTTTTCCAGACAGTATGTTTAGGAATGAATTTCAAACCTTGCTTCTGCTTCTCTTCTTTGTATAAGAAATGTTTGTTTGAGAATTCCACTCAAATTTTGTGCCAACAAAGATAATCACAATCATAACTAGTGTACTCTATCTAGATCTAAGCGGTACTGTGTAAATGGACCATGTGAACCATATTCATATACATTTGGGCTCCCACTATGCATCGGAGTGATGTTCCAATAATAATCAAATAAATATTCTCGTTTATTCGGCTTTTCATATGCACAAAATAAATATTTAGTCACACACACACGCATCAAAAACGACTAGGATTATTATAAAAAGAAAACAATCATCAAGGCACCATCATCTGTCGTCAAAATGAATAAATAAATTTGGCTGTTAAGAAATAGCACAGGGTTACACGCATAAAAAGAGAACGAAATATGTTCTAATCACAGAAATTTCCCCGAAGAATAGACAAAACAAAAAATACTCTAAGTTGTTCAATAGGGAATCGAATTTTGTTGATATTGTATATAATCATAAATACGGGTTCGTAAACTATGTGCACAACGATTAATCACTTCTTCCATGAAATGTGCAGCTTCAGTTTCAGTGGCGTCAGGTTTAAAACGAGCATTCAATTCTTTCAGAGTATTACCGCGAAAACATGGTAAACCAGTGTCAAGCATCAATGCTACGAGAGTTATGAAATGTTGCCGATAAGGTCTAAAAGATCAGTTGTCGAAATTTTGTCGATTGAAAGCTCTCTTCGTTTTTACCTCAATGCTAAATAACCTTTGATACATAATTCTTTAAACCAGAGAAATCCAGGTGCATTTAAATCACCCATAATGAGAATCATTTCTGCGGTCAGTTTAATATCCGGTTCGAATCTCATGTTTCCACCTGGTGATGACTCGAACATGAAGCCAAAATCTATACAAAATGGAACATTTGAATGTATTCATACTTCACCCTGATTCTACTAACCAATATGAATAATGTGTCCTTCATCATCAATCCTGAAATATCAAGAGATCGACTGTGTAAAGTGAGAATATAAATATTTTTCTACGAACATAATATTTCCATTGTGACGATCTTTTATCTGGAGTAGGAAAACAGCAATCGAATAAGCTGCCATACTGATGACAAAATTTCGTCGTGCCTAGAACACGGCACGTGAAATAGTTTGATTAGAAGGAAGAAAAGATGATTTACTTTTTGAAATTTGATCGAATCATCTTTACCATATACATGTCGAAAATATTCAAATAAACCCACTTCGGTGTTTCTTCCAATATCTTCACGCGAACGAGAATTCGGTACACATTCGATAACACCACACTGAAGAGAAAAATGACTTCCGTACATACACTTTCATTTCGTATGGCCAAGAGACACTTACGCCAGGACTTGTTGCAATCACTCGATAAGTATACAAGTACAATTCTAGACCCTCCTGTTCAAAAATATTCTGAAATAAACGCATTAGTTGCAAGGCCAACATATCCTATGAAGTATTACAGATGAAAATATCTCTTAAAGCGGTAATAGTTCATCTCACTTGTCGGACATCATCTCCAACTTTAAAAATAGCCATTTGAGAGTACTGATTATTCGAATCAGGAATAAATTCGTAGTCAGAATCCGCACAGTGTTCAACTTGTTCAATTCCAACATTTTGTACGCGAAATGCTGCTCGATAAGGCGCTTTCGCCGCACTAATATTCAAAACATACTTATTTCCTGCGAAATTGATCTAGTTTACCTTTGCATCGGTGTTCCAGTTTCGGGCGCTAATGAGATCACAACAGCTTCGGGATTCGACGGCAGATAAACACCGGGTTTCACATCACTACCGAGATCCATCAATGCTTTCAAGCAAGCTAGAAAGAAAACAATTTAATAGTGATCGGAAGCTTTCCTTTTCTTATACCAGCTTTCCGTTCTGCGCCTTTTGGATACACTTTGATGATGTCGGAGACATTGGTGAGTTTATCTGAGAATTCAAAGACGCGTTCATAAAATTCTCTAGCGTTCGAAGTAAAAGCAGTTTGAATTTGATCGGCAATAGGTTTGAGTTTAGCTAGCATATCATCATCAGGCGTTGTTTCATTCTTATATACGTTGGTTCGAATATTCCAGATTAACTGATGTGCTAATAGATTCGATTTTCGAGATAGAGCTAAGATTAGACGGCGAACAAAGCCCATCTAAATGAAAATGAGTGCTGATGAATGGAAAGAAGTGATGTCTAATTGCTCATACTTCATCGTAACGAATTGCTTGAACTAATTGTGGGATATATAAAATGATCGCTTCTGGTCTTGTTGTATAGAGAATACGAGAAGCATATTGAATTGTATAAGAATTAGCTATCTGGTTGAGCCGTGCATTAGCAAAATAGGACAGTGCTGCGACAGGATCGGTTGGAGCCCAGATGAGAATATGTGAAGTCTAAAGGAAAATGATGATGTGAACTGAGATTAGAATGAAGTTTGCAGATTTACTTGACAATGTCGATCATTCTGATTCGAAGTACTTGTAAAAAGATTCAATGCTTCGGGTATATGACGAACTTGGAATGGAAATGCTTTCACAAGTTGTTGAATTTCAGTTCGTAACGATGCTTTAGGAATTCTAAATTGTCACTCCTATAATTTTCAATGAATTCGATGGTGACCACTTACGTGTAATAAAGGCTAATGGCTAAATCAGGCGAAATAAGCCAAGCTAGTCGTCCATACTCTCGCCATGCTTTGTTGGAAGTTCCATTCATATCGTAGACTTTCCAATTTGTGTACGTTGACTGTCTCTCCTGGTCGAATTGAAGATTCGAACGAAATAGTGGATTATGAAATGTTTCCAAACGTTCGATTTCACAAGCCTGAAGAAGTTTCGATATTCATTTGAACATTGAAAACGAATATTTTTCATGTTACTTACAAGCAAGATGAGCAGAAGGTTGCGTTTTTTCAACAAGTCTTTCGATAGTGTCCGAGCGTCATTGCTTTTTTCAGTATTCTTCGCGGACCCTATGAAATGACAGCTGTAAGTGTAAGTAATTATAAAATAATTATTAGTAGTCATGCATAGAATTTAGTTTTATGATTAGTATTCAAGCATAGATTCATACCTCGGAAAGAAGATTCACGATAAATATCTGAGTCACAAAGAAAGAAACATAAATCATACTGCTAATGTAGATTATTTTCAAAGAAGATTGTTCCTCTTACAAGCGAATTATTCAATCAACAATGTGAAGCAAGAATTCTCATCCGAACATCGAAGTTTTAGAAGATAAAGTCTGTACCTGACTTACGGGTAATTGTAGATTGACCACCGACTCCAGCCGCAGCTCCACCACCACCAGCTAATGAATTGATTAATCCCGATGGTATTCCAGCTCGTGAGGAGCTCTCACTTGTGCCATTGTGCAAACGTCGGTTCAACGATGGACTACCACTATCAACTGAAGAAACAACGTTTCGAAATCAATATAAGTTATTTGTCAATACAAACTTGATAATATTGAATCATCACAAAACTTCTTCTCTCCATGAACTAATGAGAAAAACCGAATCAATCTTCGAATATCATTCCGTAATTCATTATACGATTGAGACGGATAATGATGTCGAACCCTATAATATCAATCAGTGACTACTACACAACTTCAATCAATCTCACATGAAGTAGTCAAATGCCGTATGGTAAACTTTCTCTCGTAACAACGATTTACTAATACCATTTGCTAGATAATCACTCTGAATGATGTAGAGTACCAAATATAATAATTGAAACCGAAGGCCCACAGCTTCAATATGTCTCGTCATTGGTATTTTTGACCGATCCGTGATTAGGTAAAGTGATTTATGGAAAAGATCAACAAGCATTTCCATTTCTACATCAGATTTGTGCATACACAGATACATTCGTTCCTCGATGAACTATAGAAAACGAAGATTACATTGAAAGTGATGATTTTCAAGAGAAATCAACTTTGAAGAATATTCGATGTGGGTTAGTCGATGGTGGTTTCGATTTAAGTTCTTCTTTTTCCGATGGAGCCAATGGTGATACCTCTGGCTTATCAATTGAATATAATCCTTGACGGTCACTGATAATCTTCTGCCAGACTTTATAAATCTCTTGGACAATCTATACATTTCAAAATGTATTTTTTAATGAACATTATTACGTGCAATGCTCACCAATAATTCTAGTTCGGGTCGAGCAACGATTGCCCATGACCAACAATCGACTGCTGCTTCCATTACCGACGTGGTAAACATTTTCACTGGAAGCCATGCTAGTACATGTACTATCTCTCGGTCGAGAGCATTTTCTAAAAGATTGTACGATGAAATCATCTCTTTCGATCGATCCATACCTTTGGGAGCATTGTATCTGTAGAATGGACTACCTACACTCGAAAAAGTCATTTCATTTTCATTATCATCTAAAGTAAACACGAGTTTGTGGAGATCTTTAAAATGTATCAGTTTACCTGCATGATCAGCATTATAAATTAGCATCGCTGTTAGTTTGAAAAGTTCATTCCGAAAGTTACTATCGACTAAATGCATGAACAAATGTTTGTAATATGACTCAAAGTATAGTAATGAGTATTACAGATCGCGATGCGTTCTTCAAAATCAAGCACGACTTCTTTATGATTCACAGGTGCAACAACTGACATTCGCCGACGACGCTGTTTCAATGATTGAAACTTATCCACTGAATTTAATCGATTGATAAACGCGTTCTCCATCTGGGTTTTAATTTGTTTCAATGCACTTCGGTAATCATTCCGACTTAGTCCTTCGATCTATTAAAGCAAAACTCATTCTTACGACTTAGACACTTCGCATTCGAGTTACGTACGAAGCCAACCGCAGCATTTCGTTCGCTTAATGATACCATGTAATCAGCAAAATCAGCACGATAGTAAAACTTATTTCCATTTGCTGCCGCCTGTTGACATTTGAGAAAAAGCAAAATGATGATGATAGTTGTTTAACGCAGATACTCACCTCAGCATTAGTGGATTTCGAATACATACTGAGATATTCCCACATAACCTAGATTGAATCAGTATACTAAAGTGACAATTACAGCTAGAACTTACATGTAAGCCTCGATGCTGACGCGCAGCGTTGGAATTTCGTTTACCTTGTTCGAGTTTCAACATGTATTGCTAAATGAATGAGAAGCATGAATTCATATTGATTGATTCGATTGATAACTTACTTGAATACATGATTTGATTAATGTTGGTGATATCATTAAAGCCTGTTCGATGAACATACGGCCGAACTCTACGTATTCATTGAAAAGTTCCTATTTAATAGATAGAATAGTATTATAGAAGGCATTCCTCGAAATAACGAACCAATCGTTTTTCGTGGGTGTCAACAAATTGAATTGTATAATTGGTTTCGGGTATTCGATGATGTGCAGTAACTTTGTGTAGATTATCTTCATTCAATGAGTATGCTAGGATGTTGATGATACTCATCAAAGTCTCAATAATAAGAGCATTGCAGAATAAATGTGGAAATCTATTGAGACAAAACGAAAATTCGTATAAATTAGATTGTGGCGAAGGAAACTTACGCATTCTTTGATAACAACGTTAGAAGATAGAGTTTAGCTTCTTCACGAACTTCCGTGCGAACATGTGTTCGTTTGATCATTAGGAATTGGCATTGTGTTTCGAGATTTTTATTTCGCTCCGGACTCTTTGGCTAAATAGGAATAAAAAGGTCAATTTCTGTATACATAAAAGGATAACAAGATCAACTATACCATTTTTTTCATTTCATCAACATATAACGCCAAACATTTTCTTCCTACGGCAACCATCAGTGTCCATAAACCTAAAGAAGATCATCATAGATAAACATGATTTCATTTTCTATTCATTACCATATTTATCTCGGATTAAACCTGGATCTTCGAGGTATGTGAATATACATTGTAATGCTGATGGTGTCAATGCATATCGAACTCTGAAAGAAGAATCCAAGACATGCCGGTTATCGAATAGTTTTCGAATTACCTGAATGTTTCGAGATAGTACACTGACAGTGTATAAGAGCTTTGTTCAAATCCGAATGCATCAATGAAAGTTTTCGCATTTGGATATGATGAGAATATACGGTTCAATTTTGATTTCAATGCATTGTTGTCTTCCTAAATCATCGAAATAATAATAATAATAATAAGGATTCTCTGAAGGACATCTTAATCCTTACTTTGGTAATTTGTTCTGGTTTCAATGGCATGGCAGACTTCAATGGAACATACGAAACATGTTGTGCCACCAATATTGGTGATTTAGTCGCAATTAATCGCACACAGTCATACCATTCCGATGTCCATAAATTGTTATCTGATTCAGCAAAACCGTACAGAATACAGTAAAACCAAAAACGTTGGAATAAACGAAACACTCGTTCGGAAGGTTCGGTGATCACCGGCATTCGTCTAATGATAACAGCAATGACAGGTATCAAGATTCCAAGACTACCGGCTGTGTTTGAAATCTTGATAAATAAAATACGAAGTGAGATTGAACATGTGGAAAAACATTAGTTCACTTTAAGAGCGTTCTTTGTCGACTTTTCACTGGCATCTTTTGCTCGTAAACCAAGTTGAACGAATAACTCGAGAGTACTTGATAACAAATTCATTAGTTCTGTTGAGCCTTGGATATTAGCAGCAACATTTGCTAATGCATTGATCACAGCATTAGAAGCTTGTCTATAAAAACGAAAGTAACATCCTTGAGTTCAATACTCATATCAACATACACATATTTGGCCAAGTGTGGAGCAACGAGCATAGACACAGTCGAACTATCATTTGATGGATAAGTAGAATCAATAATAATTTCTGTGAAAAGCCGAATGATTTCCTCGTAAGTTGCTTGTGGCTATAACACAGATATCATAGGAATAGGTTTCAAATGGGAATGAAACACTGACGAGACTAGTAATAAGCATGCAGCCAATTTGATTGATGATGAGAATATCGAGAGGTGATGGTGGATCACCGATGCGTTGTTGAAAACGAGCGAGAATAGATTGTTGAGTATGCTGAACATTTTTCAGAGCAACAGCCATGTGACCCAATGTCAGAACTGTATTATGCGATACTAACGATGTTCGTCTAAACGGAATCAATAGTATAAATTTCACAACAATATCCGAAACGTATAAGAGCTAGCATATCGTTACGAAGAGAAAAGCAGTGATTCGGTTCGAATCGTAATCGTTTTATGGTAACGATATCAATTCTGTCGAGAGTAGAACAATAAGCACAGGCATACAGTTGTACACAAAGAGAAGAGTTCGTGCTCTTTCTAGTCACTTCTTGGAACGTCATTTTATGTACGTATTAACGTTTTGTTTATACAATTTTACACGTATGCATAAGAGCAGACATAAGCTTATCACATCAATATGAACGACGATAAAAGCAGAGCTGCCTTGAATATGGCAAAAATCTGAGCAGTAGATGCTCACTTACAACAAATTTTCGTATTTTTCTTTCGCGATGTCATGTCGTAATGAGGAACGACGTTTCAATGGTGCGGCATCGAACAGTACGATATTAAACATCCAATTTGGACTGAAAATGTGTTAACAAATGTACGTTTTGCAAAGTATATCATATTAATGTAAACAACTCTCATACGAGAAACACAAACTCATTGAAAACATATCAGACTTACTTATCATCAATAGGCCCAGAAGCAAGTCGTGCGGAGAATTGTGTTAATAGAGCTTCCACACACTTTGGATCGGAATTTAAACGTATGAGTAGAGACCTTTGCATCAAGAAATATTTCTACATGAAGAAAAACAAACAAATACAAAAGATTCTTACTTGCATAAACCTTCAATTGCTGCATCTCGTAATTTTTCAAAGATATGAAATGCACGATATTCTCTCGAATTCTTTCGATTTTCATTGAAAAGTGCACTTCGTTCTTCTCCATCCAGCTTCTGACTTGTATGTCGATACAATTTAAAAAGTATCGGCGATGGTTCGATGAGAAAATCACATAATGCTCGAATAGTATACGTTGATAAACATTCGTATTTCTCCGCTAATCGACTCAAAACCTAAAGAAGAAGATATCCGTATGCAGCAAACCTTCTTTCAATTATTTCAATCGTCAATACTTCTAATGATGTTACTAATAGTGGCATTTGTGCGGATAATAGTTTGATAGTGATTGTTTCTTGACTGAATTTCTCTGCACATTTCGTACATAATTTCTCTGCTTCTAAAACGGCCCAAAAGAAATTAGAAGGTTATCAATGAGCGCACCAAACAAAGAGACTAACAATCAGCATTGAGAAGATTCTAATGAAAGTTTGCTGTGAGTAGTTCAGATAGTATTTTACAAAATTTACAATTGAATGAAAATGGAAATCGCATTAGGCCTCTTGGCGATAATGATATTGTTTCTAGTTTTCAACAGACTTCGTATTTTTCAGGACTGTACGTAGCGAGAAATAACCGTGAAGGCCATTACGATGAGAATGTATCGTTTGACCTGATGTAGTTTTCTACTCATCAATTGATTGCTGATAAATATGAAAAATGATGTTTATACTGAAATCAGTGACAGAACGCGAAGAAACCAGTGAAGAAGAACAGTGTTTATGACAATTAAAGCCCATGTTATCGATATACATACTGAGAAAACCTTTATTTGATCTCTGAAGATCTAAGAATATATCATCGATTCGTATGAGAATATAAAGATATGTAATCATCGGAAGTTTCTGCGAAGTTCAGAAAGATTTTGACTTACCTATTTCTTCGTCACATGCTAAACAAAGTAATTCTAAAGCTGCTGCACTAGCATCAACACGTGTTCGATAGCGACAAGAGTTTCTGTCGTATTCTTCGTTGGCTAAATCTAATAACTTGATACTAATTAGTTGTTGCACAAACAGATAAGTCGATTTTCGAACAGTCGTCAAACGTTCTAAAACGATCAAAATTCCTACATCGAAAACGAGTCGTTTCTTTCATCACTTACCTGCTGATTTATCAAGAATTTCCAGATTATCTCGAAAAAACTTGATGATACATAAAATAAGTATATCACCGAAATATGAATACGGCGAATAACGTTTCGTCTAAAGACAATATACCATTAACGATGTGGTTAAATTGATCAAATAAAAGACTTACATTTGCTTTGTAGTTCGTTGATCGTTGAATCAAATCGTATTCAACAATAGCAACTTTATCTAAGTATTTCACAACTCGATCGTCGATCAGTTTCAATGTCTTGAGAACAGTTTAGATTGGTTAGAGATTAAAGAATACACGCGAAATTTACCTCATGTAGGTGTTCGAGGACAGGTGCGGGTAAACAAATTCGAAAACGATTATTAGTTACATATGACCCCGATGACATTTGTCGATGACGATAAGTCGAACCAGAAATAGAGAAGAATATGGAACTTATTGGAAGATTCTCATCTACGCTGTGTTGATCGATGCTATCCATTGAACTTCAAAAGCAGACAACAGTAGATGTGAGTGCTATTCGAAAGAAATTCTTACGAAATTGATCGATATGTTGATGAAATCTCTGGTTGATCATCCGTGAGCAAGAATTGGCTGGTATTCGATGGCATCATTTGTGAGATATGATCATTCGTTGATGAAAGAAGACTCTTGGACAACACTTTGGGAATAATTGGACGAAAAGCAATTGTGCTATGTTTAACATTCGTTGCAACATTAGTTGTCGATTCTCTTTGTTCGATATGTGTAGATTGCGTTAACGGATTGAAATTCACTGGAAACAATTGAGAAATCAAACTTTGATCAGTCGATGATATTCTAAGAACATAAAAAGACATTTCAATTTCATCTATATTCAATTAGAACGAAACTAAAATCATGAAGGTCAAGTAATCCGAGATGAGCATTGATAATACAAAAGATCAAATGAAATTACCTTCCGATTGCTCGTAATGCACCAAGTAGGAATGGCATATCATATCGATAGATCAATTCAAATCGCTCTACAAACCAGTTTGATGAAAATAACTGTCATTCTGTCAATAAAATACCTTTCACATGTTTATGTGCATCCATTCGTAGACTTTCCACAAACTGTCGAATCACATCGGCAACATAACACATAATCTAATCAATATCAACAAATGTTCATCTATAAGTTCTTGTTCGTTAATCGTACCTTATTTCCTGATTTGACATCTTCACTTGTTGCCGCTAATTCTGTTAGAATCGTGTGTAGACAAAAACTGAATACCTCCGCTGGAGGTAATGCTATTGAAAGAACGAGAGAAAGATTTATTGCCGAAATGACGTGTACTTACTATGTTTATACGTGAATGTTGCGGCTTCATAATACCTGGCAGTAGGGAGTTTTTGGTAGAAATCAAGGAGTACTTTAACGATGTCTGCTCGAATCTATACGAAGAAAAATTTGATGAATGATGTAAAAAAAAAATGAAACGGAATACTTTGCATCTGTCGCTCAATTCAATCGCTAAATAACCAATAGCAACGACGAGATTTTCTAAACGTTGATCAATGTAGAGTTTTACGTTCGGGTCAATACGATCTCGAATTTGTTTTAAGAATAAATTAAGTAATGATGAACATCGCTAAACGAAATAACAAGAAAATATACTCATACGACCATTGACATATGGAGAACCGTTTTTTCATACTTGATTGCCCGAGAATAATTTATCCGGATCATCAGTTCTCGAGAATGAACGAGCAAATGACAGAAGAATATTGAGTTGATTAAACTCCAGCAACATTCTTCTTATGCTTCGCACTAAAATCACTTCATTGCTATGAAACCAACAACGTTTCATCATCAATTGCTGCGTAACAACAACCAATAAAAAATTACACCTTTGACGTTCTGTTCTGCCGTCCTTTCAAACATCAACTAGTGATATCTATGAATTTATTAATCATTACTTCGTGAGATCATTACTAAGATAAATACATTCCCTAATCGATATATCATATTGTAAACACGTTATTCATTTCTCAAACGAAATGTCTCTGCTCCTATCGAATTATCTCGACATCTTTACTAGATCAAGAAAAAAGTTCATTAAATTTCACTTGCAAAATGATCCATTTCAATCGAAAACATTTAATCTAGTGCACTTTGATTGTTGCCAAATCTATGCATTTTTTCTATTTACATAATGCACATTATACGAGAACCGAAAGGAAAAATTGGGATGGCAAACATGTTTCTTGCATTAGTGGCCAATGATGTAAAAAAAAACGCACGCGAAAGAATAGCAAGCACTCTTCCACACTTGGTATTCGAGTAGAAATTAAACAAAGCATCACTTGTGTTCCAAGAGAATCAGAAATGCGATGTCGAAACACGATCATTGGGCATATCTTCGAAGAAAATTCGACAGCATGACTGTTGATAGGTATTCTCTGCTACAATCACTCGTCAGTTGTTTTGCAAAAGAAGAAAAAAGATTATTTTGATATTTCTCATCGCGTAAGAAGGACTATTTGATATATAATTCTCGAAATTTGCTTTGACCTCAGGTTGTAATACTAATCTCATCAATATAAGCATGTTACATATCTTGCTACATCTGTGTGTTTGATTCAGAATTAGTTTTGATTTGTATATATATATATATAGATATAGTTTAGTCGATGTCGACAAGCAGATGCATTTATTTCGACAATAATTATTATGGGAAACATCGAGAAGAGAAAATAAAAGGAAGAACAAAGAGCCTTGAAGACAAAATTCATCGAGATATATATATATATAGCGGCCAGCGATGAGAAGAAAAGAAGAAATATTCTTCTCTTTCTCTCTCTCTCTCTCTTTGTCCTCTTTTTTTAACCCGCCTAGTTTTCTACTGCATAAATACATAACGTCAGAAGTCTATGAAATAACACTAATTAATTTCGTTTCGCCAATTCTATTTGATGACATGAGATTTGCGATGGAAATTTTATATAGAAAGAAAAACAAATGTCTATTGTCATTAACGATGTTATCTTTGGCCAAAGATGATCACTTCTAATTGGATATTATTAATTATCTTCAATCAAAAGCAAATCGAATACAAATGTCATCCACATGGTCTCTAACAAGTTCACTAGCAACAACAGAACAAACGCGTATTCAATCAAGCGAAACATCAACTCTCGGTACAAACATAACTACATTAGTAACAGAAATCCTAACAACACCGAGTGATATCTACGATCCACGTCTAACACGACCCTTTGCAATCATCTGTTTGTTTATCGGCAGTATTGGAAATTCGTTGTCATTCATCGTTTTCACTCAAAAACAATTGCGAACACATTCAACATTTCGTTATTTAGCATATCTTTCGATTGTTGATCTAATCGTTATCTACTTAGGCTTAGGCCATTTGATCTTACGAGACTATTTCCACTTAGATATTCGTGAACGAAGTTTATTTCTTTGTAAATTTCATACATTTCTCACCTATGCCACCACACATCTTTCGTCATGGATACTAACGATTGTTTCGATCGATCGTGCTATCGCATGCACTGTCATCCGATTGAACAAACGTTTCTGTCGTCCAAAATCAGCCGACCGAATATTCGTAGCAATGTGTATAGTCATCGCGTTAATCAACAGTCATATTCTTTTCTTCATGGGTTCAAAGCAGACAGTGGTTCGTTCAACCGGTAGCAATGTTTCTTTACATCAACAAGTTATTATTTGTACACATAATACATCGGAAGTGTATTTTCACTTTTTCGAAAAGCCGTACAGCATCATTGATCTCTTTTCGTATGTGCTGATTCCGTTTCTAATCATGACAGTCTGCGCAGGAATTATTGCTTATCGTCTCTTTTTTTCTTTGAGTAAAACCCAATTGACAAATGCATCCAAAAAGAAAACTCGCAAGGGCACGCGTCGTGCCAAACAAATCTCTTATATGTTATTAATATTAAATCTTGTTTTTGTTATTCTTCTCGCGCCTATTGTCGTTGGACAAGTTTTTCAAGAACTTAATCAAGAACATCATTATCGTTTATATAATTCAATCACATTAGTGTTGTCCTATTCAAATCATGCATTGAATTTCGTTCTCTATGGCATCGCTTCACCACAATTCCGTTTAACGCTGCGTCAACTGTTAGGCTTGGGAAATATCAATACCACTCAAAGACGTTTTCAAACATTCGGCTTTTTTACTTCAACCGGTTTGTGAATAGTAGGAAACACATCAAGCATCATTGTGAATTTTCTTTTTCTTTCTATAAACGAATATAATAATGAATACTTGAGTCTCTCGAAGCGAAACTAACAAAAGAATCTGAGTACATCATGATTGTCTTCCTGGAAATGAAAATGAGGAAAAAATGTGTCGAATGTAATTTTTTTCTTTTTCAATAATTGAAATGTAATCTCGAAAAATCGAGCCGATGAGTATGTGCGTGTTCATTGCTAATCAACGCACAAAAGAAAATGATGAAGATATTCTCTTTCAAATTAACAATGAAAGAGTCAGATGAAAAGAATATATTAAAAAAAAACATTTACAATAAATAGCGAGACGTTTTTCTACTTTTTTTTTTAGGATAGAATTTATCAGCAGACAAATATTGATTAATTATTTGCGATAAACATTATTAATTCATAGTAAGAAGACTTAGAGATATTAGAGAAATCTGTACCTTACCAAAGCACTTGCTTCTTTTAATAGAACAAAATCATCAAAAACAAAATTTAACAAAACAAAAACAAAGAATTTCTGTTATTTAGATTAAAGTTTTCGTTAGGTTGTGATAACCAATGCCAATAGCAGTTAGAAGAACTTTCGGACTGCCAGTTTTCAATTCATTATCTTCGTCGTCGTCTGATCCACGTGTTTCTTCATCATCTTCATCGTCATCAGCATCTTCTTCCATTTTTTCATTCTTCACTCTAGGAATTTCTTGTGCATTCTCGATTTTGAACATAATTTGAAAAAACTGTTTCAAATATCGAAGATATTGCATTCTAAATCAACGACTAGATAGTAAAACACTATGAACAACTTCAACCGAGTACGTACGAATAGGAATTCAGCGGACCGGTGATCACTTTGGACACATCTGCTTGATTGAGTGCCATGAAATGAAAACTCAATGCTTGACCGAACGAGTCAACAACGCCCGCCTGAAAATAGTCAATCGGACGTAATAAGCTGTCATGATTCTTTTGTTCTTACTTTGTAAATTTCATCAAGAAGTTTGTACACTGCTTCTTTTGCTAATTCTTCGGGAATAGTAATTGTTGTTGTCGAACCCTCCTCTGCTCGTGGTATCGAACAACTTTCTGCTGCTATAACCGAACCATTCTTGGTTTCAGCAGCTAAAGTTAAACCATAACCAGGCGACCTAAGCAGTTGCATTTCATTATGAATCTGAGATCGGAAGACAGCACTTACAAGCCAGCATTAGATCCTTTTTGATGATCAACATAGATGTAAACATCAGGCAGAAACTTCAGTAGTAACCCTTTGGCAGTTTCAATTAAGCGATTGGCTAAACTTGGTGACACACGCATAGCATAGCTAAAATTGATGTTGAACTCTAAGTAAAGTGAAAGCAATTGATAGTGAGATTCTTACGCAACGCCACGAATTCGTTTGATTTTGCCTGCGTCTGTCCACTGGCATGGTCGTAACTTCATTTTTGTGGGACAACGAAAAAGTATTTCACCACCACCATTCGGCTTTGCGCCTCGTTTGGTTATCTATGAAATATCACGAACGATTCAAATATCAGCATCATTGCGTATGTAGTACAACGTACTTTTAATTCTAAACCGTCATCTGACCCTAAGAATCGTTTCATCACCGGTAGTGCGGAATATTTAATTAAATCAACCTAAGTGAAATACGATAGGAGGGTGCAAGGAGAGGACTACGGACAATTACTTACGGAGGGATCATCTCGATCGTTAGTAACACCTTGCAAACGAAGTTCTAGAGCCGTTTTCATGAATGGGGCCATATAGAGGACAAGTTCAAGAAAATAGCCGATTCCACGTTGTAATGAGCATTGATGTTCAATAGTACCACCAATTAATGCACCAGGAACATAATAGAGCGAAGTGCCAGTCGCATTAATTTCGACTTTACTTCCATTTGTCAGTTTTTCTAATAAATGTAATAGGTTGATTTCGGAATCTACACGAAAGAGAAGAACAGTGAGTGAATCGGTGCAGTAACGATGTTACCGCGCAATCCAGGTTCGTTTTCTTGTGATCGGATATTTTTAATCTTGATTGGAGTACAGCTCAGTGTTGATAAAACCAACCGCTGACGAAAATAAGCACAACCATCGAATTGAAGTGTCATTTTTTATGAGAATAAATGTTAGAACTGAGCGATGAAGGAACGACTTAATCGAATCAAATTTCTCAATCGATATTTCTTGGATTTTCATCTCAACCAATGTCGATATAACGAGAAATGATCTTCAGTGTCTAACAACGCCATCTACGTACAGTAGGATATGCAAAAAGAATTGCCAACGAACTTGTCAACGCTCTTTTCACAAAAGCGCGAGATGTTAAAATCTCCTTGTGTTACTATATAACACAGAGTCTAGAGTTTACAAATACATAACTCATTACGAGTTCTGCTCTCTCTGTGAATTCACACGAGATAATACTCTAATCTTCTTGGAAACAGTTGAAAAATTTACAAGTTACAGATGAATTTTTCTACACTTTTTGCATCAGAATCTTTTTCGTGCGTTATAATCTTGACTTTTTTCATTGATATCGATTCACTACATAATCTAGTTTTGATCAAACTTTGACTTATCTCCGTATTTGTCTATGAACATGAAATCTCAATCCTGCAGAGAACACATGGGTAATATAAAAATGACTTTAAAACAACAATATTAAACCTTATTCACATTTCAGTCTAAAAGCGCGGACATTTTCCTTCATTTGCTGAATAGTGGGACTGAAATGATCGAGTAGACAAGTAGCAATTTCATGTAAATATGGTTGGTGAGAACAGTTTGTTAGCTTCACTACAACACAGTGCTACACTTCTCGATTCTGAAAAATTCATCATAACTAGTATGGGCAAGGACCACTGATATGCAACAATTTTAGAACTCTAGCATATGCTCACTACGTCAGTAATGTAATATGATCTATTAGTCACATTACACGCAGGTTGCACTCTGAACATGAACTATTTTTGCGAAACAATACAATAGATTTCAACCAATTATAACATCATTAAACAAAGCCTATGTAATTAATAAACGGCAATTTTTTGTACCTTTGTATCTCATTCGATATAGAGAATAGAAAAGCGATACTTCTTTATCGATTATGATTACAAAAAAAAAGGAAATAGTCTCGCCCGAATATATTACTGTGGGATTACGAAATGTACATCTTACAGATGCTTTCTCGCATCTGCACAATTCTGCACATACATAAGACGAACAGGATGACTTGCTGCTAGTGATCGTTCTGTAATTTGTACAGCTTTGGTATAGAATGATGCTGCTTCCCGGTAATCTTGTTTACTTTCGTAAAGTACACCCATGTTGTTGTAAGTTGCAGCGAGATCAGAATGATCAGGTGGAAGTGATTGTTTCTGTATTGCAAGAGCTTGTTCGTAAGACCTCATCGCCTTCGCATGTTCATCCAAATTGCTATATATATTACCAAGAACAGTATGAGATTTCGCCAATTCAGGATGGTTTGCAGGTAGAGATCGCTGTCGAATGATAAGAGCCTTTTCATGACAAGCAAGTGCTTGCGAATACACATTGTTGGCTTTATGTACGATACCAATGTTACTGTAAGATGCAGCCAAATCTGGATGATCGGGAGGAAGCGACTGTTGACGAAGGCTTAGAGCTTTTTCATGATACGAAAGTGCTTTTGAATAGTCACATCTACGCAGATATACGTTGCCGATATTATTGTAGGACAATGCCACATTGCATTGATTCGGAGAAGATGACTGTGCTTGAATTTTTAAAGCTTTCTTATGAAATCTCAACGCATCGAAATATTCTCCTTCACTGTACATGACCATACCAAGTTGACTATAGATTGATGCCTTTTCATCTTCATCTGTTGTTTGGTTAAGTAATATCTGATAGATCTGTTTAGCCTTGTTCGATTGTCCTATTTTGAATAATATCGCACCTAATCTATACCAGCTTCCATGGGTTGGAAAACTTTCTTTTCGTATATGATCCATCAATACACATAATTCTTTATCATCATCGGCAGTGAGTGACAAGTTAACTTGATAGAGATTTTCGATGTCACTAATTGGTTCGATATCGTGAACGCGGAAGACCGAATGCATGGAAAAGAGAACTTCATCTTCGTGGCTGAAATAACTAACGTCGCGAATGGAAGCAAAGGGCGTTTTTGATTGTAACGGATCGACTTTTATAACAAAGAATATCCCTACAGAATCTACTGCCACTGCCGCTTGTTCGGCGAACGAAAGAGACACCTTTTGAATCTTGCTCGTTGATAAAAAATTGTTGAAAGATAATAATCCACCTTTTGTTGCCAACAATTGACTAAAATGAGCTTTGGATATCTTCTGTCCACGGTAAACCGTGAAAGTTTGAAGAGAAGATCGATCAGAATATTGTTCCTTGTGTAGATGCTGGATATGCTGATGAAGATCTTTTATGAAAAAGCCCATCTGTACAATGGTGTCACCGTCCATTGCTCTCAAAGCACTATTGAGCATAGGGTAAAGAAAACATTCATAGCTATACCACCAGATTGGTGATCTTTCGGGATAATTTCGTTCTAGTTGCTTGACTTGTTTAAATTTTGCCTTGTCTCCAACAAACAATGTACGACAATATTCAATATAGTTTTGAAAATGTTCCTGTTTGAAATCGATCGTTAACAATATTTCTTTGAGAATTTGCGTATACATAAAGGAGGGTTCCAACTGGTCCAATCTCTTGCCTGACGCTACAAAACTCATAGATACAGCGTTGTGTTCACACTGTTGTGCTGCCTGTTTCAAAGCTTCACAGATCGGTCCTATCGCTGTGAAGACTGCCTTTATTTTCAACCATGCCTGAGCCCAGTTTTCATATCGTTCCCTATTACCACAAAAAAATAAAGATGGAATCCACTTGCATCATATCATGTACACGAGGAACAATAAGTTGACCAAGAGAACCTGAAGTAATCATACATGTCTTGCGATCTTTGATTGTTTCTATGAATTGGACGCATTGATCAACATCAGTATATATCTCCAGGTCGGAAATAATCGCTTGAAGCTTTGCGATCGTATTTTGATACTCTGCTTTACTCGTATCAATATTACGGTCTAACCATATAAGAATTATATTCTGTGTACTTTCTATGCCGATTCGCTGAGGATCGTGTGCGGTGGCCATCAATTCTCTGCTACCAAGCCACCAGCGGAGAAGTTCGACTTTCGAATTTGACTAGCTTTAGACATCTTTTTTCGTTCTTTTGTAGTGTGTTCTTATCAAAGTTATGAAAAGTCAACAGATAGACTTTGACTAGGACGATGCAAGAATGTTGGTTCTTTTCAAGAAAACTATTTGTCACACGTTATTTGTGACAACTGATAGTATGTATATCTAACAGCTCCATCTGTTTGTCGTTCTTCTCTTTCGTCAATTTTGTTTGCTGGTCATAAAAAAATGTAAAGACACATTCATTTTTTAGGTATCATTTTCTACAATTGTAATGCCAGATCATCGTTCTTATCAAGATCCATTCTATGGATGGACCATACCTAAAGCAGTATCTCTCTGTGTTCAAACGTTAAAAGAATGCAGTTCATTACCATTTCCAGCAATTCAAAAATTTATTGCTCGTAAGGCGACGACAAAAGGAAATCGAATCTCTTCTAATTAATATAACGTTTCTAGTCAGTGAAAGTCAAATTTTAAACGAACAATCATCCACTACAGCACTAGACCATCTAACAAAATGTACGAAAAAATATGATATCGCGTTCGAAAAACTACTCATTATATATAATGGATTTGTTACCATTCTTCGCCTTGCATTGAAACCGCCAGCTGCATTTCTTAAACCAGATGTAAACACTATCTTCTATCGCTTCTTCGTACAAAGTTCTGTTGTTTTAGATATTCAAAGATGATCTACGTGACTTAAAGTGAGTTTACTTATATAAGATTCACTCTTCTAACTTCTTCTCTTTAGATTTTCCGAGGAAATTATTGAAGAATTTCATAACATTCTCTTTGGTTCGAAGTAAGACAGTTACTCTTCGTTCGCATGTAAAATTAATCGGATATGTTTAGACGTGATCAATTGTATCTTACTGCACAAGAGTCTGATCGTCCTCGTTTGTCACTATTAAAATCATTTGATTGGAATCTCGATGTTACTCTAACAACCGCGTATGTTGAAAGCAGATTTTTTTTCTTTGTAACTCTAAAGTATTTCTTGTAGATCGTTGTCACGATGTGTAGAACCGTTGTTGTTCTTTAAATTTCAAACCACTGGCAATCGAACTTTGACATTCGAAGTAAATAGAAGAATCAGTTTACCGTACAACTTCATCAGTTCATTTAGGTACCCATAAAGAAATTCAATGAACTTCGTTATAACACCGCATTACTTCTCAAAGAAATGGAAGAAATCGATGGAAAGCAAACATTGAAGCTACTCGAAACTTAATCTCTGTTCCGATAACTTTCTTTTTCTGTCATTCACTCAAATAATAACATATGTTTTATTAACAAAAGATCTTCTCGTACAATTAGGATATCAGATAAGTAGAAAAAAAACATACAGGAATATTTGCCAGTTGATCATTGTTCTAGAGGATGTCGCGATCGAACGCAGATGTTGCTTGTAGAAGGTTTTATACATCACCGAAGTAAAACAATAGGTCGGAGTTTCACTCGTCAGAGTTTTCTTCACTTTCTTGAGTAAACTTGGCGAACAATTCTGTGATAATTTCGGAGACGAACTTAGACATGAATTGAGAATTAAATATGTTTCACATTGATCGAATTGTTGATCATTGTATGATCGATGGTGTTGACGGCGAAAAAAACACATGAGAACGTAGTTTTGACAAAAGTAATCATTGATCGACGCCGCAATCGTTAGAGCACGATTGTCAACGTGTGAAGTCGAACAGACCAGTTGAAAGAAGTTCAACGTCACTAAAATACACGCTCGGACGTAAACCATTACGTAAATAGATGAATGAAATCTTCTGCAATAGTTAAAATGAGTCAGTTCACTTTCCGTATAGTTCACTCAATGAGGTGTACTGAACCAACAAATAGCCATTGTTCTTGAATCTATTAATTATTAAAACTTAGATGTATACGACGAGAGATAGAACAATTAGATTGACGTAAAGGGAAAGAAGAAATGTCATACGACTAACATTACTATCATATGCTGGTTAGAGATAAGTGCTGAATTGATGAATGAATGAATGAATGAATGCAAGAATTTGCTCTATAAATAAGAAGAATAGCGCGTCGTCGTTGCTAATTTCCTGTTTCCGTCGAAGAAAATGGGCAGTCGTCATAGTTGAAATCGTTATAAACATACTGCAATATTGAACTTCTCTTTATCGTGCGTGCAAATCAGTTCGAAGTTGTCAAGAAAACTATAATCCCACTTAGTTTTATTAGTAGAGAGGAAGACATGCTTAGTGAAATAAATAAAATATACAGAACAAAGGACAAGCAAATATTCGAGATTATTCGTTGGTGTTCACGAAGACTTTCGGTTTGGAGAAGATTTCGATGGCTTCGTCTAGTTCAACAAGTTTCTTTTCGATGTCTTCTTTCGTTTGGCGAATTTTTAACGAATCATTACGTAATGGTAGTTGATGAAGTTTTTGCTCGAGATCAGATCGAGTCGATCGAAGTTGCTGTAACTTCGATTGACGTTGTTGATTATCAAGTTTTATATGACCTCGAGGACACTCCGGATCAGGTGTGTTGGCAAGTGCCTCGTCCATGTCTTGATCGCGTTTTTCTTTCATTTTCTCGATACTACAATCATGAAATATGTGAAAAGAATGATTTGTACTTAAGAGAATACGATACTGACTAATTTGGCACACGGCCCTTTTGTTTTTCTTGATATTTCTGAAGTCTTTTCTCCTGCTTCTCTCGAGATTCTTCGACTGCTTCTGCACTGACAGCTTTGCGTGTTTTTGGAAGTGTTGTTACGTAATCTGAATTGATTTTTACAAAGTTTGCCTTTGTTTTATTATCAATAGGTGCAGTTTTTGCCTAAAGAGGAAGATAAGTAAGGTAACACTGAGAAGAATTTCAGTTCCTACAAGATTTTCAGACGAGTTGGTTTGTTCCGGACGAGCACTGCTAACCGATTGAGATCGAAGAACTTTCGGTCCTGTATTCTCATGTGCTCGAAGAAAACGGCCTTGCGCTGATTGTGGACGAGAACGTGGCCGTTCATCATCCTACATAAGACGAACAACGTTCGGTACTGTTCTTACAAGAGTTTGAATTTACTTTTTGGAGTCTTTGTTTCACTTTCGATTGGACATGATTGTACTGTTTCGATTGCCAAAGTTCTTTTGCATGTATCGGTTTCGATTTTTCTTCTTTTTCCTTGTGCCGTTTTTGTGTTTCGCGCATAATTCGTCGAAGTCGTTTGACATTTTCGTTCAATTGATTTTTCGGCAAATCTATAACAATAAGTTTTGATTTCTTTAGTTACACGAACGATCTCTCTTTCTCATACCTCCTGTTCGAGTATAGGGCATATTCGGATATCGAATGTTGTAGAGATATGGAGCACCAGCACTTGAAATGGCTCGTTTATAGATAGCCTTTGCGTCTGATCCACGAAGATGTATAGAAGTACGGAAATCACTAAAGATATAATGATGTTCGCAAGTTATCTCATCGAATGATGTTCTCAATCATACCATCTTGGACGATCATCTGTACCAAAACCAGGATCTGGTGGAATCGGACTTCGTAGACGAGAAGGTCCTATTTATAATAGATGCTTAACAGAAGCGGATGATAGAATGCAAACCTTCGGGATTCTTTGTTTCCTTATCAATGAAACGTCGTTGATCAAAGCTGTTCGTAAGAGAAGGACCGAACTGAGCTGACCATTGAAGTGGGTTGCGAGACAATTCCATCAGAATCAATCACAATCACTCTCAGATCGGATTTTTCGCTACTGTTCATTACCATTAACATGCTCATTACTATGGATCGAGAGTCTTAATTTTCAAAATGGAATTTTTCTTGAAGAAAAACTCTTGTTTCAAGATGAATTGTTGCCAGATTCGTACTATTCCTGAGCTGCATCTTCAGAAAAGCCGCTATTATAGATGGCAGTGTAACAATTTCATTTGTTTCCTATCGAATTGAATTCGTCCAATCGGAATGTGCTGAACGTTAATTCTTTCCAGTATACTTGATTGATGATTGATTGTCTGTCAACAAGACAAAAAGGAAAATCAGAATATCAATTATGAGTATTAGTTCACATCGTTCCGTTGAATGTAGTGTATGCCTTCAACCACTAATAAACCCTGTTAAACTACCATGTGGACATTCCTTTTGTTTTCTATGTGTAAAAGGTGTAGCAAACGTGAGCCATAATTGTGCTCTTTGTCGGTAGGACTCATTGTTGTATAAAAAGAAATTTAGGTTTTTGATAACACGATATCTTTTAGAAAACCGTTCTCACGTGAACTTATTGATAAACCAAATGTGTTAGCAGCTGAATTACGCGATGACGAATCATTATCACCGAGTGATTCCACTTCACGACACGTATGGTACGATATTCATTTCTCGATCTTGTGCAGCTGCTGCGCTCCGATTTCGAAATGAAGATTTTCTTGTGCTCGTTGTAGGTATTATGAAGGACGTAATGGTTGGTGGATGTATGATCAGCGAACAAACGACGAAATTGATCAATCATTTCGTCGTGGTGATCGACGAGTGGAAATCTTGATTGTGGGTCATCTCTATATTGTTGATTTCGAGAATATGAATCAATATCGTTTGAATGATACACAACGTCGTCGTCGAATCAAGTATGATTTAATCTCTGCACCAAAGAAAGGAGTTGCTGGATTGAAACTCGATCTCCAGCGAACAACGCAATACAATCCAGCGAATGATGAAACACCTGTTGTACCATCTCTAGCTTCGTCAATACCATCAATAATCGCAAATTCTTCTCCGGCAGATCAATCTCGATCAAATGCTGACGGAGAAGAGCCGAATCTAGCATCGCCTGCCGTTCTTCCCGTCGATGACACTAATCGAACAGCTATTCGACAACCTGCTGATGGCCTTGGTAATCCGAGTACGACTAATCCAAATACTTGGCGAACAAGTACCAACGTCGACGGACGTCGCTTAATATCATCGAGCAGTGATGACGATGATGATGACGAAGACGAAGTTCCACGCGCATCTCGACTCCGACCTGTTTTGATTGGTGGCGAAGACGATACCCAGTATAACAACCATTCCAATAATATTCCTGTCGATGACAATGATAATACAATATTAACTAATCTTTCATTGAATGACTCGAATAATTAAATCGTCTATTCGCTTTTCAAATTGGGAATTGGTTTATTTCTATACATTACTTGTCTATCCGGAGAGACATTTTCTTTCTTATCTTGTTTACGGTCTAACTATTTAACGTAAACAATTATATTGATTACATTTGGAAACACGCGAAAGGAAATGACGCAAAGAAACAACTTTTTTTTTCTTTTATTCAGTTATCCTTTTTCCGTCGGTGTTCGTGACTTCTCTCTTACATAGAACAGATGCTCTCGTACATACATACATACGCTCTTTCGGGCATCTATTGAACAGATAAACCTGAACTTGTCTATTCTTTTTTTTTCAAATATTGTTTAACAATTCGAGCAGAAACACACAAGTGTCGACGCGGTAGTCTAATAGTCTGTTTTATTTCAAGTACGCAAGACGTAAATTAATGTTATTATTAAACTCTTGTATCTCGGCATTTGGTGTTTGAACGTGACTATATAAATACTATTTTCTTTTGTTTTTCAGATTTATCTTGTTTCTTGGAGGTTATGAATGATATCGAATATACAAATCGGCAAATTGATATTCCTCACAATCCGTTATCGACAAGTACAAGACCTCGGTAAGAGACGAATGGGCGTGCTACTAAATATCACGAGAACGAATTTTTTTTGTTTGTTTAACTACATTTGTCAGACTTCGAAAGAAAATTTTTTCGAAAGAATGTCGCTACCTCTAGTTTTCTTTTTTCGATGTTCGTGTAAAGTACTACAGTCAGCTGACTCATAGGCGTTGTTCTGCTCCTTTTTCGTCATTATGAATAGTCCATCGTTGACTAATGATGGCGTTAAGATATTTTTTTCCGTTGACAATCGACTGTGTTAGTCACTTGAAGTCAACAGAAAAGTTTTTCTTTCGTTCTTTTTCCTCCACTTTAAATACGAGTGAAAGTAAAGCCATTTTTAAAAAAAACACAGAGCAGTCTTGTCCGTACATAGTTAATAGATGATCTTTTCGAGACAAACTTCAAATGGACGATTTTCCTTCAGGTATTCAAAACAATTTCATTAATTATTGAATTCCTTTCACTAATATTGGACGTTGAGCAATTCATGACTTGATTTGATTTAGACGATCACAACGTAAACGAGTTAGTCCCAGTCTCGAACCTCGATCCCTGACAACTATAGTCGATTCGAAGTCTCAATCAACGGCTGTTGATCAAGCAATTATGATCAACAATCAACTTTTGACGCCAAATATTGTTGCTCAACAAAAACTCGGCCTATCCGACAGTGTAAATAAACTCGAATGCTTCTCACAGATTCTTCAGAGCTTGCTTTTTCTTCTTTCGTTTAGTTGAACAATGCTAGTTCAGATACTGATGCACCTTCGTCGAACTTCTCCTATAAGAAGAACCATTCGACATCCGATCTCGATCCATTCGAGCGCCGCAAACAAGCAGCCTTGCTTAAAGCGGAAGCTAAGTTAGAAAAAGCCAAACGTCTGCATCAGATTGCTCAACAAAACGTTGATCGAATGGTAGATGAACTTCTCCGTCAAACAACAATTCCCGGAGGTTCACACGATTCGAAAACATCGAAAGATTCTTTTGATAAATGTGTCAGTAAATTAGAAGATACAAAAAAGCAATTGGCAAAGAAAATCTCAGACTATCAAAGTGACATTGCTCGTATTCGTGCTGGTGATATACCTAAACGTTATGTGCCACACGATATTTTAAGTTCTCTGAAGAGCAAAGTCTCCAACGATAATATCGAACATCATTCAACAAACGAGACATCAACACCGATCGCCAATGAACACTCCAATTCAACACAGCATTTAGACACTGATAATCAGACATTGCTTCCATTGTCATCGATAAGTCATAATACACTAACGGCGAACAATCTCACCAACCAAAATCAGAATTTATTATCGTTAAGCCAAAATAGTAACACACTGGAACCATTTCGATCCTCTCCATCAAGTTCCATATCCAATGAAATTGGAAATTCACAATTCTATATCGATTTCAACCGTAAATCTTTCTCACAAATTATTATTCATACCATTTCATCTTTGTTTTCTTTCTTTCTAGCTGAGAGCCACGATACAGAAAAATCACCTTTCACCAGACGACGTTACACGTTCGTACCAACCCTCGTTTAATCTCGAATATAAAACTTCTTTTCGTTTAGTGATAATTCAAATGCTGAATCGAATGATCGAATCTCGGATCATTCCAGTGACGAACGTTTTGTCAGTCAAAATTCATCTAAACGAAATACTATGGTAAACAGAATCTGTTGCTTTTGATTTTCTCGTTTGTAAACCTGTCGATTTTTAGTCCACAATTGAATATCATCAACTGCTGTTGAAAATTGATTTGATGCAGAAGACAGTCGATCGTTATGAGAATCGAATGACAGAATTGCAAAAGCAAATAGATTCACTGATCGATTTGAATGAAAATCAACGCCAACAGAACGAACACTTAAGTAACGAAATCACAGACTTAACAACTCTGCATCAACATGAAATGCCTACTGTGAAGAATGATTTGAAGAAATTAGAGGAGAAACTTCTATACAATTTCAATGAATACTGGTCGGAAATGGTCGAGAAATTAGATAAACTTGAAACACGAGTAAGTGCTGGAAGGATTATGAATCTAATTTCGCTTTTGTACATTGCGTTTTTAGACGACGAAAGTTGAACAAACTCAAGCACATTCGCTTGAAACAGAAGAAAATACCCATCGATTGATTAGTAAATTTGTTAACATTCTCCTGACAGTTTTTGCCATTATTCTTCTTTTATTATCCACAATTAAAAATCTTGTCCAATCACGGTGAGAAAAACCTACTCTTCTCCAACAAATTATTTCATATTCTTCTTTTCTTCAGTGTACATGCAGTCATTCTATTTATCCTCGTTTCTATCTGGATCACATGCCACTATCTACCTGAGAATTATTTCCAACGGTCCTACTTCCGAGGTAAACATCTATTTTTCAACTTGCACGTCCTTTTTCACCGGTCTTTCTTTCTAGAATTACCCAATATCTTCAAGCGAACATCGTAAAACTCAACTACTTCACCCCAGTGATACCACTTCATGCCTTATTCTCTCGTCTTTTTTTTGTGAAGATACCAGTTCGTCTGGCTCTTATCTTTCTTTCGTGTATGTGAGCGCGTGTGTTGTAGTTTTAGATCGAAAAAAAAAAAGAAAACAAACTTCTCATCAGAGCATTATTTCATATCATTTTCGTCTATTCTAGCTGAAACTGTCAAGTTTTTTCCTCTTCTTTCTCTTCTCTTCACATCTAGTCGTTCGATAACTTTGTCAATGATGCTCAACAATGCGAAAAGAACATTTATGTATAAAATTATATGATGAAAATTCAATAAAAAGAATGTCTCTCTTTCTCCCATTCTCTTCGTCGCGTAATTCATATAATAATGTCGCTATCAACCGGTGTTCAACATATTCTCCTTTCGCTATTGGTTACTTGAAAATATAAAAGAAATAACTAACAACCTACACAAAGACAGCTGACTGACTATGAAAAGGAAAGAAAAATTAATTTAGGTTGTCATCGAGTTTGTATATCAAATAGGCGAGATGTGATACAATAAAGATATCGTTAAGATATCTAGCTGATGATATATATTCGCTCTGAATATACGACTTCGTCTTTTTTAGATTTTCAAACCAAACTGTCATGGTATCAAGTCTACTTGCTCGTTGCATCATGTATGTTTCATCGCTTGGAAATCTTTTTCGTGCTGAAGGTCCTTTTCGTTTCTTCTCTAGCGTAACAATCGGTACACTTTATCCTGGTTATCGATCGTACAAATCACTAATTACTTCAGATTTACGTGCAGTGGTACGAATGAGAATGTGAATTTGGAATAAAATTGAAATCTCATTGTAGGTTGATTGTCTTCGATATTGGATTGTCTTTTCCATATTTATCGCATGTGAAACAGTTACTGATATAGTTCTCTCATGGTAATTAGTTCGAGGAATTGTTCAAATTGAAGTTAACGATTTCCTTAGGTTTCCGTTCTATTACTGGATTAAAATTGCAATCGTCTTTTGGATTGTTTCACCGGCGGGCTCAACATTTTTGTATAAACGTTTTATTCAACCATTACTTAAAGAACGCGAACAAGTAAGAGCGAAAACGACAAAAATGTACTTTCAAGGTAGCAAATGTTCTGCATGGTCAAAAAAAGAACTTTAGACTTAATAACTGATCGATTCGGTTGTTAAAAATTAGTTTAAACGACAAAATATACAGTTACCTAGGCGATGATTACATAAATAAGTTACTTCATCACGTTCGTTCGATGACATAAGACAGTTCTTTTTTAATCAAGTGTGAAATATGAACATGCGACTATTTTTTTCTCGTTCGAATTTCTAGGAAATCGATCAATTGATTGAACATACGAGACAAAAAAGCTATTCCGCAATCCTTGATCTAACAAATAAAGGTTTTCGATATGCATCAAATGTATTTTTAAATACTGCTGTATTGGTAAAGGATGTCCTCGAAAGGTTAATGTATTCAATTCTATTTTTCTTTCAATAGGGTCAGACGTATCTTGGCGAACATCTCAAACGATCATTGAGTACAAGCGATATTAGCAATAGCGGAGCAAAGAATGTCAACAATCCACCCGCAACATTGTACGAAGAAAGTGAAGAAGGTTAGTTGCGATTACTTTGAATGACAAAGATGTTCTTTTCGTTTGCTTTTAAAATAGATGTCGAATTTACTAGTCGATTGAAAGAAGATCAAAAATATCTATCCAAGGGAACAACTCGCAAACCATTATCACGTAAATATTCTTTTGCGAATAGTCCAGATGATTCAGTTCGATGTTTAGATTATCAAGAGAAACCAGATGATTTTTCCGACAATCCATTAGACGAATATGAAATGTCAAAGGTTATGTCTCGTCGAGGACGATCAGCAAATAAAACAAATTCTAGTGAAGTAAGTAACTTAATCGATTTTTCGTCATATCGATGGCCTTCTTTTTCTCTCCCATAGAACGAAAGGTAATTAAATCTGTGTTCTTTTGTGAATCTTTCTATAGCATGTTTTCTTTCTATTGATTTCATCCGATTGAGTCGCGTTTGCATTTATTTGTTTAGAACCATGTCGAAACCACTTCTAAACGACAAGTAAAATCAACCAACACAACGAAACGATCAGCCGTCGCGAAAACAGGCGCTTCACTTGAACGTGCTGTGAACAGTTCCAATGATACTGATGACGAAGTCGAAAATATGCGCAAAAGAACTTAAAAGTCGTTTCTCTGGCTAAAATCGGATCAACGGCATTTCATTTTTTTTTCTTTCGTTTTTTTTTATTTCAAAAAAGTTATATCTATCGTCTCGCTCATTGTGTATATTTCTTGAAAATATGTTCCATTTACGAAGAAAACCAAGTTTTATAAATATATATATATGAAAGTTCCTACTAGATTTCGATTATTTAAAAGATACTTTTTTCTTCTTTCAAAGACGACCGAAAATTTCAAGAAAATATCGTCTTAACATTCAGTAAACAGCAACTCTGAGCAAAGAATATCTTGCGGCTTAGATAAAACTATACTTATCGAAAGAAATGTTACCATTTCCATGCAACGAACAGATAAAATACTGATCTTTTCTGTGCATTCCAATGTACTTATGTCCATTAGATTATTATCATTTGTCTGAATGCGCGGTTGCTGATCATCAAGCAGTAAAGGTCAAATAAGCCCATTCGATTAGCGAACGTTTTGTTGAAGAAAGTTTTCTGTTCAAGATTATTNCGGCTTAGATAAAACTATACTTATCGAAAGAAATGTTACCATTTCCATGCAACGAACAGATAAAATACTGATCTTTTCTGTGCATTCCAATGTACTTATGTCCATTAGATTATTATCATTTGTCTGAATGTGCGGTTGTTGATCATTAAGCAGTAAAGGTCAAATAAGCTCATTCGATTAGCGAACGTTTTGTTGAAGAAAGTTTTCTGTTCAAGATTATTATTGTACGATATACTCTAGTGTGTTTCAGTTGTAAATGATTGTTCAATTGAGATGTCTGTTTTTTTTCTCTCTCTCTCTCTAGATAATCTATTTTCCAGATCAAAAGCTTCGACGATATTTTCTTTTCTTCTAATTGAAATGGCATCTGAACATTTCCTTTTTTCTTTCTATGGATCATTGCAATTAAATATTCATTATCTGCGATGTATTTGAGAAACATTATGATGATTTACAACATCTAATTAGAACTCAATGCTCTGCATTATTCATCCGTCTTTTTCTCATCTAGTACGTTGAATTTGCGTCAGATCGGTCGATCTTATCATGCACTCGTTTTTTACAAATGAACGGTCAATCAGCAGGAGAATTGATATCACACATCTGGAACACAGTCTTTCTTTCTTTGTTTGTCGTCGTTTCAATTGCCATCAATATCTTGATTGACCGATTGTATATGAATGAAATCGATTGTCGATAGCGAAAGCCCTCGGCATACTTCTATTACATTCCATAAGATTTCAATTCGATATGGCCTGTCTTAGAAGTACGAAGTGGGAGACTTTCTGAAGAGAGCTTACTTACTATATTGAACATCGACGACGAGATATCGCGAGGGAGGAAGAGAAATAACTGAATAAAGAATCATACAATACTCGAGTATATATATATGTATGTATGGTACTGATGATTTCTTTTTGTCTGTATATATAGATATGCACACTCTATTCTTGTACGTCGGAGAAGAAGAATCAGGATATTAGAGTAATGTCGACTCCAAATTTGGCCAATACAAGAAGAAAACGGCACATCTTCTGATTGATATATATGTGTATACCGAAGTAGGAAGTATTTTCGGCAAAGAGAGAAAGGACAACACCAATAGAATGATGCTTTCCTTTTTCTTTCTTGCTCTTTCTCTTTCCTCTTTTTCTCTTCTTCTTCTCGATAAGGAAGAACGGAATAACACACCAGAAAAGAAAAGGAAATGATGAACAAATAATGATAACTGAACAGAAATAGATGCAGAAATGCATATCATTNATATATATGTGTATACCGAAGTAGGAAGTATTTTCGGCAAAGAGAGAAAGGACAACACCAATAGAATGATGCTTTCCTTTTTCTTTCTTGCTCTTTCTCTTTCCTCTTTTTCTCTTCTTCTTCTCGATAAGGAAGAACGGAATAACACACCAGAAAAGAAAAGGAAATGATGAACAAATAATGATAACTGAACAGAAATAGATGCAGAAATGCATATCATTGCCAAAATAAGAAACGATGTTGTTTATAGAACGTCATTATTGTTCATATCTGTACGTACCATTTCTAACTTGACCGACATAGAACAAGAAAAAGAATACTCTTAGCGGGAGACAGCAATCAGATCATCCTTCTTTGCTTCTTATTTCATCTCAGTGTGCCAGCTGGTTAACATCGAACATGCTGATCGTCATACCTCATCAATGTTGCCACTGTGTGCAAGCATTCTCATTTCTGCAACGAAAGAAACTAATTCATCTTTGATTTGTATATTCGTCGATGACGAAAGAGTTGTCTTGGCCAGTTCAATGTATTCATTGTACTAAAACGTAGAAAAACAAACCATCTGCTTCGATATTTTGTATTCTGTATACGTTGCTAGAAAAAATGCACGCGTAGACACACAGACTGTCTGTTTTTCTTCTTCTGTATCGGAGTTGATTGAACTAGTGTAAGGAAAAAAAGGAAGAACAGAAAATGCGTTATTGACTCGTCTTGTTCTTCGTGTCGGTTCTAAATAAATTAGTCTCATCCTCGTTTTTTCTCTTAACACAACAGACTGTTCATTTAGTATCGTTTTTTTTTGAACATGTGGTGGTCACCATTTTCTACATCTCTTTTTCGTCATTTTTTTTCTTTTTCTGTTCTTCTCGCTACCAGCGATCCTCAAGTGAAAATATTGTTCGGTCAAAAGACACATACATATACAAGGTAACCAGATCTGAAGAAAAGCAAACCTTTTCTTGGTCAATATCCTATTAAAAAAAGTAGGAGAAGATGGTCTCCAGCTGAGTTATTTGATAAATCGCTTGTTTTTCTCGTTGGCAAATTGCTGTTAGTTTTGTTATCATTATTCTTTTTCTCGTCCCCCTTCTTCATTTGGATAAATACGGAAACGCTACAAAAAAAGATATCGTTCGTATAAACAAGACAGATTGATATTAATAGGTCTTTTCTCGACGTTCGCAAAGTTCACATTGACTAATAGTTTTTGATTATTGATCTCTTCTTTGATGTAGAAATTTTTGAACTGTATTCATATTACGTATATATCTAACAAAAGGAAGAGTTCGTAACAACAATAATCGACATCTGGATGGTATTTTAATTCGGAGAAGCCAATAATTCATCAAAGTTTATTAGATCTTCATCAATTGACATCGGTGTTGTCTAAAAGTAAAAAGCAACAAAAAAATGTCGATGATTAATTTGCAAAGCATGGAAAACATTTGGACAGAACCAGCCGAGGATATGAATGGATATAAATATATATAACCTTGCCCGAGTATATGAATAGAAAAGTTATTTATTTGTATATTTTAGTAACTGTACGAAGAATGAAAGCGAGAGAAGATGTCTAGAGATAATTCGATGATTTTTGTCGATGTAGTACTGATCAAGAAAACTTCTGACACTGGTAAAACGATTAACGCGTCTCAGGAATCTCATAGATTCTCCTTAGAGTCAATTTGTTTTACTTGATGTGTCGTTGATTGATTTGGAATGGCCTCCGGTGCTGGATGTAGTTGAGCGCAGGTTGCGTTGGATTGTACAAGACTTTGTAGATCCGGAATGATAGGTGATTGTTGGTATTGACTATAGGTTCTCTCGTGTCCCAGTTGATTTGGAAAAGACATAGATTGTAATTGTTGTTGGGGTTGAGTCTGGTTATTCACATGACGTAAGATTTCTGTCAGAAGCTCAGGTCGAGAGAGTGTGTACTGTAAGAGATATTCATGACTTAAGGGTTGAAGATGTTGCGAATTCGATGGCGAACTGATATTTTCCATCGAAGAGTTGGATTGAACACCGGATACTGTGGAATAATCTCGAATAGGAGATGCATAGGTCATCTGCGAAGAAAATCAAAATGAAGTCTCGAGTGCAAGTCGAGTTTAACAAAAGTTTACATGATCATGAACGGAGGAAGGAGTAGCTGAGGGCGGAATCGAATCTGTACACATAAGCAAATTTAAATGGAATTTTGAGAAAAAAATCTCTCTTACATGGATTATCAGCAAACATTTCGGCTAGATCTGTGTGTGGTGTACAAGAACCATGATGATCACTACTAGCACCAACAGCAGAACCATCACCAGAATCATCTCCACTCTCCACACTAGAATAGAAGAATACAGATCGAGATGACTAGAAGTTTCATCGTACTTTAGAATGAAATTCGTGATCGGTTTGTATTTTTCATTTGTTCTATAGATTTCGTGCAATCGATCGTCTAAAAATGACAAAATCAAACAAATTCCCATGGAATTCCAAAGTTCTTTCTGTTTACGGTAATATTCATCGAAATCCGTGAATAATCGATAGTTTCTCATATTGTTACTATTATCAATGTTGGCTAGAACTCGAATGTGACTGGCTTTTTCCGCATGAGCTGTTGTGACAAATTTCACAATATCATTTGACAAATTATTCGTATCAAATGTTCGATATTGAAATTTGTTCGTTCGTTCTAAAAGAATCAATCCGTAGACTTAAACACAACTGAAAGCAAAGCACATCTCAACCAACTATTATAAATATCCACGCGAACAGCACACAAAAACGGTTTGACGGATCTATTTGCAGCGGGAGACGAAGCAATTGATTTATACTCAATTTTAATCGAGTTCATACGTAAATCAACGATCGGTGCATGAAGATCGGACGAGTTGATCATACACTCGGCAGCTCGATCGCTATTGCAAATACCAAGAAAGAGGCTGTTGAAGAGAAACATAGAACAAGAGATCATGGCTAAAATATTCATATATGATAATATTTTACCCGTCGGCGTAGAACATGGAAAGAATTGGATGTTTGGCCATGAATTCAACTTGATGAACGAATGGAATGACAAAATCCTATCGAGCCAAAACCGATAAGAATGTGAATGTGTAGAAGAAAATGAAGTTTCTTACGAGAAAAGCATCTTCTAACGTGTGAAAGCTTCTTCTCTCATCTACAAAGATCAGTTTCAATACAAACAGAGATAAATCATGATTTCCTTACGCTGTGCTCGTTTCAATTCGTATTCAAGATAGTTTTTCAGGTATTCGGCTGGTGCCACACCTGTTCGGTGTTTGAAATATCGCAACAAAAAATTCATTATCGTATGGACATCGATCGTTGTCGTCTAAATCGACAAGTATCCAAGGATAAATCTCGCAAAGCAATTATTTATTTACCTTGGAAAAGCGTCGAATATCATCAAGGATTACTCTTGATAACATGTGTGGTATATGATTATGATGAGAAGTAATAACAAATGACGATGATTCTAATGGAATTTGATAGATTTGAGAGTACTTGTATTCGTTTAAATGTACCTAAAAGAACAGAATCAGACGAAAAGCTTCGATCGGAAGAATCTTTACATGAACTTTAATAGCGAATTTCAGTGAATGTAGGGTTTCACTGAAGTGCATACGAGGATTGTTTTTGTTAGATGGTAAAATTGTCACCGAACTTAATTCAGCGTATTGAATCATGTGTGGTTTATCATCGGGGGAGATTTGTATTTGACATGTTTTCCATGACAATGTTTGAGATTCGTCAAGCTTATAATGAGCTGACAATGGCCATAAACTCAACTCTGCAAAGATTCGATGACGAAAAAATCAATTTGAATTGATTCGGCTTACCTATATCATACAAATCGATGAAATTAGGATGCGACTGGATAAAGTCATGTAATAGCGAGACTAGTATGACTGATACTCTCACGGTATACTCGGCACAGCCTTGTTTGCGATCATAGATAAGAACAGGATTTGCACCAAAACGAGGCTGTGAAACGATCATAAAAGAACTGGAAAAACAAATAGATATCGATAATGTTTGAGTCGTTCGAATTCAAAAGTCGATGATTACTTGCTCAGTATGTTGGGCAGTTCGCTGAGACCAGTTTCGCGAAACTTTAGATCGTTTCGCATTTTGTAATCGATGATATAGGTAAGGTGTTCCGTTACTCTAATAAATTAAGCAGTGCTCGATGAGTGACTTTCAAGTTGTTGCCAGATACACGTACCTGTTTTGCAAATGAAGTAAACTGGGAGGTTCTTTAGATTCTTTATGACTAATATAGAATAAACGTCGCATGTCTTGAGCAGTTCTCCGATGATTGAAATCCTGTTCTCGCCGTCGAAAATCCTAGACGAATCCGAACGATCGATATGATGCTTGAATACATCCAGTAAACCTTACATTGGGATATGTGACTGTTTGATTTGGTGTCTGATCTATTATTTTGAGTTTCATATCGAGACGAATATCAGAGATAAGTGGAAGAACCCTTGCAGTGTCCTACAATGAAAGCGTTACCATCGTACATTTGATCATAAGTGGTGAGGACAGACTTGATTTATATACGCAATCAGACGATTTAGCATTAAACATTTCTCAACAGATGCTTCGTTCATTGGAAGACTTATTCGTTTCTCTTCTAAAGCTTTTGCATAATCCAAAGGTATCCTTCAACAATCACGGAGCTAGGTCAATAAGTACATATCGAAAGCTTTTACCCTGATTGAGTGCGTCTTTCAATTTCATCCATGATTGATGAAAAATTGATTTCACCCACGGAATTGCGAACAAGAAACGCAAGCAAGCCGAATGTTTTATCAGAATATTCATTTGGGGCGAGAAATTCATAACATTGGAAAAGACCCGTTTGAGTGATCTAAAATATTTTTTCAGTCGACGTCTCTCATTCTTATTGCTTTCATCACCAACTCACCAATGGAAGGACAGTTGACGGTGACGAGGAGGCTAAATGGGATAACTTCGATAGATCGATCGATGTCTGGACAAATGAATACTTACATCTTGATGCTGGTCTTTTGTTATTCGATTTCACTGGAAACATGATGGTTTCTTTTCCTAACAGAAGAGAATTCTATCTGAAAGGGAAGATCGGATCGAGTACTATTTCGTCAGCCATAGATTCCTGTTGAATGCAAAGCACCGTAGTCGAATGTGGTTTAAACAGCCTCAACAGTACTTATAGGTGTTTTCTGGCTGAGAAATACGAGTCGGGGAAAGTTTCCCATCGTTCTATATCATATGTTTCAACGTGAATATGTAGATTAAGACATTTTACGCGGTAAAACATGAAAGAGCAAGAAAAGAGAGCGAGATTTTTGTAAACTTTCGCCGAATGAATGGTTCTTTCTTCGAATGAATATCCGTCGAGCAACTACACACACACCTGAAATGATACAGAATGATATTTCGAATAAGTGACGTTGGCATCTCATATTTACTCGTAAACCATAAAAAATAACAAAATTTTCTAGTAGTCTGAATGCTACAAGCGCAACGCACGACGACAAACAAACATATAACATGCATTGAAGTATTCAAATCTGTCGATTGCGTCAGAAGAAAAGTTTTATCTATTCATTTTGCAACTGTATTCTTTATCTATACGATGAATAATCATGACTCATTCGATGTGGATTTATAATTACGACAGTGTAAATATAAATTTCAAGTTCGTATGCTTGACGTGGAGTATTCATCAACGGCGTCTTAAAGTGAAAAGTACTTTTTTCTTACCTTTGGATTCATAGTAGTTATTCCTCGAAGAAATAACTCAATATGAATTCGGTCGCAGACATTTACACGTATTGATGAAAGTTTTTATTTTTATAAATAAATTTCGACGTGTTCTACTTCGATTTTTTTCTGCAAAATTTTATTCTTATTAAATGACTCGATAAATAGAACAAAGCAAATAAAAAAAAAAAGGAAGGTTATACGATGAAAACTTTCTTTCTGTCGCATACGAACAACGCACAAAAAGAAAGGAAAGAATAAAAATATAGAAGTGTCGCGTTTAAAACTCATACAGTCAATATTGAATAGACGGTCCGATTTTCTCGGAAAGATGGAGTAGGAAATAGGGTATTGACATGTTTTAAACAAGGAATAGTTTGAAACTTTTTTTTTTGTGGTTTTCTATGCACATGACGAGATGAACGTTGAAGAGGAAAACATGTTAAAATAAATTATTCATTAAAAACGACACACGCTGATAGTTTTGTTTTTAAAAAAATCAAGAATGGATACATATTCACAGACTCTATGTCAGACATAGTATAACGCAAATAATAGTTAGACAGCCTTTGCTCCTAAGTATTGGTCAAGTTCACTTTTCTGTATCTAAAATGGTGAGAAATCACGAAGTTATGTTATGTTGGAAGAAAAGTAGGAAAAAACCTTTACCGATTCTATGTCAAGTGCCGTCAAGTGGTCCATTTCATCGCCTGTTAAGAAATCAAGGACATCTTTCGAACAGAATACACTAGGACAAGGAAGACCATCCATTGGATGATCTTGTAGCGGCTCCGATCGAGTCGTTTCCACGACTAGTTCTTGCTGTTGGTGTGAGATATGAGGATAAGGCGATGAGTGCCCTTTGTACTCTTGAGTTGGTTGCAATGGAGGATTGTGATCAAGACGTTGTGCGTTTGGTTGTAAATTATGATAAATGACTTGAGGCTGGGTTGTAGCACTACAATGCACAGATTGTGAAGGAACTGATAAATCTTGAGAAGGCATTTGCGGTGCTTGATTTGTCATGTTCCGCGTTGACGGCAACATATTTAATTTGCACAACAATTTGCGCATCGAATCCTCGTTACCAACAACGGATTCAATCAGTTTATCAAGTAATTCTTCGTTATCTATCGAAGTAGTTGCATCATCTAAATATAACAAATAGATCAGATTATGTAGGCTTCTTTATGTTACTCGGATTGTCACGATTGGTTTTGTCAACACTGTTTTAGATTAATGAGATATGCATTTGATTATTTACATCATTGAACTTACTCATCAATGATATTATCGAGAGGTTTATAGGTTTCGATCGATGTACACATCGTAGTCAATTGCTCACCTAAAGATATCACTACAGTAACTTCTTGATATATCTATGAGACTTACCGTAATATTGTCTACATTCAGTCATTCGAATACTAACAGGAGTTCGATCAATACTTGAGAGAAGAAATATCTCGCTGGCTTTTTCTTTCGTAGTAGTATAGATAAGACTGCTGAGTTCTGATATAATTTTAGTAGGATTCAGTGTAAAATGGTGGGGCGAGTTCGTTTTATCTAGATAATTAAAGCATCGTTATGAAAAGACGATAAAGATATGATCTTTACAACATACGATTAAAAATATCCACTCGAAATGCACACCCTGGAGGTTCGATAACCCTACCGACGATGCTTTTTTCTCCAATAGCGTCGTAATCAATCCTGATTGAATTCAAGCGAAATGCAACTAGCAATGGGTGCGTTTTGGATAATTTTTCCAAATCGTTTTTCACTCGTTCACTATCACAAATGCCAAGAAATACTCTAGTAAAAGAATTCTATAGTACTGTTCTTAATCAGGGAGTTCCTTACTTCGTATTGTAAAGCATAGCTAATATAGGATGTCTGACCATGAATTCCACTTGATATACAAATGATGCAAGAAAATCCTATTAAAAAAAGACGATTAGACTATACGCATTCAATCGTCAACGCTCAATTAATGAATGAATAATGAACAAAATAGCAGTGTTATATCACATGGCACAACTTACCGTAAAACGTTCTTCATGTGTAGTAAAGTTTGCTCTTTTGTCTAGAATCGAACCAATCAATTTGCCAATAATATTGATTATGCGCATCGCTCACCTTTTGCTTCGTTTAATCCTGTTTGAAGAAAATCTAAAAGATGTTTTGTGATTAAGACACCGGTGCGATGAGCAAAGTATCTCGACAAGTAGGAAACAATCTTATCGATACTAGCTGATTGGTCCTAAAACGAAAGACATCCTGTTTGATTTCTCTGATAAAAGCGAATCATACTTTGCAATGTTTTTCTATATTGCACAGCAGAATACCGGCTAATAATCGTGGGATTTGAGACGTACGCTGTGCAATGGCAAATGGCAACGAAGTCAATGTTACTGAATGCGTTTTGTAGAAATTGTACTCTTTGCAATTGATCTACAATTGAATAAACGTCGATTTTGAATGAACTGATCTCCGTACACTTACTTGCACGTCAATGGTGAGCTGTATTTGATGCAATTTCTGAGCGAATTGCACGGACGTATCATCGTCATTTGTTTGAACAATGCAAATAGAAGGTAAATTAGCGTAATACATTCTTGTCGAATGATCTTTTGGATACCCCTGGAGTTCACAGATCTCCCACGATATTTCTTTCGGTTTTTTCAATTTGTAAGTATCCGCTGTTGGTAGTAAACTGATTTCTATACGAATATTTCCTATTAGATCAAATATAACACAGATAAACACTTGACATACTAATATTTTTAAATGTAAGGACATTCGGATGCATTTTCATAAAATCATGTAGCAAGGAAACAACTGTCATTGCCAATTTTGCATTATACTCAGGTGCTGTTTTCTTATAGATGACTATTGGAATAGATCCATTACAAGGATGTACTGTGATCATAAATGAACTAGAAGAAATAAAAGAAGATGCTCAGCTTCCTTCGATCGAGAATAATATTACTTGTCAATAATACTCAACAACTCTTTGAGGCCAATGTCTTGATATTTCGACCCATTTAGTGCTCTTATTTGGATCAGATAATCCAAATGCTCTGTCGTTCTGAAGAATTGAAATAGTATGCATATCGTTTGACGTATGAAATACGACATACCGATTTTGTAAGTGAATTAAACTTGGCGGTCGTTGAGCCTCTGAGTGACTAAGGTAGAACAAACGTCGGGAATCTTGAGCGTTTCTACGACAAGCAAAATCTAATTCTCGTTGTCGGAAATCCTACAAAGAAATTCTATCCGATGAAAATCATCGATTAGACAAATCTTACATCTGGATAACGAATCATATGATTACTTGCTTTGTCACTCATTTTGTCTACCATATCTTCTTTAATTTGGTTGACAGTTGCAAGAAATGCTTTAGGATCCTGTAAAAATTATGCTTCCAATATAATTTCTAAAATGAACAGATGCTGAAATTTACTTGGTTGATCTGCGAAATCCATCGATTCATCATCAGGCATTTCTCAAGTGAAATCTCCTTGTATTCTCGATATTCTCGTTCTCGTTCTCGTTCCAATATTTGTGAGTAAGCACGCGCGTTTCTTTTAAAACAAGTCGACATTGAACTTATTAAGTGTAAACTTCGTTTATTCTTACCCGTGTTGACCGCGTCTTTCGACTTCGTCCATGATCGACGAAAAATTGATTTCGCCAACCGAATTTCGTACGAGCCATGCAAGTAAACCAAATGTTTTCTCGGAATATTCATTTGGAGCGAGAAATTCATAACAATCGAAGAGACCAGATCGTACTTCCTATCAAAAATATTTTACCAATCAGATGTTTCATATTTCCGAAATAATAGAAAACTGTTACCTGTGGTGATTGTGATGATACTAGAAGAAGTCGGAAAATTTTACGTAAAATATTCGGCAAAGAAGAACTACATACAATCTGATGTCGATCTTTGCCGTTTACTTGATTTTCTCTCTGACATTGGCGCAACTTTCAGAGAAAAAGAAACAAACTGTCTTGAAGCAAAACGAGGTAATAAAAAGTTCTTTGATACGAAAGATATATCGCGAATAAAACGACTGTTGCTGTTGGTTGACGTTGTAATATTTAGCAGCTGCAGTCGAATCACTTCCTTTTCTTTTCTAAGCACATTTATACTCTTGTGTGACTCACGATATGAATAAAACTACTAGTGACTCAAAATAATAGAAACCTGTAATATTTCTTTGCCTACAGAACGAACAATTTTTTTCGAAAGAAAAAACAACTTTCCTGTACTTTTTTTCGTTGCCAATGTCAATATTGCAGCGTTTGCTTCGAATTCCGCGAAGGAGGAACGTATGCAACACGTCATTAAATCAATGGGAATTTTCACACATTCAACGTTCACAAAACACTTTAAAAATAACTAATTTTTCGATGACGATATGTACTCCGTATATGCAGAAGTATTGCAACGAAAGTCATCGACAAGAATTGACTTCGCAGCTGTGACGAAGATTAATACTTCATGAGATTTATTTCGCAGTTCGAAAAGATAAGGTTCACACAATTAAACACAAACTATTTGTATGCACACTCGTGTATTGACATATTGACTATTTGAAGTCTTGTACAAGCGTCTTCTTAATCATCCGATAAAGTACTGCTCGGCGAGCTGTTCGAATTCGATGAAAGCGTTGATGTCTAAATAAAAAAGATTTATTGAGTGATTAGGATTTGATCTGATTTCACACCTGAGTTGAAGCTTCGCTACATTTTTGTAATTGCAAACATTCGGATAAGATCGTAGCCAAAAGCTCTTTTTGATTAGTCTCCGTTAAACTCAAGAGATGCATAGATGCTTCAGAAGCAGATGATGAAGTAGATTTGATCAACAAATCGATGAATTTGTCCACTGCACGGCAAATGACTGTGTCAGTTCGTGCAACCATTTTTTCAGTTGTTTGTAAAAACTGATGATTAGTGGCAAATGAATGAGAAAGATCAGCTAGATATAGAAGGTAGTTTTATGTTAAAAAAAAAGACAAGGGTATTGAGCTCTTACTTTCCATGGCAGATGCTTTACTATGACTCATATCGATCGGTTGAGATTCTAGTTTCAGCGTATGACAAACTAAAGGTAAGAAGAATTAACTGGAAGAGAGCTGTATTTAAAAGTACCAGATTGTTCTTCCTTAAGATCGCCATTTGTCCTCCTAAATAAAAAAATGAAATAACAATATTCAACCGAATGTGTTAATTTACATCACGTTCCAAAGGATTGGTATGAATGGTTGATAAGCATCTTTCATCGGTGCTGCAGATGTATCAAGTCGAAACAATTCGTTGTCTAGAATGATTGATCAGAATTATGCTTAGTATATAAGACAGTCACCCTCTCACCGAAATAGGTAATGAAATCATGGAAAGTGTGATTGTTTTTATAAGAGAAGACCTGTATTTGTTTTGCTTTCTCCGAATTTGCTTCGCCGATCATTCGACACATTTCATCGACAAATGCCTTTCCGTGAAAAGTCGCTCTTATCAATTGACCTAGATGAACGCTTGATTATTAACAAAAACTGTCAAATGCTGTACAAACCATCATGAACGATAAATCGAACGGATGCATGCTGAACTGGTTGATGCGTGGCTAATGTATTCAAGCGAAGTAGAATATGTGGCTTTTCATCAGTACCACGTAGACACTGATCCACAGCGCTATTACAAATGCCAAGAAATAAACTAAAGACAAGGATTTGATTCTTAAAAGTCTAGGAAAAGTTTTTCTGATACCCGTCGTGATACATCATGGAAAGAAAAGGATGATCTATGAACACTTCCATTTGACTAATTATCTGAGCTAAGACATCCTGCGAAAAACAACAATAAGACAATAGATTTGCACATATCTCGTGATACTGACTTCATAAATACTAAAGGACGCTGCTAACTGTCCATCTTTTCGTCCTTCTAAACAAAAAAAGAAACGTTCATTTCGATCCAAACTATGGATTTTCGCTTCTCATACCATAAGCTAACCGCAAAACATGTTCGATATACTCATAGGTATGTTGTTTCATTGCTACACCTGAAATTTTCCCATAATATCGAGCCACATAGCCTGTGATCACATCAGATGGAACCGATGATTCTTTCTAAAGAAACAATCATATGAATTTCCAGTCTAAGCCCTCAAAACAGTGCTCGTTTCATACAGGTTGCACTTGTTGTGCCACTTGATAGAGAATCGCTTTAGCCACATATTCTGGATAATACTGAGCATGTGAACAGAGTCCAAACGGTTCAGACAGATAAATCAGACTTTGTTCAATATTATAAGCTTTTGTCTATAGAAATCGATTGATGGACACATATTGAATATCAAATGAAGCACTTACTCTTATTCTGCTACGAAATTGTATCTGACAAAGTTTAGCACTGTATAACGGTCTAGTATTTCTAATATCCAACTTTTGCAGTGTGATCGAATCGAGTTCTGCATAGAGGAAAGTGATTTTTTGATCCTCCGCATCTGTCACTTCTTTTTTACACCACTTCAAGGTCGGCTGACTTTCCCCGAATCCGTCGATCTTTCGATCGAATGGGAAAAGTGTCACATCTTCCAAACAAAAAAACAAGATTGATTACCAAGGTTATTGTAAACCTTACTGATATCATCAAGATAGAAATGCGCGGCAATCAGCTCTGGATCAAGAAGACATATTATTCTCGAATACAGTTTCGCTACATATTTGTCGTTGGTTTTTTCATATTTTGTTGCAGCGACACATTCGGGAATCGATGGTTGAGTAACAATGATAAACGAACTAAATATATCAAATCGATTCGATAGGTCTAGTAAGAAGAAACATCTTTGTATACTAGTGAAGCATTTTTTTCAGATGATTTTGATTTTCTTCTGTTGGATTGACACGATACGAGTTTAGATACTGATCACAGAGTTTATTAACGCTAAATAAAGAGAAAAATATATTGCAAAATCAAAGGAAACTGTTGTTGAAATGAAATTTACAATCGATATAGAGTTAATAAACTCTCTGGTCGACTAATTTCATCATAATGTATATTAAATAAACGCCGTTGACATTGTAAACGTTGCCAAAGGAGCACTTGATTATAAAAGTCTTCAGCTGACTAGAAAACAACGATTTTGACTTTTCATTCGAATCAAATTTCACTGGATGAATTACCCATGCCGGCAAAAATCTTGTCGTCATACGTATCTTGATTGCTTCATACAATTCTCCAGTGAGTTGAGCAACTTTACAAGGGTCCTGCAAAAGAATCAGCTGATGTTGTAACGATATTAATGAAGATCAGACGTACCTTTTTACATTCGGAGATCAATCGATTAAGCATAAAACATTTTTCTACGGAATGAATATTAGATTTGAGATTTCGTCGTTCTCGGATTAATAAATTTAACCAAGTAATTTTCAGACTAAACTTAAACAAGATGAACATCTAATAACATGAATTATCCTAATCACCTCCGTTGGTATAAAGTTGAAAAGGATAAGTTAATCAATCGTTTCGTTGCCAGAAAAGAAATCAAACCAATCGTTTGACTATTGATTTCATTCGACGCTAAAAAGTCTTGATCATTTGACATATCCGATGTAGTTAGATAATTCAAATTATTCGTAGTCACTCCTTCCATATGAACTGGTGAATTTGACGCTAGATGAGTTCGTGTATATATATATAGAGAGAGAAGATAAATCGAAGTATTAAACTTACCAGATCGCTTCTTTCCTCGTCTGGCTGTTGAGTTTTCGGTCGTCATATTAACTTTCTCTTTGTCTTACTGACATGATCGTTCGTTGAAAGGCGTCGATTAAATACTTGATTACAATTCATTTTTTCCTGGATAGATTCGTTTCTCCGTGAGCTGAGATAAAAAAATCACTATACTGGTGATTGTAAAGTGAAGAAATTTGATATTTCAGAGAAATTCTCTTCATTCTGGCTAAGGCCGCGTGCCTTTCGCCGAAAAAGAGAAGTGTAACTTCTTTTTATTTGTTTTCAGAAAGAAAAGAGAACCGCTTATAATTTTTCCTATTTAATAAGAAAGAAACCAACACAATTGTCCTTGTCAACATAGTTGAAAGGTCACATGTGAGAAGAGGAAACGACATAACGCTGATATATATTGTTCAAGGCCACTGAACGCGTTCATTTTTTTTATTATATTTTAGAATATTAATTCAAATGAAGACATTTATAGATGATCTGAACAATCGTACTCGCCGAAAAGTCCAATATCATCAACGGAATGAAATAAACTATTACTCAAAATATCAAGTTCATCTGTATATGGTTTGATTGCGCTGGGAGCAATGGTACCGCTGAGTTGATACTTTTCACATAGATCAGTGACGTATTTTTTCAGATCAGTCATTGCTTGTGTCACCGAAGTAAGATTTCCGCTAAACTCTCCCGTAAAGTAACATATCGGTGATGCATTCTGCTCGTCAGATATCGGAGATTGGCCTGATCTGAAAATCAAACAAATCATTACGGTAAACAAAGCGATCATCTTTATTTACACAGTATTTGGCGTGAGGATATTCACTGAATGAAAAATACTATTGTTATTTGGTTGCATCAAATGACTACGACTCAATCCACTATCTATGAAAGTAAAGTGAAGGTGAGTTTTTGTAAGAAAAAATATTAAGATTATTACCATAGTATAAATTAAACGTCGAGAAAGGAAGAAGTTGATCCTCAGCGAAGATTTGTAGGGAATTATCGGTTATTTCATTACAATATCGACAAATATCATTGAGTAGGTATTCAAAGCTGATACGTGATGTCGACAGGGCGTCTAAAGAAACCTTGCTAGTATTTTAATACAAAGTTCTTCTACAAACCATCGAATTTCACCACAATGAAGTCTGGATAGTTTTTGGGATCTTGTAAAGTAAAATTCTCGAAACGTATTAGTATTTTCGTCGAAGTTGATGCCATCTTTTCCAGTTCTTTATCGTAGATTTCACTCGTTATTCCGCGACAAAGACTAAAAGAACGAGTTAGCGAGAAAATTATGAAGAGTAAGAGAAAATTGAAATCTTACTTGTCATGATACATTAACGCTAGACATGGTTGATTATCTAAGAAACGAATTTGACTGAATAGATTTGCCATAAGATCCTAATCAATAAAAGCCAAATCCTGATCGAATCAAATTGGAAAAAAATGTATATCCGACTTCGTAGATGTTCAACGAAAAGATTAGAACAGGAGTCGTTGGAGACGCTGCATTTTTCTCGCACAATTCATAAAATCTCTGCATTTGTTCGACTAGAAACGATAGTGTATGTAGTTTGATGTTCACTCCAGTGACACGTTTATAAAATTTTGCGATATATTCTTTTAAAATGTTGACATGAAACGTATGACTTGTCTAAAGAGAAACCAAGTAAGGAAAACAGTTGAGACACGTTTGCTTACATGTCGATGCATTTCTTCGACTTCATTTAAAAACACTTTCGCTAAATATTTCGGATAATATTTCGCGTGAGAACATAGTCCGAAGAGTTTCGAAGTATAGATAACAGGGTATTCATAGAAATTTTCGTTCATCTTCACCCGAAATACCGTTTGAAACCTAAGTTTGCACAGCATTTTGTTAAACGAGGGTTTGCCATTGTCATTCAATTTTGTTAATTTTAAACACTCGCTCTCCTTCAGCTCGTAATAACCAAATATTCGCTCGGTATTTTCGTTTGTCATGATTGTTCGCGTTTTATACATGAGAGCCGCTTGTAAATCGCCGTCGGCTTCATCTTCTTCTCTTTGAAGTGTCATCTCTGTTCACAAGAACAATATATTTTCAATTAGTATATCTAATGACAAGACACTCTACCTGTATTTGATAGGGTCAAGTACTCTTGTGTGCGAATGGGGTCCAAAAGACAGAGGATCCTTGTCTTTAATTTTACAACAAAATTATTCGCTTCTTTTTCGTATTTAGTTGCTGCTATACAATCCGTTCCACATGGCTGTATGACAATCAGCAATGAACTAAATGTATGAACTGAGAAATTAACCGAAGTGATCGAAGAAAAAAAGACATACTGTTGAAATAACTCGAGAAGAATCTGTTCCTGAAAAGAATGAGGATTTTGCTGGAATAGATGCATCACATTGAGAAATTGATCTGTCATCCTAGGAAATAGTCAATCGCATAAGTAACAACAAGAAAAAAATAACAACATACAATCGCTGCAGTGTAAGTAGATTGCAGGATTGAACACACTCTTCGAAGAACAAGCGCCGTCGACATTGAATCTGTCTCCATGCTTGTACTGCTCTATATAATTGTGACGGAATATAAAACGTTGGTTCACAGGGTATTGCATCTGACATTTGATTCTGGATTGATTCGATCAATTGTGAAATCTGTTGATTCACGTGATTGTTTTTCTAAACAGAAACAAAAATGACATTGAAGTCTTTGTTTCAAGGCATTATACCTCAGCGCATGCGTGAATTAATCGATTGATCACAAATCGTTTCGGTTTGGCTTTATCATCCAGTTTTAATCTACTTCGCTCGTCGATTAGTAATTGTCTTCGTTCATCCTCATCACTAAAAGAAGAAATTTAACTGAAAAAGAGATCGTACTATATATATATATATTTACCTTTTCTCGAATAAGTTCCAAAATGAATGGTTCATCACTCGACCGGATAATAGTATCCATAGAAATGGATCCTGAACATTGATGGGTCCTGTAAGAAATTCGAAATCACTTGTGAAACTTCGGGATTTGGCATGGTTGAGAAGTCGTGATATGTCTAAGCATTGAAATTATTTCCGAGATGATCCATTCGAAGAAAATCAATTACTGTGTTTCGTTCGTTTATTTGTCTTGCATATTTTCGACATTCTTCTCTGTTTTCGACGAATTCTAAAACATATAATTACTCATCTTCAATTCACATCTAATCTTCGAAAATTCTTTTGTCGCGGAAAGAATGAATTCAACACAAGCAGAGAAATAACAACATTTTTTTTCTTTTCATCCTCCTTTTATTTCGAAGAAATAAGAGTAAATAAGTGTGCTTACTAACATTAAACTACGTTTCTATGCTGCAGATCACTGTTTGTTTTCTAGTTGAGGTGGAATTACTTACTTCGCACTGAAATAGAGTTGTTATCTCTTTCTAAGTTGATGTTAACGTTACCAGGCCGACTTTTTGAAAAAGAGTATTTGGAATATAAGAAAATTATCTAAAAGATTCGCTCGGAAGCTTAATTGGCCATGGAAGATATCGCGAATAAGAAATAAATAAATAAATAGAGTTTATTCAATTCTTGACTTATTTATAGCTGATGATGATTTAAGTTGGGAAATTGTGTTTGATATTTCGGGATTATTTGCAATCATCGATGTTTGGAACATCGATGAAATCTGATGTAGTACAATAGCTGCGGAGGCCATAGAGGAAAATTCTATTAAGATACACAGATGATTAGTCTTACTTGAAGAATCCGTTTGATTTTTGAACTTGGATTTGAGTAAAATTTGTTTCTTATATTTACAAAATATCTATCTTTGTCAAATACGTACACTAGAAGACAAATCTTACATTATTTTCACAAGACGAAAGTCGCCAACCCTTTTCCCAAACAGCTCTACAAATGATAATTCAATTACTTATAGAGTAATGGTTGCCAGAATTGGTATCTAGTTTCAGTATATAAAGCAGTACACAAATGCTTGTACATTTTCAATTAGAAGCCATCGATACTCTATTCTTTTGCCATTCTGTTAACAATTAACGCTGTTATGGAGGCAACCCGATCAAAATAGTGACAAAAGATTAATTCTTCAGACTTTTATATTTGCTTTCGCTTAGCTTGGGTTTTTGCCAACCTTAATGTTGGTAACACTTTCCTCCAGTCTGACTACGAACATCAATTACTACCGTCAACGCAAAATCATGTATTTACATTGTCATTAGTCAAGATCATTCAAAACATGTTGTCAGATTTCGTAAGTATCCATCATAGTTGATAAATTTAGAAATCAAGACTAGTGCATCCAATAACATTCTTTTAAATAATTAATCTCTACTCGAAAGTTATCGACTAGGAAGAGAAATTATCATGTATCCAATGTGGACTTACATACTTGAAGAACGCGACATGGATCGTTATCGTATAGGTAGTCATAAAATGCATGATATATACTAAAGCGGGTCAGATACGGCTATCATCGATTCACCTTGTCTGGAAGTTTTCGGCTTCGTCAAAGTAACGTGCATAACTTATGAAGTTTCGCTAGATGGCCTGAACGGCAAATTTTACTTTTGAATGGATTTCATCATGTTTCTGGAATGCACAATGTAAAGTTAGTATTCATTATTGTTTGTTCTCTATTTAAGCAATAAATTTATTTGTAGTAGAACTCTCATCTAACCTTTGCTTCTTTCAAACGGTCAATTTGACACGAGCAAAAGTAAGCGCATAGATTTAGATTTTTATCATAAAGAATAGAGACACTTCGTCTTTTTTTGAATTAGTAGAAGTGTAACGAGAAAATTTCGGACGCGATTGATATACTGCTAACGTTCTCTTAGATTTTTGACAAAATAATCAATCATTGGATGATTTAGTTCTCAATTAAAAATAAAAGATTTTTTTCTGATAAAGTTAGATTAAAAAATCACTTTAGGGCACGATGATTCTGCTGGATACAGTTTCGTAGTCGAAATCATAAGGTTCGTCTTTGATTTTGATTGATTCTACTGAGTCATCACTTCGTGCTTGTAAATCCATTTTCGACAGCTATGAAATAGAAACTCTTGCAGAATGCTTAACGTCTTTGTAATGACTTACTTCCGACGAAGAATTCGAACCATCAGGTGACTGCTCGGTAGGGGAAGTTATTCGTTGCGAACTGTGCAAGTATTTCAAATCTGCTATTGATAGGATGGGTGGTTCAGGTTGAATAAAATAAGTCGATGGTATAGTTTCGTTTTGATTATTGATCATTGTGGAGAATTTTTCACTTAAATATCGAAATACCACATCGGGAGAGATGTTAATATCAGCTGGCATCTCGATTAACCATTGGCATTTCTTTTTCACATCTTGAGAATCGGTCGTTGATTGAATTTGTTCGGTAGTTTTTGATGATTTGTCAGATGCTGAAAACGAATGTTGTCAAGTAATGGATTCTTAGAAATACATCGTCGCTTACTGGAATAAGAGCTTTGCCTCTGAGGACTATTGATGTGCAATACAATATTCACTGGAATTGGTAGGTTTTCCGATGTAACGGAGTCGATGGTTGGAAATGAATCAGAACGTGACCGTTTTTTTCGTGGTAGTCTCTCGTTTAAGAGTAGATGTCTATCGGAAGTATGTTGATCATCATTTTTTCTCCTGAAACGAAAAAAAAAGGATCATTTTGAGAAAAGTCCATCGAGTGAATGAAATATTTACATTGTCATCCAGAGAATTGGCAGTAAAGGATCATAAGCATCACTATTCGGCGGCGACATTTTATTCAATCGGTACAATTCATCGTCTAAATCGAATACGACAAGTTGAATCTTTATTTCAAGATTACTGGCGTAACTTACGAAAATACCATTGGAAATTTTTGAAATATCGTGGTGATATGGTAGACCGAACAAGTGCTTGTTTGGTTTTTTGATTCACAGATTCACAGATCAATCGACAGAGTTCATTCACAAATGATTTCGAATCAAAACTTGCTCGTCTTAGTTCCCCTACATATTAAATGGATTTCACATTGATTGGCAAACAAAAAACGTTCAAGAGATTTCTTTACCATCATGAATTATACATCGCATAACAGCATTACTGTTCCATTGATGTTTGACGAGTGTATTAAAACGTAATAGTAGTTGAGGTTGTTCACGAGTACCTTCTAACGATCGATCAAAGTCAAGACTATCGCATATGCCGAGAAACAGTCTACACGAATCAATATGAGGTAAGTCATTTGTATAGAATCATCCCTTACCCATCATCGTATAATAACAGAAGAACTGGATGTAAAACCAAATAATCGATCTGGCTGATGATTTTGGTTAAAATATCCTATTTTAAAGATAAGGAGATCAATTTGAACGATGTGAAACTTCTCCTACTTCGAATGCGTGGTCCAAAGTGTTGACAGAACTTGTGTTTTTCATATCTAAGCATGGAGAAAGTGAATCAAATAGAGAAGTGTTCTGAATAGAGTGATTTTACCACCAATGGCTCGTGTGAACACCTTGCAAATGTATTGATTCGTGTGCCCTGCTAATTCGAAGCCAGTGGTTCGTATATAATATCGTCGAACAAAATCCGTGATGATATTTGGATCAGTGTGCAGTCTTTGCTAAGATTGAATACAGATCGAGATAAATTTTCAAGAAAAAAAAAACACACTTTTCTGCTTACATCCTTGAGAATTTGTTTCATTTCGTAGAGAAATATTTGTGCAACAAATTTGGGAAAATATTGAGCATGAGAGCAAATGCCAAATGGTTGAGAAGTGAGAACAATATTTTCTTCAAAATCCAAATCTATGGCCTAGTGGTATTCGTCAACGGATCATCAGTCAATGGGTGCTGAAAACGAATTACTTTGACTTTGAATCGAAATTCCAATTGGCAAAGTGTTGAATTCAATGAAAGACGTTTACTATCCGAATCATTCTTTCCCAATTTCAGCGTGTGAAATTCAGCACAGAGCAATGGAACGGAATTACCCTCAGCATCCATCACTTTTCTTACTTCCCATTTGATAGACATTTGCTTCTCTTTTTTATCATTGCCTTCTCGAAGCAGTGGATAAAGTGTCACATCTAACAACAGACATTCAAACATTCGGAAATCGCCATTCGAAATGTTTATACCGATATCGGAAAGTGTGATCAAATTTTGAAGGATCACAGGATCCAATAGACAAACAATACGCGTATTCATTCTAGCAAAATGTCCTGAGCTACTTTTAATATACTGAGTTGCAGCTGCACCTTCCGATCCAGTTGGTTGCGCGACAATAATAAACGAACTGTTGCAATTATCAAGCAAACTATTCATAGAAAAATACTTATAATACAACTTACTGTTGAAAGTGCTCCGAACAACGCGGACGACCATCTGTTTGCCATAGGTTCTTATTCTCGCGATAGTAATTCGTTAAACAATGACACCAATTTGTCGCCCTGCAAAGTTCATTGTTCATCGTAGAATATTTTCAATAGGAAATACATACGCTTTTTGTAGCATCAATAAACCCGGTAGTTGTACTAATTCCTCGTGATTGAAATAAAACAAACGTCGCCGGCATTGAAAATCTCTCCAACGTCGAACTTCTTGAAACAAATCTTGCGAAGTCTAAATCATACGCGATTGAACCTCTTCGCTAAACGACACTCGACTTACCCATGATGGGAAATTAGTTGTCATACGAGCTTTCACTTCATTGTACAACTTATGCGTTCTCTGAACGAATATTTGTGGATTCTAAAAACATTCATACGTCATGCTTCTGAGAAGTATCATTTTTCACTCGAAGAAAAAAACATATATGAGTCAACTATGGCAACGAATGTTCTTTCACTATCGATCAAATGAAAAATAAATCAATTGTACTCGATCGTTTTTTTTTTCTCATGGGCGGATAATGTCCTTGATTAGTGCTTTCTATTGCACTTCAAAAATTGGTGTCGTCTTATATATTCAAAATACTGAGTTATCAATAGAGGTTTATGATGATAGACCGGACTTGGTGCATCCTTACTTGTAGATATTCGTGTAACAGCCGATTTATGACCAGACATTTCGAAACTGATATTTCATTAGGTTTGAGTTTCTGACGATCTTGTGTAAGTACTTTCTCCCATCCTATTTTTAAACTAGGTACAAGAAAAAAATCATAATAAGATCGAGATAATTCCTCTATTCACCTTGATTGATACAATTTGGAAAAGGAGACATCGTTTATATGCTGATTAGTCAGAATGGAAAGCAAGCCAATACTGCTCGCAGGTATTTCATACGGAGCAATGAGTTTGTAATCAGTAAATAAGTCGTACAAGTCTTGATGATTATTTGTTTGATGTATGTCAATATTACCTAAGAAAATCAATAAAAAAGTTTTCTAAGTAACAATGAAATATTCATTTTTACGTGTTTTATCTAATTTGAATGCCATCGTCGACTTTTCCGCTTTGTTTTTTGTCATACTGATATAATAAATTGGTGGATGGTTTTAGATGGTGCAATAAAATAAAAAGAATTTTTCTTCAAAAGTTGCAAATGCAAAGAAGAAAAAAAAATCAAATAACGACACGTTTTTCTTCTTCTTCTTCTGTTTCTTTTCTCCTTCTTCGAAACGAATTATTTAATCTTTTTTTTACGAAACTCAATTGAGGGCTGCGACCCTTTTGAGTAGACCCCTCTTAGCGTCATCAGGCATAATAAAACACACGAAATTGTTGATTTTCTTGTGAATGATCAGGTTTTTTTCCATAAAACTTCACAAATTTCACTTAAGAACTCTGATACAACGATCAGTTGCCCCTGTGCGCCGTTTAAGCACTGTTCTGTTCTAAGTCAACAATGATATGATTCATTTGACTTTAATTTTCATCATCGTATTCAAGTGTCTGGTTGTCGCATATGATTTTCTTTCTACTTCTTCACACAGCAGGCAATGGCAACCTTGATGATTTCTACAAAGAACGTCTGTTTGCTTTCAAAATGTTTATCTTAGTAAAAACCCTTTCTTCTTTGAAAACATCGTACAAATAGAACCGCAATGTAAAAACAACGGATTTCATACGAATACTGATCTAAGGCAAAACGTGCTCTGAAAATTCCGCTAACATTGAAGATAATCTATCTTATCGTTATCGATTTTTTTCATTGCTAAATTACACCTTCTGACTAATCGCAAATCGTCACTAAATAAACTGTATGTAATAAAACAGATTTTGTCAAATTTTCTGAAGTCTATGGACGAGGAAAAGTGACCTCTACTTCCGTACTTGTTTTCTACCAATAATAACTATTTTCCTCTCGCTTACTGCGAGCTCTTTCTCCATTCTCTCTTCTGTCAAGAAGTTCTCTTTCATCAATTAACAGTTGTTGAAAGTGCGTACTGTTAAGTTACAGTAAGAAGAAAGAGAGTCATGTTGAAGAGAGAGAACAATGACTGGTGGCACCGAGCAGTCGTATATCAGATCTATCCGCGTTCATTTTTCGATTCGAATGGCGATGGTATCGGTGATATCAATGGAATTACGATGAAATTGGATTATATTCAACAATTAGGAGTAGATATGATTTGGTTAAGGTTTGTAAGATTCTTCTCTGGACGTAAGCTGATCTTTCCTGTTCTCGCATAGTCCTATTTATGATTCACCTAATTATGATAATGGTTATGATATTCGTGACTATTTGAAAATCATGCCTGAATTTGGAACGATGGAAGATTTTGACTTGATGCTCAAAGAAATGAAAAAGCGTCAATTGAAGTTAGTTTTGGATCTTGCAGTTAATCACACCAGTGATGAACATCCGTGGTTCATTGAATCGAAGAAGAGTAAAGATAATCCCTATCGAAATTTTTATCACTGGGCCCCGGGAAAAGATGGTAAAAGTCCAAATCAATGGGGTGCGTGTTTCGGTGGACCGGCTTGGGTAAGTTCTCTCTGAACAACGTAGAAGAAGAGAAACATTGATACTTTGTTGTCCACTAGACTTACGATATTATCACCGGTGAATATTATTTGCATACATTTACACCAAAGCAACCGGATCTAAATTGGGAAAATCCGAATGTGCGAGAAGAGATTTACAAAATAATGCATTGGTGGCTGAATAAAGGTATTGATGGTTTTCGTTTGAATGTTATTAATTTTCTCTCGAAAACACCTGGATATCCTGAGGGAAAGCCAAGAGCAGAAGGTCAATATACTGACGGTTCCCCTTATTTCAAAAACGGTCCGAGAATTCATGATTACTTGGAAGAAATGCATGAAAAAGTGTTTCAACATTATCAGATCATCATAGTTGGTGAATGTCCGGGTAAAAGCAATGAAACGAACATGTTTCTAATGATCTCTTTTGACTGTTTCTTTCAAGGTACGCACTTGAAAGACGCAGAGTTATTCAGTTCACCAAAACGCAAGGAATTGAGTATGATTTTCACATTCGAACACATGGATTTAGATGGTGGTAAATGGACACCAAAACTGCTCGATTTGCGTTGTTTAAAATTTCACTTTACATCCTGGCAGAAAGGTTTATATGGCAAAGGATGGAATAGCTTATATTGGAATAATCATGATCAACCGAGAATCGTGTCTCGATGGGGAAATGACACGGCGCCTTATCGAGATTTGTCGGCGAAGATGTTCGCTACTTGTTTACATTTCCTTTGTGGTACACCGTATATTTATCAAGGAGAAGAAATTGGTAAAAATAGCTTGTTTTTTTTTCATCTTTTGAAACACTATGTAATTTCATTGCAATTCATATTCATTAGATTTCCATACGATTATACATCCCGTAGGGTTGATTACAAATTATTATTCTTTCATGAAAGAATTCTCCTCAACGTTATATATATTCATATTCTAATTAGATTTTTTTCAAGATAACGACAACTGAAGTGTCGCGTTTGTGTTATGATGCTTGAAATAATCGTTTATATTGTTCTCCCAACCTAGAAAACAGAATACTCTTTCGAATTGATTACAATAACGAATCACAAATCATCTTTTGTTTCATAGATCAGCTGAATTTTACGTTCGGAAGTGAGTTGTCTGCATTCTGTAATTACCTCGGGCTGTCATGAATAGAAACGTTCAAGAATACACGCGTAAGACGATGTTATTGTTCGAGTAGTCATTGAATATCAAGCAGTAGAATGAGTTTACCGGAGACTTTATTCTAAATTCTACGAAACCGTTATCGAGTGTTTACCTCGGCAGCTAGAAATGACGACGTTATTTCTCACTGAACTACTCGATGTTCTATTGTATATCAAAGAGCAACGCTTCATATGCTTTACATTCTTATACAACTACGAATTTCTACCTATCAAGTAAATATATTTAATAATCATTGCTAATGACTCCACTTCACATTTCACAAAGAGTCAACAGCATCCTAATTGTAGCCAGAATGTCTAAGTTGAACAAGAATAAAACCGGAAGACCTCATTACCTTTGTCTTTATCTCAACTGATAGGAGGTATATATTTTCTTTTAGGTATGACAAATGTTCGTTTCACATCCTTAGCCGATTACCGTGATATCGAAACAACCAATTTTCATAGTGATGCATCACAATCGGGTTTAACCCTCGAGCAAATCATGGCTGCTATTTATGCTAAATCACGTGACAATGCACGTACGCCAATGCAATGGTCTGCTCAATTGCCTCATGCTGGTTTCACTAATGGCGTTGAAGATGTCACCCCATGGATCAGCATCAATCCGAACTACACAGATATTAACGTTGAACAAGCTCTACACGATCGTCAATCCATATTCTATTATTATAAAAAATTAATCGAACTCCGTCGAACGATACCGTTAATCATTGATGGGAAATACGAGATTTTACATGAAGAAAATACTCATATTTTCATGTATAAACGATATAATGATAACGGACAAGAAATCATTGTTGCGTGTAATTTCAGTCAACAGCCAATAATCATCGATGATCCGAAACTCAATGAACACATTGCAAAACGTCGAAGGATATTAATAAGTAATTACGAAGAACATCTAAAATCGGATTGGTTAGACTTTCGTCCTTACGAAGCATGGGCAGTTGAAGTTGAAATCTAGAAAAAGTATACATATATCTATTTTCGCTTTGCGTGAATAAAAGATCATGTGCAATTGTTTTCTATTTTCCTCGATGTTGTTTTTGTGCGATACAGATACATATGATTCATTCTATTTTGCAAATAAAAGGCTCGACGTACTTTTTATTACTCTCGAACTTTTGTATACATTCACTATAGTCGCTGGCCGATTTACAAATGTTTAAATTATAGTATCATCCAAACAAGCGTTGTTTGTTGTGCTGTAGATATTTTTTATCGAAATCAAGATAATACTTATGCTAGCTTTTCCTTCCCGTCTGCCAGCTGTGGCAGAAAACAGACCGGCATTTTCTGAAAGTATTTCATCGCATGAGCTAACTGTCACATGATTCTCCGAATCCGCTTGTTTATCTTAAATTCCATTTGAAATCAATTTATTCAATGCATCTACGATAGAAAACATAACGGGTTAACCATTCTATTCTACATCGATGTCTTAAACATCGGAGAGTCCATACGAGGCGTAGCTGTACTGATAAGGAGAGACATATTGGTTATCGAATTCAAGATGTCGAAATGCGGCAGGTGAGATAATCGATCGATCGTCAATGCCGTCACGATCTGAATAATTATTATTATATTTCGAACGACTTTGTCCACCTTCTAAATGTCGAAATGCTTCCGTATTAATATAAGATTTGGTTTCGATTGCTGGACCCATGGACGAATGTATAGATTTATTTCTCGAATTCGATCCAAAACCTTCAATATAGCGAAAGGCGTTTGGATTCACATATGATCTTTCGTCAATGCCACTTTCGACGTTATTTCGTTTTTCGACACGACGTTCGACGTAACGAAAAGCATTTGGATTAACATACGATCGTTCGTCGATGTCAGGTCCATCGAAAACTTGACGTCTGGTTTGCTTTCCTTCGACCCATTTGAATGCTTCAGGATTGACGATAGGTCGATCATCAATCGATGATTGGGCTGTTGGCTTTTTCACCAATGTGCGATTTTCAATATACTGAAAAGCATTTGGATTAACAATTGCCCTTGTATCCACACCTGGTTGAATATCACGATGAACAGGAAAGGAATTTTTCTCCAAATAACGAAACGCATTTGGATTCACAATTGGTTCACTATCGATTCCACTTTCGACGGTCTTTTTCGACGATGTTCCGTGTTTTTCTATAAATCGAAATGCATCTGGATTGATAATTGGTCGAGTGTCAATCGACGGTTCGTTCGATTGATTGATGGGTACTTTCTGACGTCGACCATCGATATATCTACAAAAGAAAACAAATAGATCAAATAAAAAACATGATTAATTACTTGAAGGCATCAGGATTTGTAATTGGTCTATCATCGATTCCACTGCTCATGTTTTGACCTTGTTTATTCACTTTATTTGTTCTTCCTTCGACGTACCGAAAGGCATTGGCATCGACAATTGATCGATCATCAATACCTCCTTTGGACCCATCATCACCGCGTAGGCGATTGTTTTTTTCTATTTGTTGCTGGCGTCGACGTTCTAATTGTACCACAGCATCAAGATTAATAATTGGCCGAGAATCAATTCCACTCTCCATACCATCGGCGTCCGGTTTCTTCTTTCCTTTTCGTTCATTTGAATTCAAATATTGAAAAGCGCGAGGATCAATTATTGGCGAATCATCAATTTCAGCACGGTTGTTCCTCTGAGAAAAACTAAAATGCTGTGCTTGTTGTTTTCCATGAGTAGGATAGAACGGTCTTGGATGATTAGTATTAGCTGATAAAGCTGGATTAACGCGGCGCGTAGGCGTCGGAGGAAGATTATTTCTGATGGGAGATGTTGGTTGATAATATTGAGCATGAGATGTTCGATTGTTCTGTTGTTGGTGATGATGATGATGATTATTATTATTACTATACGGAGTAGGCGTCGGTGAAGGTGGTGAATAATGATAACCGCTAGTAAAACTACGTATGGGATACATCGTTATAGTGTGTACAGAAACAGTGAAAGAAGCAGAAACAATAATAGATGATAAAACGAGATTTACAGAAAAAGACACTCTCCATACATTTTCTCCTTCTCTACGTATAGATATATCTTCCTTTTCCCTTTTCTTCCCTTATTTACTAAGTGAGTGTTACAGAAGCAAGGCATCAAATTAGTCTTACTGAGGATACCAAAAATAAGGCGAAACAGTAGTTTTCTACTCCTGTGTATATTGACATCCTGTTTATGCGCTGAAAAAACATCGAAGAGAAATAGAAGTTCGACATTTTTTGCTTTGCCTTGTTGATATTGATGGGTCTCGTCCTATCACACATATCCGATCGTTATTCTTGTATTTGTTAACGATATACTAAAGAAGAAAAACGATTAAACTCATGCTTATCTGACGCTTCTCATTAATAATCTTTCCTGTCAGTTATCAAATTGGTTCGACCATTAAGACAGACTTCTCAGCAACATTTGTTCTACACGAATCAAATCCATTCGAAATTCACGAATCTCACAAAATTTCTTTTCTCGAAAGAAAATAATTAGAGTGTTTATATTGCAGACGGAAATTCCTATTATTTGTTATCATAAGCAGGATATGATACTCTTGATTTTATATAGATTCGGTAATACACTGCAATCTAGGTCAAATTTTTTTCAATAGACTATTGAAATCCAATTTCATTTGTTTATTTCGAAGAGCCACTTTCGGTTGTACAAGATGACATGTTTTGACATAGACCTTTCTCGCGTATCCGTAAATTGACGAGTTGCAGAAGAGATGGTCAATTATTTATTACAGATGATATTCATCATCAAACAGATCTAAACACGATAGATGTCAATTTTCAAGAAATAATTATTGTATGCAACTTTTTGTTGACTACTACTTTGATGTTGTTCTTGTCAATTCAGCATGGAGACACGATAAGTAAAACGAAGAGAGTTTTCCACATTTGTGATTGTATATCTGTAGCTATAGCCGATGACAATGACGTCATCAAAGATCGAAGTTCGAGAACTACTTATTTATCCAATAAAGTCTGGTGCTGATAATATCAGTTAATAAAGCCTATACAACGTGCTGTGGTCTCTCCCTTCCATATAATCCACTATTATCCGATCGGTAAGGGTAATCTATTCAAAGCTCAACAGTAAACATCAATTCTAATTTGGATCTAGAGGATGGATGGTCGTCAAAGATGCATGATAAAGAGATCATTGAGATGAAGTATAACGAATGCTTCTTTAGTGATCTCGGTGTGGAAGTTCGAAAACATCTTGAGGGTATGCGGGATCCAAAACAGGAACTATGGAAACCATTCTACACGCTGATGTATGCCACAACTGCATGGAGTTAAAGCTCAATTTGGAATTTATCTTGTACCGAGTGAAAATGGAATCACCCGTGTTGAAATCATATGAAAAGATAAAACCTTCTAGTCAATTGTTCTTTCACAAACATTCACCGAGTAAACTGTTCATCAGGAAAGAAAGTTTCACTTATTATAGCATTTTATTTCAATATATGTTTTCATCTTAGAATTAGAAGAACTACACAATTTTCTATATGATATAATTGAATAGAGAACATACATCTTTGACGGTTACATAGAGACAAATCAATTATTGTAGCTTGAACACCCCGTACACAATAAACAACGAAGAGAAAAGAAACAAAACTAAGTGAGAAAAAATGTACAAGAATTTGTTTTTGAATGAATGCGGACGCGTTTATTGTTTTCTTATTATGCGGCACCTTTGGCAGCTGGTTGAGGTAAACTTCCTTGAACTGGTGTCTTCTTGCCAATAAGAGACTAGAAACAACAGAAAGTGTCCATTTGTCGATCATCGTTCTGAAAAAACAAACCTTATGGATGTGTGGAATGACACCACCACCAGCAATGGTTGCTTTAATCAATGTATCCAATTCTTCGTCACCACGAATGGCCAATTGTAAATGACGTGGGTTAATACGTTTTACTTTGAGATCCTTTGATGCATTACCTAGATTAGATTTAGAATTGCTGTATAAGTACGATTCAAATCGCTGGAAAGTTTCCTACCAGCAAGTTCGAGAACTTCAGCAGTTAAATATTCGAGAATAGCAGCAGTGTAGACAGCAGCGGTTGCACCAACACGACCATGCGATGTCGTACGTGACTTTAAATGACGATGAATACGACCTGATGGATGGAAAGTTTAATTCGAAGAAATCCAAGGCATTCTTATCACTTACCAACAGGAAATTGAAGACCAGCACGAGCACTTCGTGAAATAGCTTTGGCCTTTGTTTTCCCATGATCTTTACCTGAATAAAAGCCGTCAGATTTTACAAAGGACATACAAAGAATCTGTCAAACGTACCAGCTTTACCACCAGGCATTGTAACGAATGAATTGAGTTAATTGGAAAATCTACAAATATATGAGAAATATTTAAATGCTGAAGAAAAAGCCGATCGACTACATTTCTCAAAATTTCGCTCGAAAATGATCATGAACGTGCGCATAGCTATCATTAGGCCAGCAAACAAAGAACATACATCACACAAAGACAATGACAGTCCGATTCTGTTCTCTTTCTCACTATTGCCAAGCAGCAAGTTGGCCGAAATAGGTCCAGACTTCTCTCTTTCCTCTCCTTAGAATACAGAGAAGAGAAGAAAAGGAAAGAGAAAAATACGAACGCACGCGTCTGTGGTCATCATGTAATGAATAATACACGACCGCGCCTTTCTTCTTTGCGTTCCTTCTCGGTCAAAGTCTATGAAACAAGAAGAGGAAAAAAGGAAATGTATGGCAACAACTGATGTGAGCGCAATATTCAATAGGATTTTAGATTTCTGTTGAATATGAATTAAGAGAGATTACGTATCGAAGCATATTCGCATAAGAATAAAAGAAAAGAGAAAAAAAATATGAAAAATTTTCAACGAAATTTATTAGTTAAACAAAAAAAGAACGAAAATTTACAATCAATCGTTGTTGTCGTCATCGTCATCATCATCGCTTGAACGAGTGTCATGTGTTGCTGTTCGATTGTTCAGTTGTGCCTTCAATTGATTTTGTTGTTTCAATTTTGCAACGATTTCTTTTGCCGGCATGAACATACCACCAGTCGGTGTTTGACATACCGAACAAGCAGGATTGATACGAAATTGACTCAACGCACATGATTCACAGAAATAATGGCCACATCGAGTCACAATTGGTTCTTTGAATGGTTCCCGACAGACCGGACATTTAATCGGTAAACCATCTTCAGTCTACACAAGAAAAAAAGAGTATTCTATTGGTTTATCATGATATTTATTTGGCAGCATACCTGTTCTTCGTCATCATCATCATCGGACCCGAGATTGGCATGGTTATGGTGATGATTGCTATCTTTGTTGCCGGAAGCAAAAGCAGACCAAGCAGCTGAACGATTTGTTTGACCGGGTGCTTTGTCGCCAACTAAATAACGCTGACTGTTGTTATCCACCGCTCCATACGATTGTTCATTCCATTCTCGTTCGAGTTGCCAACCATGTTTGTAATCCGAGCGATCATGCAAGAACTTGCAACTGTCACCGAAACCACAGTAACCTAAATAAACACATACGATGCATCACACATCAAAACTATCAGCACAAACCTGTCTCCTTGTAATCTTTACAAATATCTGGCTGATAATCCCATCGAACTGACACACGAAGATGAGCCGGTGCACGAATTGGACCTAAATTTCACACAAAAATCACTTCAAATTCAATAGATAATCAACAAACCTTTATTTCGAACAAGACCACTACTAGCATTGCCGTGTACAGTGTCACGTTTTTCATAAAACTGCTGATAATTGTTCATGCCACGATAGATCTTATCATCTGCTTTGCCTTTCAGTTCTTCGTTGATCTTCTTTGCACGTTCAAAGATGGTTTGTTGATCATTCTTCGTGTCTGTGTCGATTTCAACTGTTGCAGTTGCACCCATATCTCGTGGACCTTGTGGCTGTGCTTGTCGATCGGACTTGAATTTCACTTCGAACATCTTGTCCTTGTTGGTATGTTCACGATGTTCACCGGCATCGTCATCATCACTATTGGCTGCCTGTTGACGACGTTTACTGGATACATTGCTCGATGTTGTCGAAACTAAACCTTGACGAACTTGTTTCGATGTGCGAAGTGCTGCTGCTGATGGTTGACTCTCGTCACCAGACGAGGAGGATGATGCGGACGACTTGGATGATGATCGTTGACGACGCTTGGATGATGCTGGTGCATTACCACGACGAGCTGGAGCTTTGAAAAATACACACGCTGGTGCACCACTCTCATCATTGTTTTCGCTCATGATCTGAAATGAAAAGATGTTAGTGTGAGTCATAGATCGATGACATTTAAATGTTGTGAAAAACAAACACATTTGAATAGTGTTTTATTGTTACTTCCAAAGTTCAAGGTTGTAACGACGTAAATATGAAAACAAATGGGAATGGATTGTTGTGAATATTTATTTATAAGAGGAGTAATTGAATTGTGGAAAAAGAAAGAGAGAGTGTGTGCTGATGAGCTCATTACAGAGTAAAAGAAAAAAAAATGGACGAGATGTATTGAGTGTTGCTAGATCTGAAGATAAGGAACAAGAAGAAGCCAAAACGTACACAAATAAAGTACATTCTAAAAATAGTGGTAATAAGTAAGAGTGAGAATCATTCGTGTGTGCACATCTATCTGACATTTGTTCTCGGAAGATGATTGAAATGAACAAACCTGAGAAGAAAGTGAAGCTGAACAAGAAAAACACGTGCATTGAAGAGATTATTGCATAGAATATATATCTATCTAACAAAGTAAACCATTGCCGAGAACAAATGTGATGAAGAAGAACGACCAGACAGCATCTATTTCTTCTTTGTGCCTTTCTTCATCGTTTCCATGTTAGCACGTTTGCGTTGTTCGAACAAGTTGACCTCTTGTTCGAGTATACGCCATTTTTCATCACATTTATCCTTCTGATCTTTGTATTGTTTCTTGATGTTCGTCAATTGTTCGTTGATCTAATGGAAAAATCACACACAAATCCAGATGAGCCACGAACAAACCAGCCGAGAGTTTACCTGTTTTTCCGTTTCTTTCAGTTCCGCTTCTTTATCTTTCACTTTTTGAATAAACGCTTCTTTCAACTGTTGTTCACGTTGCTCAAGCTCTTGACGAAGTTCATTCCGTTTCATGTCCAACGTATCGCTAATCGACATTTGTTTTCCGTCGATATTATCAGCCAGACCAAGTTCTGTAAGACGATTACGTCGGAACATTTCATAATGTTTCGAATGTGTTGTTTCGATTAAATCCAACATATTCTTTTCAATAAGACTATCGCGTAGTTTTTTAAAATCACAATGATTTTCATTCTCAACTAGAAACGATACGAGCATGAGAAAACGAACACATTCATTGTCGAACACCGTCTTACCTTGAACAACACCCCACGGATATTGTCGAGCGCGCACGTATTGATTTCCAACTTTGACTGTTTCATTGCTACCAACAACCGCCAATGGAAGAAGATTCTAAACAAAAGTTGCGAAATTTTCAAAGCAATAACTAAACTTACATTGGCTTTAAGATTGTCTTCTGCTAAAGTTTCGTCATCAGTTGGAAAACGATAGATTTTCACAGCGGCTGTATTCAGCTCATTGAGAATATTTTGCTTAAAGCGTTGTAACTCATTCTTTGATATCGTATCCGATTTTGCGATGATCGGAATGATGTTCACTTTACTATCTAAATGTTTCATTGTCACTAAATCCAGCGCTTTCAATGAATGGCCTGTTGGATTGATAAAGTATAAACAAACATGAATGCGTGTATCATGATAGTTCGATAAATTCCGTTTGATTTTCAATTCTTCATCGAGATACAACTGAAATTGTGCGTCGATGAAATCTCCGATGACTTTGAATGAGTCATCTTTGTTAATTTGATCACCAAAACCAGCTGTTTCGACAACAGTTAACTTTAACCGTATCTCACGTTCGAATAGATCGTAAGTATTTTTACGTAGAAATACTCGAGGAATATCATGTGTTGATGGCGTCGAATCCAAGCGTGTGTTAAATAAACTATCGAGTAAGGACGACTTTCCACAAGCTGTTTCACCAACACAAAGGATATTAAATACAAAACCATCCGATATGGCTTTAGCCATGATTTGATTTGGTAAATTGTTGATGCCACATTCTTCTTTTAATTCGAATGTTCGAATTGATGGTGCCTAGAAGCGAAAGGTAAAGATAGAAAGGGCAGAACTCGGAAAGTTTTTTGATATACCGGAGGTTTTAACGCCGAAGGATCAGTCGAACGTGGTATGTCTTTCATTGTGCTTTGTATCTATGTGAGAATCTTCACACGATGAACAAGGAGATGAGTGATCGACGATGAATCCATTGGCATTTCGCAAGATACATCTGAATGAGCCAATGAGAAATCAGCGAATGCGCTCTCTCTTTGTATCTATTGTGATTGCTGCTCGACAGTATACGACACCTATCGGTTTTGACTTTCAACCCTAGAAGGTTGCACTAATCCTTCAACGCCTTGAATATATTTTGAAATACCAACACAACAACAACAACAACAACCATGAATTTTCTTTAGAGGCTTTTTTTGTATCGATTTGACGTTTTTATTCTAATTCTGTTATACGACGCTGTAAATACTGTTACAGAGAACTTTCACTCGACGATAAATTTGAAAAGAAAGTTATTGTAAATTGATAATGCAGAACGTTAAATTTATCTGGCTCTTTTTCTCTATTGACATTACATGTCGCCTTCATTCTTATCCTTGAAATAGGTATCTGCATTCGCGTACTCTTTTCCTATTTCAAATAGAGAAAGAGAAGAATCGAAAGAAACACGAAAGCTAACCGCATCGTGTCTCCGCCGTAATCGACAACAAAAATGGAAGCATTTATTAAAGAATTATGGAAATGGCCGTGGGCTCTTCGTCTTCGAACACCGAATAATGATGATGAACATGTCGATAGACTCAATCATCGAATAACAGTTGGCATCATACTCTGTTGCGTTCTAGTTACAACAACAAGTTCGTTCGTATTTAGTCGAATGTCATGTTGGGTACCTGCTGAACTTCGGCGTGATACTTATGGAAAATATATAGAAGACTATTGCTGGATAAGTAACACATATTACATTCATTCGAATGTTACACCGCCTCATTCAACCGATGATAGGCGAGCTTCACAAATAAGTAATGTCAATATTACCTTTTAAATTGACTGAAGTACACAATGCATTTTTTCGTTTCCTATAGGTTATTATCAATGGGTACCTATCATTTTACTATTGTTGGCATTGGGTTTTTATGCTCCGCGATTGTTTTGGCGTTCGTTCAATGCTCATTGTGGTATTGATATCCAAAACTTAATCAACAAAAGCCAAATAGCCTCCAAAGACTCGACGAAAGCGGCAACGAGACTACTCGATTACTATTGTCATACGTTTAAATCACAACGTGCACAACTTTCGATTAATCTTACCGCCTATACTCGCCGTAATAAACATCGAGGAAATTATCTCAATTCTCTCTATGTTCTCACTCGTCTGATGTACCTTATTAATTCGATACTTCAATTAATTCTACTCAATCTTTTACTTGGTCATCGCGGTAATGCGTGGTTTCTCGATATTGACATCATGAAATCGATCTTACGTTATGGTAATCCATTACTTGATTCACCGTATTTTCCTCGTGTGACACTCTGCGATGTACCGATACGTGAAATAGCCGAAATTCATCGATATACCGTTCAATGTGCATTGCCCGTGAATATCCTGAATGAAAAAATCTTTCTCGCACTGTCGTTCTGGTTTAGTTATGTTATTCTTCATAATATCGTGAGTTTTGTTATCTTGATCTCTCAACAATTCCGTCGTCGACAAATTCAATTTATCAGACATTTAATCGAACTATCGCGAGAAACGAAATCAACTGAGATGGAACGTTATGTGTTCAACTTTCTAACCTACGATGGAATCTTCCTACTTCGACTCATCAGTCATAATTCCAGCGAATTGCAAGCAATGAAAATTCTACAAATGATCGTCGATGACTATAGAAAATTTGAAAAACATGCAAACGAATGAGAGTCGAGCTGATTAATAGACATCCGTTTCTGTTCAGTATTTACAGTAAATGATAATAGAAGAGGCAAAATTTCCGGTAGCGACACATCTTTGAAGTATCGTGTCGAGACGTTAATTAACTGATCATTTCGATACACAAAAGGATGTGAAAACGTCAATTGACACAAGATAATTCGTTCTCTTGTTTAGAATAATAATATTCCCAAACATTCGCAGAATCTAATATGCTATCCGATAGAAATTAATCTCCCGGATTTAATCTGTACATATAATTGACTCTCCATGGAATCTATAGGTGCTTTGTAATGATTCACTTGTGTTAATCATCTTTATTCTATGGTATTACGACATTCATTTAACAGTTTTCACAATGAATGTCTAAGAGAGGAACGTATAAGAATCAGACTTTCCGATCACTGTCGAGCAACATTTGTCTGACGGATTAGATTCGAGTAAATTGATCAATAGATGTCAAAAGAAGAAGAAGACAAATTGATTGTCAATGACAAACGAAGAATCTTTCCGACACAAGGTCCTGCATTTGTTTGACAAAGAGACGTTCTTCACCGAAAGAGAAAATTTTTCTAGATCATCAATGGAAATTTGCCTTGTTTTTAGAGAAACGACATTAGTGGTTATGTTAGTTGAATTTAATCATCAATCAAGACAAAAATCCAACAGCTTAACTTCTTTTTCCGTAAAGAAAAGACAAATGATTTATCATAGTTGCAATCACAAGAAGAAAAATGCATATTTTATGGTTTAAATTAGTTTTATTGGTAATTTTGTTTTCATGAGAAGAAGAAAAAGAAATCTGATGGTCAATTTTCTTTTTTCTTTCTTCCTTTCTATTCTCTTTCTTCTCTTCTCATTCTTGTCTGTTCATCACTTGTGCCTCTCTCCGTACACATATTGCACGGTTGGTTCCGCGCACACACATACACCCAAATACAGAAAAAAAGAGAGTATCACTCTTTCCAATCGAAAATCGCTTACATCATAGGTATATTAGGGATAATGATGACGGCAATTTGCAGTTCTTTTATATATTAAAGATTGTTTCAATCGAACACGACATACACATGTTCTATTCACTGATCGTTCTCATCTATTACTTGCACCACCTGTTGTTACTCGTATCAGCTTCACCCTTATTATTTACACTTAATGATGTCCGATATTCGTTATCTGATCGCGTGTTAACCATTCCGAAATTAGGTTCGATACGTGGCATTCATATTGACTATGAAAATAACTATTCTCTCAAATATAATCTTATTAATACCGAAGCATTTCTTGGGATACAGTATGGTTTGTACCATGGACGATTTGAACCTTCGAAAGAACGATTTAATATACATCCAAGTACAAAAGTCACCAAGCAGATCGAATTCGGTTCTGCATGTCCACAATATCTCTGGAAAAACGCGAGCGAACTAAGTCGAATACGGCCAAAATATTTCGCTGAAGAATATTATCCAAAATTACTCAAATACATCTCCCGACAAAACGAAGGTCAATGTCTGTACATGAATATATATCAACCACAAATCAAAAACTTGAAAGGTAAGAGAAAACACTTTCTCGCGATTGATCATTAATGGCAAGAGTTATTAAATATGATCGATGGGCTCGCCGTCTCGATTTTCACATTGACCAGGCACGTTAATAGAGATGACATTGTTGACACGCGTTTGATCTTTTCTCTATGCATATTATGTGATACAATTCCATTGTCATGACAGTTTTCATCTCGTATAGATTGATCATCCTAATCTTGTACACAATAGCGAAGATATTCAATCTATGTCTATTATTTTTCTTTTGTCATCTTAGAACGTCTTCCCGTGCTCTTGTTTGTTCATGGCGATGGGTATGACATGGGTACGGGTGCTGCCTTCGATGGAGCTATTTTGGCAAGTTATACAAGAACAATTGTCGTTACGATCAACTATCGTCTTGGGCCATTCGGTAAGAGAGAGAGAGAAACATGACTTATCATTGAGATGGGGAAAGGATGTCGACTTGATCAAGGTTCGATCGTTCGTGTTGCGAATGGCATTTCCGTTCATTCGATGTAGACTGGTCTCATTTCAGCGGGAGGCAATTATTGTTGATTAACTCACATTTGTCGTTCATCAGGCAAACAATGTCTAGTAGAGTTTGTCTCTGTCTCCTTTTCCCTCCGTCTATTAAAAATGATTATTCTACTGGATGAATGAACCCATCAGTGACATCGTCATTAATCTCATGTAAATGAGACAAGATGAAATTGAGAGAAGCTCTTCGAACTTATCTATTTATTTTTCTTAGTAAAATTCAATGAAGACTTTCAATTAAAATACGAAGGCGTTGTTTTTCCTCTTTTGATGATGTAACTTCAGATGTACCTCATCAGAATTTGTTCTATAACCGGATGGATAGCAATGTTTGGATAGAATCAGAAGAGATTAATGAAAAAGGATAATCAAACCATCAAGATTCATCAATCAAACATTGTTATTCTTGACGAAGGAAAGACAAATCAATATTTGTGTACAATAACAGCAGACTTTTGTTCGATTCTCTAGTGTGATTTCGATACTATCTTCTGTAGCATGCAATCTCTATGTCCAATGACGAATTCGATGTCATTGTTCGGTTAGACTTGCTAAGTAGACGCGAAGAATGTTTACATACCCTCAATCAGTAGTTGTCTGATGTTCATCTGTTAATTTCTGCTCGCAATGATTCGCACTTTTGAACAGAACAAAAGAGGAAGAAAACGGGACCACCCCTTGATTTAGTAAACACGCCGAAAATTTGATCTCTTAAATGTCAGATATATGATTAAAGTTCATTAGTCAAGTATTTTCGAAGTGTTGTTTGTGTCAATAGGCTTTCTCTACGTGTCACGTGAACACAAAGGTGATTACGCATTACAAGATATTTATACAGCGTTACATTGGTTGAAGAATTACGTGACTAATTTTAACGGAGATCCTGATCGAATTACTCTATATGGAACAGGAACCGGAGCTGTCTTAGCCAGTCTTGTTGTTATGCTTGAAACTGTCAATGGTTTGTAATTTGATTTGGAAAATAACATACGAAAGTTATCTATCTGTGTAGGTGGTACAGGAACAGTCAAACGACGAAAATCTCTTGTTCATCGTTTAATTTTAAATGACCAAACCTTTCTCTCTCCGCACATGACTTCGACATTGCAGGAAATCTCTTCGTATCAAACGAATCTTCTTTCGCAGCTATCATGTTCGACAACGCAGTGTCTTCGAAATCAAACTTTAATCACTACAAACGATTTACTTCAATTGAATTCCTATGGAGATTTCAATTATATTTGCCCGTTAGAGAATCCATTTCCATTCTATTATTCACCCATAGTCAACAATGACTATACAAATCCTTTACGTTCGAGATTCTTTCAACAATCTCAAACGTTACTACCTGAAAATCTTCGAATTTTATTAACCACAAGTCAGTCGACATTACCATTGAAGCTGGAGAAGAAATCTTCAGATATAAACAATACCATCGAATATTTATTGAATTACGCTTATACAAAATGGAATCGAACAACGAAACAATTCGATTTCGATGAACAGTTATTACATTATCATCAGCAAATTATCGCTCCATTACTTCAATATGCAAACTATCTTTCCGATCAAACCCGAATCCATGTTTTAGAGCAACATTCAAGGAAATATCATTCCGAACTGCCGCTAACATTCGGATACGTTCTTGCGCCATCGATGAGTGTCTATAATGATACATATCTGACGGCAAATGAAAATGATCGTATAGAGAGTATGCGTATGATGGATCTATTTGCTAATTTGATACATAATGGGTAAGTCAATCAGATTTGTTTTGATAAAACACAAATGTTCTTTTTCTTTGCTAATCGATAGTGATATCAGTCGAAGATCAGCATATGGAAGAGAATTCAAAGAAGAACAACACGACGAATGGCATCCACTTTTTCCGGATTTAAATTTTCTTCTGTTGAAAGGTGAGTCGGCGTTGTTAGACACGAGTGACGACCTTCGCATACAATTATGAATCCTGAAAACAGAAACTTGCGTGATACTTTGAGATGCTTTTCGAGAGCTTTTCAAAATTCATCAATCTTTTGTCACGAGAGTTTTTCGTTAAAAATAGACAGATTCTAATTAAAATAGATGATCAAAGCTGACAACTAATTATCATCTACATCGCCTCTTGGATATTTAGACGGAAAACTAGCTCAACAGTCTGGCTACTATGCTCAGGTTCATTATCTTTTCAATAATCTAATTCCAAATATTTCCAAACGTCCACCGCATTTCGATCTTATCAACACCTGGATTTCATTGTATAAAATATCGCATCAACACAATCTGTCTACGCAGCATTCGCCAACCATTCAAACTTCATTTCTGTCTCGCTCTATCTATTCAGAAACCAAGCATCCAAAGTTTGTCTTTGTTATTACTTTCTGCGTGTTTCTTCTGCTGTTGATCAACTTCATTCTTTGTACTACTTTGACCAAACGTGGACGATGTCTTCGAAAACGTGAATATAACTGTCTCAATGGACATGCACAATTAAATATTGAAAAACCGCAGCAACAACTACATGGTGGTTCATCCCCATCAAGTACAAATAGTAACGGAACACTGATTCAACAATTAGTTGTTAATACGAATTGCACGACGACAACGAATAGTAGTCTCAGTAGTACACCACCTGTGGATATTTTACATCCAATTAATGTAATGAAGAAGAATGGTATATTACGCAGTTCAACGAAGTATAAACCACCGATGTTATCCGAAGCGATTGTATAGTATTTCTTGTTCGTTCGCTTTTTTATTTCTTTAATAAATAACTTGTTTGGAATAATGAAAATAGAACCAAGTGCAGTGTCTTTAACAAAAATAATTAACAGATAGACAAACTAATATATAAATACGCAAGAAAAGAAGTAAAGCATTCGTCAACAACAAAAGACTCCGGTTATCTGTTAGATATTGTCGATATCAATAATTTCGCCATTGTGTTCAATCTTGTCTTCCACCACATCCCTAGTTACTGGCTCCTTTATAACTTCTATGCCACCACCAGCTCTGTGACTGAAATCAATCTAAACAACAACAACAACAACATTCACCTTCAATCAACATTCTCAACACCGTTCTCCTACCTCCGGCTCAGCATGACCATCACTATTCTCATCGTCATCATCTTCGTCACTTGATTCTTCAGCGGTCTTCAACCATTGGATGAACTCGTTTGCCATCTCACGTATTTCCTTCGCTGTGACTTTGTCCGTGTATCGTTTCGATGCCTTTTCATGCCATCGNATCTAAACAACAACAACAACAACATTCACCTTCAATCAACATTCTCAACACCGTTCTCCTACCTCCGGCTCAGCATGACCATCACTATTCTCATCGTCATCATCTTCGTCACTTGATTCTTCAGCGGTCTTCAACCATTGGATGAACTCGTTTGCCATCTCACGTATTTCCTTCGCTGTGACTTTGTCCGTGTATCGTTTCGATGCCTTTTCATGCCATCGATAGAATGTCTCTTCTTCAACCAGATCTTCATCGTACAGCTTCAGCAAGATCTTCGACATTGTCTTTTTGTTGTAGATCTTTGCGCGAACATCAGCTCGTTCACCAATCAGTGCTTCGATGGCATGTAACAGATACTTTTGGCCTTTGGCATTCTTTGTACACAACTAAAACATGATAAGCGAACAACGAGATGACGATCGAGCTCAACCGCCTCGAGACAACGTGGTTACCTTTGAGAGTAGCACTTTGTATTCGTCAATCTCTTTGATGATGTTCTCTGTGAAGATGCATTGTGCAACAACAAACGGTGCTTGTTCCATGATTTCGAGTCGTTCAGCTTCGGCAACGATGTCTTTGATGGTTTCGATCTCGTTCAGTTGTTTGTCCTTTTTCTTCTTCTACATAAACAGAGGGTCAGCGACGATAAGGGTAAGGGTAGGATATGACATACCTCGACGAGACGGTTGAACTGGTCACATCGCTCGTTCAATGGCTTATCGAGATCGTTGGTTTGTATCATGCCTTTGATCTGTGAAGTGAGGTCGTCGACGGCTGGTGTCAGGTCATCGCCCCAGTCTTCATCGTCATCTTCTTCGTCACCACCTTGATCTTTGGAGTGGCCATTCTAAGTGAGAAAAGCAGAAAAGTGGTAGACGATGATGTTAATGAGATGATCTTACTGATTTGGTTGCATGTTCATTTGGACTGCCTTCATCAGAATCTCTGGTATTGCCAGATGAGTGTGCATTTTTCTTGCTACCTTTCGATTTGCCTTTGGTTTTAGTGTCTGCAGGTGTTTCAGTTTTGTTTTCCTGTAGAAAATAGGATGAGTATAGAGAAGAGAGGGGGAGGAGGGTGGTAGGGGCTGACTTACAGCGTCTGGTGGATTTTTGGCGATGTAGGTGGTGAGTTTGTGTGAAGCCATGTTGATGGTGCCTTGGTAGCCACATGCAGCGCACACTTGATGAATTTCACCACCATTCCGTTTACGAAAACTCTAAAAATATATCGGACGTATGAAGAAAGAAAATATTAAGTGCCACTTACCAATTGAGTTTCCGGATTATCACAGTTTGGACATAGAACAAATCGTTTGATGAAACCATCAAGGAGATTCTGAAGTTTTTCGCAGTCGTGTGATCCGTTTACAATGTATCGATCTTCTTTTGCATTCATTTGAACTTGTGCACCAAGTTCACAACCAAAGAACTTGGTCACATCTATTGATTCAGATAGAAAAATAATGGAAAATTTTTGTTTGGAGAAGAAGAAGATGGTTTAGCCTCACAAGTTGTGGGTCGATTGAGAGCTTTAGCGATTGCAGTAGCGTTGACTACAACAGTTTTGATGCCATTTCCAGTGCCTTCAACTTTAGCTATAAGTTTCGGCATCTTATAGCGATAGAACATATCATTTGTTTGACGATTAACATTGATCATAGCCATGATTGTCGAAAATTATTGATCATTACGTGGTGACGATGTTACTGCTCTTTCGTCGTTTGCATATCAAAAGAAAATCGGTGCGAACACCAATCAACGATTATCTGCATCTAACCAATAACAGAAACAATATAGAATATAGTAATAAATCCATAAAGTACCACCGATATCTGTCCGTCCATTCATGTAAATGTTCAATACAGGCCTACATGTGTCTAACTAAAAAATGAATTTTAGAAGAAAGATCAATGCGATGCAATGTCTTGGATTTCTTTTGATGTGCTATAAGTATATGGCTTTTACTGAGTAAACTTTTGTGGCAAAATAATATTAGTACAAAAGATCTTTCCAGACGCGGAAAAGCGTCAGATAATTGTCGGATATTCATTGATGACAGAGGAAGTTGACAAAATTTAGTGCGGTGCTTCATTATTTCCTTGAAGAACTTCAACATTTTCTTCTGAACAGAATTACATAGGACACATGTTTGAGCACGGTGCAATTGATATGTATTGACTTATAGTTGCTGAACGAAATTCTATCCGGATGTTCTGTCGTCATCATACACCAAACAACGTGGTGCTTTGATGTGATCTCAGCAGCTCACACCTCTCTTTCTGAGGTACTCGACTCAACTGTTGTAAATTATATATATATATATGAACTTTCGAGCGCCGCACAAATTACTTCCAAAAAAATGAATTTTCAGCGGGAAAGGAAAGACAGATTTAAAAAAGCTTCATGTTTTATCACGAGAACTTTTTATATCTATATTCAGTTCCGAGACTTTAACAGTAACAAGTCATGCTGAACATCTAATTTGCTAGTTAAATAGGGCTCTTCGACCGCGAAAATTGCATCGATTGAAAGTGGCATACATTTATTGAAGAAAGAGATGTTTTGATTCGTTATAAATATCTCTACTCATATTCATCATGCCATCATCGTTGAGAACATCTTGCACACTCGCAGAAGAGCAAATAACTATCTATGGTAGTTTTCTTCTATTCGCCATGGGTGCAGCAGGTTCAGTACTCAATATTCTTGTTTTTCTTACTCTTCGCGCGTGCCGACAAAGCTCATGTGCTTTTTATCTCACTCCCATGTCTGACGTTAACTTAGGATACTTACTGAATTCCGTATTACCTCGCGTTCTGTTAGTGGTGTATGGTAATGACGGAACCAAGAATTCGTTATTTTATTGCTGGTTTCCAAACTACTTAGCCACAGTGTGTTCAATCTTATCTTTAACATGTTTTTGCTTAGCTACCATGAACCAATATTTCGCTGCATGTACTCGATCTCGATTTCATCGATGGTGTAATATCAGATTCGCTCAACGCTTGGTCATAATTTTTAGTGTTGTATGGATTCTACAGTATTCCATATCTTTTTTCTCTTTAATCATGTTCGTTCATCCATTTCTCAAAAAATCGACCGTGTCATGACAAACACCTTCTATATCCAATATCGTGCCTACTGTATTGTTATTGTTCTCATGAGGATTTCACCTACGTCCATCACAACGTTCAACAACCAGCATATCGGACAGTTCCAATCGTTCGACGAGAATTAGATAGACAACTGACAGTGATGGTCCTAACACATGTTGTTCTCGATTGTTTTGCTTTAATACCATTTACTGTTTCGTATATTGTTCAATTGAATACAAACCAAGTAAACAATGCAGTGGTGGAAACACCAGTCCATTTTGCTTACAACACTGTCATCATCGTCAGTTTTTTCCATTTTCCAGTAAACATGATATAGTCAACCTCCCTGGTTTAGAATTTTGTTTCTGTTCTTCATTTTCAAGTCCATTCTATATTTATATTTGTGCGTCCGAAAGATTCCGCCGACAATTACTACAAATTTTACAGAATATTCATTTTAACCTATTCAAGGCAACACCAAAAATAGCTATCAACCAGATGGCACCTACAGATTAACGCCAAACTAACCATTCGAGTATAATTGTTGTAGTTTCTGTCGTGCGTTTAAATGATGCTCAAATGAATCTAGTCAAAATCCGTTTTTTGCGTTTATTTTCTTGAATAAATAATCTGTTTGCAACAGTGAGAAAAGGGATAGAGTGGAGAACGTAGAATAGACAACAGCAGTGATAGAGATAGCAAGGAAAGAATAAACGAAGGCAAAGAAAATGAACAAGAATGACAAACTAAATGAAGCGATACAATAAGCGACTGATCAGCAGAAAAAAAAAGAAAAGAAATAAAGTAAACTCTTAGATATTGTCGATATCAATAATTTCGCCATTGTGTTCAATCTTGTCTTCCACCACATCCTTAGTTACTGGCTCCTTTATAACTTCTATGCCACCACCAGCTCTGTGAGTGAAATCGATCTAAACAACAACAACAACAACATTCACCTTCAATCAACATTCTCAACACCGTTCTCCTACCTCCGGCTCAGCATGACCATCACTATTCTCATCGTCATCATCTTCGTCACTTGATTCTTCAGCGGTCTTCAACCATTGGATGAACTCGTTTGCCATCTCACGTATTTCCTTCGCTGTGACTTTGTCCGTGTATCGTTTCGATGCCTTTTCATGCCATCGATAGAATGTCTCTTCTTCAACCAGATCTTCATCGTACAGCTTCAGCAAGATCTTCGACATTGTCTTTTTGTTGTAGATCTTTGCGCGAACATCAGCTCGTTCACCAATCAGTGCTTCGATGGCATGTAACAGATACTTTTGGCCTTTGGCATTCTTTGTACACAACTAAAACATGATAAGCGAACAACGAGATGACGATCGAGCTCAACCGCCTCGAGACAACGTGGTTACCTTTGAGAGTAGCACTTTGTATTCGTCAATCTCTTTGATGATGTTCTCTGTGAAGATGCATTGTGCAACAACAAACGGTGCTTGTTCCATGATTTCGAGTCGTTCAGCTTCGGCAACGATGTCTTTGATGGTCTCGATCTCGTTCAGTTGTTTGTCCTTTTTCTTCTTCTACATAAACAGAGGGTCAGCGACGATAAGGGTAAGGGTAGGATATGACATACCTCGACGAGACGGTTGAACTGGTCACATCGCTCGTTCAATGGCTTATCGAGATCGTTGGTTTGTATCATGCCTTTGATCTGTGAAGTGAGGTCGTCGACGGCTGGTGTCAGGTCATCGCCCCAGTCTTCATCGTCATCTTCTTCGTCACCACCTTGATCTTTGGAGTGGCCATTCTAAGTGAGAAAAGCAGAAAAGTGGTAGACGATGATGTTAATGAGATGATCTTACTGATTTGGTTGCATGTTCATTTGGACTGCCTTCATCAGAATCTCTGGTATTGCCAGATGAGTGTGCATTTTTCTTGCTACCTTTCGATTTGCCTTTGGTTTTAGTGTCTGCAGGTGTTTCAGTTTTGTTTTCCTGTAGAAAATAGGATGAGTATAGAGAAGAGAGGGGGAGGAGGGTGGTAGGGGCTGACTTACAGCGTCTGGTGGATTTTTGGCGATATAGGTGGTGAGTTTGTGTGAAGCCATGTTGATGGTGCCTTGGTAGCCACATGCAGCGCACACTTGATGAATATCACCACCGTTTCGCTTACTACTGAAACTCTAAAGAACAGAAAAGTATTGTAAGTGAAAACGGGTTTGATTCGGATATCTAATATGAAAATTAAGATTATGTGTGTAGACATACACCAGTGTAAAACAGATTTGTGCCTCGCATTCTTGAATGTTATGGCGACACTGATGAATTCCAGCTGAGTGGAAATTCTTTCAACATTCCGATTTGATTAGATTGTAAGGTCAAACGTACCAATTTTGTCTCCGGATTGTCACAATTTGGACATAGAACAAATCGTTTGATGAAACCATCAAGGAGATTCTGAAGTTTTTCGCAGTCGTGTGATCCGTTTACAATGTATCGATCTTCTTTTGCATTCATTTGAACTTGTGCACCAAGTTCACAACCAAAGAATTTTGTAACATCTAATAATAAAGAGAAATAAAAGATTGCGTTGATATAAGGTCAACTGAGAACAAATTACTTACATGTTGTTGGTCGATTAAGAGCTTTGGCGATAGCGGTTGCATTGACGATAACAGTTTTGATGCCATTTCCAGTGCCTTCAACTTTAGCTATAAGTTTCGGCATCTTATAGCGATAGAACATATCATTTGTTTGACGATTAACATTGATCATAGCCATGGCTATATAGAATAGGTTGATATATTGATGTGCGAGGGATGATTCTCAAGGGAATGAGTGAATATTAGATTTTGGCGGTATTTTTTGTATCGCGATGAAGTTGAGCGTTTCTGTCTAGCGAAAGACGATTTGGTCGACGAATTGCCAGATGGGCATGAAACATGTAACATAGAATATTGAACAACGGTCGGTTCCTTTGTTCGTCTATAATGACAATAATGGCCGTGGGCTACTGCTTGTATATCTAATATGAAAATCAGTTGACTTGGGTTCAATTTCATTCACACGGAAAATCTTACTTCGAATCGACAACTTCATAAAGAAACTAAACTTTCAATTGGAGATCAGCTGTTAACTGCTTTGTGCGTATAGGACGAATAGAGTCAGATATCTGAAATTCGAAATGAAATAGATGATGAAATGTTTGTCGATTTATAAGAGAAAAACAAGGTAGGCGTTGGCGGTAAATGACGCACACATAGGGAAAAACAATTGCATTGATGTTACGCAACTAAGGAAGAAACCAGTTGTATGTAAAAGAAAAAAATCAATCTTAAGTATTTGAGCGCGTTTTTGTTAAATAAAAACAAAGAACATAATCCATTATATTGCATAGAATTTAGCGGTATTGTGAAGGTCGTTTTTATTACCGTTCGTTCGTTCGTAGGTACACATCTTACGTGGTAGAAATGGCTATGATAGATGTAATGCAATGAGTAGTCTTGTTTTATAATCGCACAACAACCATTAGCAATGTTCCGAATAGAGGAAAAAGGAACACTAGTGAATTTTCTGTTAATATGTAATTAGACATTTGTTAATATGAATAGAAAAGCTAAATAAATTATACAAATAATGAAACAAATGAGTGAGCGAATATTTTTCTCATTAAAGATGGCGGTAGTATTCAATATGACTCCATGTGTTCTTCTTCTTCTCCCGGATTTCGGCCGACGCATTAAATTTTGCCATCGACAAGTATGAAACACAGTCGAGAGAGAGAAATGAGACGAAGAAAAAAAATTGCATTTGTTCTCTTTTATGAGATGCGATGAAGAGAAAAACACCCTCTCATTGCAGAGCAGTTTGCACGTTGGGAATAAAAGGAAACTAGCAACTCCTTACTGGCTGATTTAAGAATAGGAAAGCTCCCATTAGTCACTTTGCTGTCATAAAGTAAGACGATTATCCAAGTTTCATGGACTGATCAAATTTAACCGAAACACTCTGATTGATCTAATGTAGTACTGTTCTTTGCGCCTCTATTGACTTTGTAAACTTACTCCACTAAGGAAGGTATTATAAATGTCATCAGGCTCCATTACTAATATTTTTTATGAGTTTTTACGAATTTCGTTGCTTCCATCGTGAGAGTTTCAAGAGTGTCTACTGTTTGTCATATGAATTAGTCATACTTCACTAAACATTCTTTATTATAACGATGAGAGGTAATTCGTCGATTCTACTTAATTTATCATACAATTGGCAGTCTCTTTGAAAGTATTCTTTACCAAAAATGCATCTGCATAAACCTTTTATTAGTCGAACTATTTGACATATCAATTCTCTCTTTATTGTAGATTCATAGAGAATTTGAAACAGAACAATGAATGAAAATTACCACTCGGCTCCACCACCGTACAGTAAGTTATCGCATATACATTCTTCGTGACGAATAATATTCTGTATTCTTTAGTGGACGTCGTCGGTAAATACCCTCAGTATGTTCCCGGCGAACGCGCAGGTGCTTATGCAGTGCCACCACAAGAACTCATGCCTGATCCTAACGCAGTCAAGTATCCCGGTGCACCGATTGCTTATGCAGTGCAAAGTGCTCCTCTGACAACATTCGCGAAGAACCCTGTTCATTGTTGTTGTCCAAATTGTCAATCTTTAGTTGTTACTCGCGTAGAACAAACGAGTGGACTGTTGGCATGGCTTATATGTCTTTTCCTGGTTATATTTGGTTGCTGGCTCGGCTGTTGCCTTATTCCGTTCTGCGTATCAGATCTGCAAAATGTTCAGCATTACTGTCCTAATTGTAATGCTTATATCGGTGAATATCGTCCTCTCTAAATCGTTTTTCATTTCATATATCGCCCAAAAATTTAATATATTTAACTCACACATACTCATGTACGTGCTTTAACTATTTTGTCTTGCATTAAATTCGAGTCTTCGTATAATTTCAAGCACGTCTGAAAGATTTTCATGCGAGTTTTACACAATTAACATCGTTGCATATGAGAAAGATGAATAAATAAAAGGACGCATTGTCTCGAAGAATTACTATTTCCAGAAACGCTGACAATGTAAGTAGATCAGTTCTATAAAAAAAAAAGAACTTCATTATAATTGAATATTGTGACGTTTCCCGAAACAAACACGTATCATTCTGATGAATTATGAGATTTAATGATGAATTAAACTGACGTAAGCAAATGTCGACAAGAGCGTGAAGAGGAAAATGAAATACAATGCAGTCTTGACACAGCAAGACAGTTTTAATCAAAACGGTATTCATCGAATTTGCTTCTTTTCTTCTGCATCATGCTCAACAAGAGCAGCAGATCACTATGTCATCACATTCTACAAGTCTATTTTTATCGGAACAAGAACTTCAGAAAGAGTATGAATTATATAAATTAACCGATATTACGTGTTAAATTACCAATTCCAGGAACATCGACAACACGTGGAAGATTATTTAAGGAATAGTGTGAACCTAATCCTTGTACGCCGAGACATCATTAGCAAGTATTAACTGGAGCAGAAAAATACCTGCATGTCACGTAAATCGAGGTGTGAAGAGTCAAATATGCATGTTATTGGCCCAAAAGGCAATAACATGCATATTGATATATGCGATTTTCATGTTCAGATAAACATCAACTTAACATCATAGCAATGGTTGCCATGATGAATTTCATTTTATTTCTTTAAATACATGAAAACGATTACAATACTGATTAATCGACAACAAGATGATCGAAGTTCGATGCCGCGCCGCCTCCCATTCCGAATGTATATCGACCTGGATCAAGGGAATTATGACCAGCCATATAATCATCGTCCATCTAAAACGAAAAACAATTTTCCAAACCTTTTCTACTTTGCCCGTCATAATATCTGCTTACGCCTGGATGATACGTTCGTTTAAATTCAAATAACTGTGTCACAACGAATTCAAGAATTTGTTTGGCACCACGTTGTTCTGCGGGCATACGACTGGATATACCCGCGATATTTCCGAATTCTTTAACAAACAGATCTAAATCGTGTTCCGAACACTTGTTCGTTAATTGATTTAAACGTGATGTTTCCGAAGCAAAATAATCTTCGAGATCAAACAATTCCAATGCAGGAGGCTCACAGTCCCGAAATACTGGCGGATAAACAGCTGGTTTCAACGGTGGCATTGGAACTTCGAATTGAGGTTTAATCAACGTCAACGGTTCATGTTTCATTTGCAACTCATCATATGCGCTAAAAGATTCTTTAAATAACCAAATTGTTATTCATAATTTGAGCTTACCGGATCATTTTAGGTATGAGTGTCAAATCCAAATTGTATAATTGTGTATCTAGTAATTTGCGCACATCTTTAGGTAATTCCTCAACGTCGTGTAAACTGCATTTTAACATTTCTGACATTGCTAACAGATCGGGCGATAACATCTCATCAGATATCTAGGAGACAAATATATACTGTGTGATGGTAAACTATGCCGTCCGATTACTTACATCAGGTACTTCAGCATCGATGTCATTCAGACGAAATGATGGGTTTGTAAGAAATTCTATCACAACATCCTTGGAAAAAAACGCAAAATTTTCTGATCTGGAATTACCTAGCAAATGACTTACTAATAATCGTCGATTCTGTTCCTTTTCCAAGTAATTATCATGAAAAATCATTGTCGAACCACACACACATAGGCGACCTCCATTCTACGAATAAAAAAATGACTTTTTACCCTTTCGATTTGGTTTTGCCTAACAAACTTTGGATGGCGATGTATAAAAAGCACAAATGGCTCGTTGAGTTGGTAAACAAGTTGTACCAGTTGACAGAACAGGTACAGATGGTGGTTGAACATTCAAAGATGCTCCGAACGGATAAACAAATTCCAAAGAACTAGAAATGAATCCAGTAATCTTAGATATACGATTGAAAAATGCGAGTTTACCGTGCCACTTGAGCGCGTAATGATTTGTCCACTACAACTGCATTTTGACTTTTTTTATTCTTTGGTGTTGGTGCAGTCGAAGCAATTATATGCGCATTTTCAGCTACAGCTCGATTTAGAACACCATCAAGAACCAATGCTTCTTTTGGATAAAAATATTTATAATACGCCGCCCGAATGACACTGTCTGCAAAAAAAGATTTCAATAGAAATCTAATTGAATTCAAAGAAAGCTTACCATCGTTCACTTCAATACCATAGGTTTTTAGAAATGTATTCACATTTGTATTCTGTCGAGACTCTCCACCTTCATTTAGTGTCAATAAAATACTTCCGCCATTGTCGATATATCGTTTCATCGAATCATACTGAAAGGACAATGCCCGGAATGATGTTTGTCATCGAATTCAACTAACTTACTTCTTGAGGTGTAAATTTTTCTCTTGGATTAGCAATCATAAACACACGAAATGGTGTTAAACGCTCGGCAGTGATTTCTTCTCGATGACTACAAACGACGATCATAAATACACACGAGAATATAGAAATGAAACCAGTTACTTTGACAATTTCCAATTTTTCAAATGCATTTGTAACTTTTTAAAGCCACTTGTCAACGATGTTTGCTCATTTTTCGATTGATCGAAAAGGATATTATTGTTACCATTTCCTGCTTGTTTGCCCTGTCCACCTCGATCATCACCGTTCTAAAATATTTCAACAGCGAAACATTGACTGTTCAAAGTTATCTGTGAAAAATATCCATACTTCTGTCGGAGCCATTTTGTTTTCAGCGTCAATTGATTACTGAATGTGATTATACGTACCTCTCATATAACAGCCATGTTGAGTCGTCGACTGTTGCTAGGCGACATCCCTTCAATAGTATCGCGATAAGAAGAAAAGAGTTTATGCGTCATCATTGACACGATGCTAGTGTAGAATGACTCATTCGTCTAGTAAGATGAGTTAGTCAGGATAAAATTCTCTATTTATATACGAAATATTCGAGTAGCAGTCTCACTTTGATGATACAAAATACGACAATATTGTATGCATTTAGTTTGATTTGTTTCTGTAGATCTGTATTAATATTAATTCTTTATTCATGTCATTAACTGATAAAATTCGAAGTTCAATTCATAAAATGGCCAATCCAGTAAAACGGTACGGAACTAGAGAGTTTAGATCGATCATCGATGGTCAAATATCAGACTCAAAAGGAACAGATAGTTTCCCATTGAGCCCGGATACATAAACATATCGATGATCATCTATAAGAAAAACAAATCAATCAATTGATTATGTTTGTCTTTACGGAGATTGAGACAGATAATGAAAATAGATTTGTTATGGCTTCTGTCTTGGATAGTTTATTTTCTGAAGAAAAATTTCATCACATTCGAAGGGTTTTTATGTTTAATTAGGCTGTTAATGCGGAAATCGGCAACACCACAAGAAATAGTAACACCCGATCAGGCACTTGAATGGTGTCAGAATTATCTCCGTGGTGCTTGGTCGTCGATTACTGTTGAACAAATGCATTTAGAACGTGTTTCGTATGTATATTTTAATCGATTTCTCTTTTTTCTTTATCGATAATACTTTCCAGTGGTGGCCTATCGAATTATTTGTACTGTTGTTCGCTGCCGGACGATGTCGAATCTCAGGGTTCTGAACCACGAAAAGTTCTTTTAAGGTAGTGAACTTCTAAAAAGAAAGAAAAATCTTTTTTTTTTTATTACACTACAAACATTTCCAGAATCTATGGTGAAGTTCATCAAAAGCACCGTGGCACTCTTCTGATTGATAGCGTCGTCTGTACGTTATTATCGGATAGAAAAATCGGTCCACATGTCCATGGAATCTTTCCTGAAGGACGATTGGAAGAATTTGTTGATGTAAGTTCTGTAAATATTTTATCAATTCATCAGATATTGTCAACATACAACTGTCTCGAGTAACCTTTTGATTTTTGAAAAAATAATCGACCAATCTAGATCGGTTTTAAAGCGATAAGGTCAGGAGCATTTAGCACTACTCTCAGGTACAACGTGACCTGACATACATACAATCAATTGTCGCCCTATTTTTATCGAAAATTAGACAGTTGTCAGCGTTATTTGAAATCCCTGGATGCAGTATAAATAGCTTCGGCACTGAGAACGAAATTTCATTCAGATTTTAATCATATAGGCTGAAGCATTACTGGTCTCCGAGGTTCGCGATCCAAAGGTCTCTCAACTAGCTGGTCGATTACTTGGTGAACTACATCAACTTGATATGCCATTAGTCAAAGAACCGACTTGGTTATACAATACAATTGAGCAGTTCGTACCGATATTTTGTTAGATTTTTCTGATAAAAGAAATATTCGTTTTCAAGATATCTTTCAACTTTACCAACAGATCTGCATAAATTCGAAATCGAAGAAGATCGTCAGATTTATCAAGAATTGCAATCGGTGTGCAAATTTGCTGAGGAATTCGAAGAATTAAAGTAAATTGAAACTGTTTGTTCCATTTCATCGTTTCGATCGATTATTTTCAAGAAAACTCTTAGCACAAATTGATAGTCCGATCAGATTGTGTCATAACGACTTTCAACCAGGAAACATTCTCCGATTGAAATCTGATCCAAACAATTTCACTGTTATCGATTTCGAATATTGTTCATATAACTATCGGTAAGATCAAGTCAGCTGAAAAGATAAGTACACGAAGTTCTTTTCTTCTTCAGTGGATATGATATTGGTAATCATTTCTGTGAATTTATGTTTGATTACGCCTCGTCAAAAGAATGGCCTCGCTTCAAAGTTAATTTTACTGATTATCCAAACAGAGAACAACAGGTAAGCATGTTTTTTTGCAATCGGAACGAGCAGTTGGAAGTATCCTTGGATAGGCATATCCTACTGAGTGATTCAGATGAAAGTTTCATTTTCTTTTCTTTAGCGTACTTTTATCTCGGCTTACATCGACGCAACGCTTGCTTTACAAGATCAATCGGTACCTTGTCCGATCGATTCGCCGCAAGAGAAAGATTCAAGCCGAGAAGAACTAATCAATCAAATCATGAAAGAAGCTAATTACTATGCACTAGCTTCAAATTTCTTTTGGACCTTATGGGCTATTCATATGGCAACGTCGACAGCAATCAAATTCGGTTATATGGTATGAAAAACGAAGCGTAAGATCTCATTTCGTGACGCGTCTCTTTTTAGGAATATGCACGAACCCGTTTAACAGCGTATTATTTAACACGTGATAGATTGGTTGGTGCTAATGAAATGCCGCCGATGTTCGGTGAGGAATTACTTCGATCAATCAAAAATCCATTTCAAACTTCATATGTTAAAACAAATGTTGAATAATTCTGCACTTAATAGTATTTATCCGAGCGATCTGAGAAGAAAACTTTTTTTTTTGTTGTTGCTGTGATTCAATTTCCCACTGTTTCGCTTTTCTTGTTTTTAGTTTTGAATAAGATGCAAAGCGGTTCCTGAATGGATCACATGCTCAATCTTTGATTTCTTCTGGCCATGAACATAGGAGGAAATTTGTATGTATGACCCTGATCGATGAGCGACCCACTAGTGCATAATGACCATGATAGATAGTAATGAAATTAGAACATCCCTTGCCCTTCTTCTTCTCTTCTCTCATATGGCTGGTGTCATTAACTTGTTCTCTGTCTTGCGAGATACTCGTTCATCGTCGAATGCTAGAACTATACAAACAAATCTTCTCATTGCTTTCCAGCGCATATGGAGGATATTGTCAAAGAAACCAATTCACTTCTCCTTCGTCTTTAACTGGCATTTCAATGGAAAACGTTGATCGTAATTATATACGCATGCAATTGATTATTTAATCGATAACCTTTTTAACGAAGATTTGATCATTGAGTACGAAATGTGATTAGACATGTATGTAACGGGGAGGGAAGAGAGAAAAATCTTTGTTTTCTGTTCTGGCATGTGAATTTCTGTTCTTTTCTCTTGCCAAGATTGTTATTGAGAGAAAAGAAAAGAAACTACCTCTGTAAGTTTTGTTTTTCTTCATGTACATTGGTATGACGTTCTTCGGATTAGAAATACTATGTCCATATGCTGTTGTCTTTCATCTATCATTGTTTATGATACATTTTATTCGAAGATTCTATTGTCATGCGAAGCATTATTGTTTTGTTTTAGATATTGTTCTTATTCAAACATGGAAAATGACAAGCAAATAACGGCAGATCCCGATGCAGAGAATAAAGTAATTTCTTTCATGTCATATTCGTGATATCCTTGATGAAAATTCTATTGAAGATACTTCTTGAACCCTACGAATACATTCGTACTATCCCCGGCAAACAAATTCGACCAAAACTAATCCAAGTAATTGGCGTAACTCTTTCCTGAATCTCATTTTCCTTCGTTTTTTTCAGGCATTTAATCTCTGGTTACACATACCTGATGAAAAGCTCACTGTCATCGGAGACCTTGTTGAAATGCTTCACAATGCATCGTTGCTCATCGACGATATTCAAGACAATTCCAAACTACGTCGAGGCGTACCTGTTGCTCATAACATCTATGGAATTCCATTGACAATTAATGCTGCGAATTACATCTATTTCCTCGCTATGCAGAAAGCTCTTGCATTGGAACATACTGATGTGACACAAATATTTGTCGGTATGTTATCGAATGCAAAACGTTCGTTTAAGAAAAATGACGTCATGTTTTCTTTTAGATCAAATGTTAGAGTTGCATCATGGACAAGGTATGGAAATCTGGTGGCGTGATAATTTTGTTTCACCATCCGAAGAGGAATATCGTCAAATGGTTATCAGGAAATGCGGTGGATTGTTCAATCTGGGTGTTCGTCTCATGCAATTATTTGCACCAACGGAAATACGCAATGCTTACAATTTCAATAAACTATGTGAATTACTGTCATTGTTATTTCAAATACGTGATGATTATTGCAATTTAATCTCTAAAGAATATACAAATAATAAATCGTATTGTGAAGATTTAACCGAAGGCAAATTCTCATTTCCAATCTTACATGCAGTTAACACACGTGAGACTGACACACGTATTATTCACATTCTCAAACAACGTACACAAGACATTGAATTGAAACGTTACTGTGTACGATTGTTACATGAATTTGGTTCGTTAGAGTATACGCGTCAAGTGTGTGATGATTTGGCTAGACAAATTTACGATGAAATTGATGTCTTAGGTGGAAATACCTTTTTAGAAAGTATCATTCAAGGTTTAATGGAAATCTTTCGTCGTGATAATGAGGAAAATGGCAAAGATCTTGATCAGCATGAGCGTGTCGTATTTGATCACAGTATTAAAATGGAAAAAGTTCGGAGTCATAACAAAACGAATGGACAACATCATACTTAAATGTCGGGATTGTACTGTATATCACGTTTATTTTCAAGGTAAATAGATGTTATTGATGTCTACTAGTCAAATCGCTTCGTGGCTTTTCGGTTCTTTTTGTCTTCATTGTAAACTTTCAGTTATAACCAATCCAGACCATAACGAGTGCGATTATTTTTTGTTTGTATGTTATAGTTTGTTTTTTATTTTCAAAAATAAAGCAAGCCTTATGTCAACGGAACATTCTCTGATAAGAACAGAACTCAAAAAGGTTAATGTATCACTTCGTTGTTAGATAACGCATCGTTCTTTCGGTTGTTTCATCATGGATGCTGATGCACAGTTTTTGCATGAGTTTCGAACTGGGGTTTTACCGTTCGAACAATGGACACATGCAGCACACATTCGTATGGCGTATCTAGTGTGTAAATCATCGGCAAGTTTCAAGGAAGCTTTGGAAACAATTCGTCAAGGTATTCAACATTTCAATGGACTTCACGCCGCGAAGCTCACTGTTGGTTTTCACGAAACAATGACCCAACTATGGGCCACATTAATTTGGAATGCCACACAACAATGCGACTCATCTGTCTCGAATTCGAATGCTTTTCTCGATCAAAACCGCGACCTATTAGATTCATCATTGTGGAAACAATATTACTCTCCAGGAGTAATGTTCTCACCAGATGCTAAACGTACATTCATATCTCCTGATTTAAAACCAATTTCAGTAGAAAACCCATAAACTTAAAAAGAATGATCAAAAAGCAAGTTTTTTTTTATTTATATAAAAGAAAAATCATTGCATTATTATTATGATTGTCATCAGGAAAAAGAAAATAGCAAACTATTTTCTTATGGGCACTGCCTACCATTTACCCAAGTCATCCAATCTCTGAGATTGGCTTGTTTGCATTGTTTGAAGATCCGAACGTCCTCCACGTGACATTCGAGTTTCGGTTCATACCACACGGAAAAGTTCATTCGATTGGCGGGGAATAACTGAGATTTAGAGGCCATCCGACAAAGCGGACACAATAGATTACTCCATCCTTGCGAATTACGTCGATCGATTCCATAAAACTCCCTCCATTGAAGATATTCGAGGTATTTTTGGGTCTGATTCATCAAATCGTACAGATATTTCGCTAAATGCTTCGGCGTCTGGAATTTGTTCACGTGTATATACGATTGATTTGGTGCTATGCGTTGATAGTCAGTGTCCGGAGCGCCGAGAACAATCGGAACGAGGCGATGAACGTTGTCCGAAATGATATTCCAAAATTTCTCAGTGATATACGAATTACAACGAGAATTTTCAAAAGATAGATAGAAATAGTATTCGTCGAGGTTGACTTGACATCGCCGATTCGGTGCTGAGGGACATTGTTGACCGCATTTACCGTAAATATCCACAGGAATGTATTTTTTCAATTCTTCGACGTATTTTTCACGTTGAGAAAATGTGTTACAATTCGAAACAAACCATAGAATCGGTTTTTTCTTCGATTTTAAACTAATGCGATTCAAATTCTCTTCCCTTCGATTTATCGATACCGTTCGACGCTCAATAATCGACGAGAAGACGGCATAAGGCGAGTCGTATTTATATGAAATCGATTGATCGAAATAATTATCTAACATTCGTGGAAAAAACGACGGATTTTGATAATAAAAATTAATTGGACTTTCACCGGTAATGAACACCCAAGATCGGCGATTATCCTTCGACGGATTCGTTTCAGGCAATTGATACCGAGTGGCATCGTACAGATGAAACGCTACTATCGATGATTGATCTAGTCGATTTCTATTGCGTGTAAATTGGCACAGATCTGTCGATGAACATGACACAAGTACAGATGCATTGAAAAATAAAGGTTGATTCCAGTACGAATCGCGAAACAGATCCGTCCAAAGAAGTACAAGTGGATAAGATTTCTGTTTTTGGTTTATAAGTGGTATGTAAGTAGATGAGTTTGTATCAAAAATATACTTCGGTGATAAGAGAACATCTAACTCTTCATGTTTATCTGGTTGACTGTAGATTTTGTACGCTGTGTAAATGATGGAAGTGCACGTAAAGATAATTAAAAAGCGACGAGTATACGATTTTTTATGCAAAGTGAAAACACATGATAGAATTAATATGAGCACACGAGTATAGCTGGAAATACTGACATTCATCGCTCAGTTATGGCTTTCATCCACCGGCGTTCTACAAAATAGTTAAATAAATTTACAAAACTATTGTCTTCGATTTTTGCTTGAATGACAACCCCATAGAGTGTCAAATTAAGAGGAGGAAGAATCAATATTTGATTATAGAATTACGTTTAGAGCAAGAGGACAGCATATTACTTATCCATTGAAATTGACAACAAACGATCGGTCAAAACAAACAGAACGGAATTGAGTTCATCGAAATATTTCTTTTGCATTGTTAATTTTCAAACTGTTACTAGAGAATACTTTCCGAGAATGATCTTTTACTCACATCATTACTTGATGATTTTTTATCAGTTTTTATGTTTGTGGAGTACCATCAAGTTGATCAGTGTTTGTCCGAAGGAAAACACTATTAGCTGGAAATACTTCCATCGCCAAGTCATTCATCTGAAATGCACGTTAAATATACTCGACTTCTCTGATTCCATAAAACAACAATATCTTTAGCGATCGATACTTATCAACTATTCAGTGATTCTGCGTCAAGCAAAACAGTGCAATGGACTTTCAAATTTGTTTATTTTTCATAACAAAAACATAACAAAACACGTATTATGTTAATGCATCTTCATTGCGAAGAAATTCACCGACATCAGCTTGATGGAAAACAACTAATGCCATGGGATCAGCTGCTCGACATTCAATTGTTGATTTTGCAGCTACACCAAATCCCTACATGAAAACATCATGTACAAAACCTTCTGAAATAAAAATCAAACTTACTAATGGCATGTCATTCATGGTATAGACAATGACACCATTGTATTTCGGTGTATTTTCTGTAATACGTCCTAGACCTGATTTAACAACATTGTGTCCATAGAGAAATTGTTGTTCAGCATTTGGTTTCAACCAGACTTTGAACTAAAAGTATTTGAGACACAAGAATTAACAGAAAACCGATGTTTGAGAGTACTTGGCTTACTTTGGCGTATGGAGCAATAAAATCCAATGCAGTTATATGTAATCGAAATTTACGTGTTTTAGTGAATCGACCGAAACATGTACCGAAACTGAGTAGTTCTTTCCGAGGAAAATTACTTGCGTATTTTATAATTGCTTCACTAGAAAACATTGCAATTCAAATCGGATAGTCTTTTTTCCAAAGAAATCAACCTGCAATAGTAGACACGCTCACGGTGTAAACGAAATGTATAGAGTCCATCGGGGCGTTCCAATAACATTCGAACATTATCACCGATGCTAAAAGATTGCAAAGAATATTCGCATTAGGACACAGTGGATGACTTACTATTTCGAGAGTTTCTCGAATAAAATCTTCGTTTCCTCGTCGGTTAACGGACGCATCTTCGTCTTTTTCTGAAATTAAAACAGTCTTTCATTCTTTCGTTAAATTGTAATAACAGTATCGCCAAAGGAGGACATTCAAACTAGACTGAGTTGGGTTGGTTCACTCTACTCGATCAAATTTATGTAAACAAAAGTGATCGGATTGGTCAACAAATGGACCAATAGAATTCATCGGCTAAGATATTTCATGGGAACGATCAAAATCTCATAAAATAAATTTATAAAAATCTTTAAAATTGTTATTCAGTCCTAAATATTTCATTCAGATTAAATTTGATTTTTTCCCCGAAATGACTTCATTTCGAAGGCTTCGTTCATGGCGAATGGCTGAAATCATACATTAAATGTTTATTACGTGACTTGAACTTTTGATTTAGTCTAGGTATACCTTGTGTTCAAGATGCAGTCTATACTGCACCTTGCTGTCATTTTATCTTTTATCTATATGGTACGTATTCATCTTTGAGATCGCTCAGTTGATTTCCGTAACATACTTCTAGGTTAATGGCGTCGTGCTCAAATCAACTATGAACAATAACTATCCTCAAATAGCTGTTCTAGGATGTAATAGTTCGAAAGCGAATTTGTATTATGACACTGACAAACACGTCTGGGTTGAGCATTTAATCAGTTCATGTGTCAACGACGAACAGAGTATTCTTGAATTTTGTAAACAAGTAAGAGAAATAAACTGCCAGTTAGAATTATATTGTCATTTAATCAACATGTCTGATTTGTTAGGCGTATCCATCATTTCGTATTGGCAATATTGTTCGCTCAGATACAGTATTACGTTTTGAAAATTGGTGTGAATTAATATCCCCGATCGACAAAAATGGTGACAACATTCATCGATGTAAACAAGGCAGTGGTACTGAAGAATTTGTCCAACCCTACCGTTGCTTATATCTGACTTCGAAACGCGAAGAGATTACATTACCAACAGTTGATTGTACCATGAATAGTATTATCGGTACAGATCAATGTTTACGTGCTGAACAATGGCGTCAACTGGCATCGGTTGAATGTGAAAATAAAAACATGAATCTAAACACATCAGTTATGACACTTGATTGGTGTGGCTTGTCGGCCTTTCGCGGTATTGAATTTGTTTGCTGTCCGACGAAAAAATCCAATGATAACGATTATGAAACAAGTCTTGATGAACAAGATGACAACGATTTGCTTGAAGATGATCCTATTCAAGATGGACAACAATCTTCGAATCAACGAATTATAGCAATGACACTAGCATCACGTGAGTATCCACAAAGAATATTCAGTTTCCGATATTTACTTGTTATTCAATCACGCGTACATAATTTTCTATGGCATGTGCTCAGATCTCAGCCGACATGTTTATATTTTAAAAAGAAAATGACAAAACATTTTCTTTTTATTTAGGCGAACCAAGCTGGATGGAAGATTATCGCCGATGGAATACCGACTCAGCATATTTTGCCGGTAGGACATTTCTTTTCATGTGATAATCTATTTACATTGAAATTTTAGATGATGAAGATACAAATGATGATCAAACAGCTACCGAAGAACGCGAACGATTTGCGAAAGATAAGGAATCGTTCAAACAGAAATACAAAGAACAGATCGATGAATTAAAGACCCGTTGGCAAAATCAACAAAAGAAAATTCAATTTTTAGTCAATGGCAATGTTAGTGCAGTACGCGAACAAATCGACATCGATTTTCGTCGAGAATATGAATCTCTCAAACAAGCAGCTAGCCAAGAACGAACACGTCTCAATGAACTACACGAAATACACTTAGATAATATGCTTAATGTAGCCAAAGCCGAAGCCAATAAAAAACTCATCAATGCATGGAACAATTTACCACTAAAAGTATGTTGAACACGATATTGTTGCATCACTATTGACAAAATGAATCAACAGTTTACTTATCTATCAGAAAGACAGAGAGAAGGTCGTTTGTATCTGTTTTATGTATCGATGTATATTTGACAAGCGAATGAAAGAAAGAAAGAAACATATGTATATGAACGCAGAGATTGATTATTAATAATAGGAGTGCGTATACTTGAGAATAAAAGAGAGCTACTTATTAAGTACATAAATGACCCAGTGTGAATGAACGGAAGAAAGAAAACGAACGTAATTGTTGAACTGAACGTCCGTTGTAGAGTGTATACTTGAAGAAATAGGAGACTACTTTAATTGCTTTTCTTTTTCCTTTCCTGTCGNTACGTTTTATTTGTTGCGTTTTTTGGGAAGTAGATTTTTCTTTTTCTTAACACGTAATCGCTGATAAAAGACTTATTTTGAATAATTTGCTCTCGTTCTCGATATCTGTTTTAGATATTCATTCGCATTTTGTTCTTATCCGACAAAAGCAACGCGCACATCTTTTTTCGAGGTGATATATTGGTTTCATCGGCATTTTGTCGACGAAAATGCCGTTTAGTGCTTTACTATCGTCTCGCTCGAAGACGGATTATGTCAAACATTTGAAAGAATGTTTAACAATTATCGAAATTGAACAGGATAAAGAGAAGAAGAATTATGATGAGGTAACGATAAGTGAATCTCATATTTCAGCGAGTGGAATTCATTTGATATGTTTCAGGCAATTAAGAACATCCATAAAGCATTACTTGCTTTAAAAGATGGATTATTCGGTCCACGCGATGGTAGTAGTGAGCCAGCAATAAGTGATGTGTCTCAATTGTGCAGCGGAATCTATTCACAGGAACTTTTATTAGCGATGATTAATAACTTAGGTCGAGTGACATTCGAAGATCGAAAAGAAATCGTCGCTATTTTCAACAATCTTCTCCGTCGACAGGTCGGAACAAAATATCCAGCTGTTGATCATATTATGCAAAGACCTGTCATCCTGTTCAAATTGATCGAAGGGTAAATGTCAAAATGCAACCAGCAGCATCGAATATGCTTTGTTTGATGTAGATATGAGAATGCTGATATTGCATTGAATTGCGGTATGATGCTTCGAGAATGTATACGTGTTCAAGAATTAGCAGAAATTATCTTGAAATCAGATGAATTTTATAAGTTTTTTGATTATGTGCAAAAGTCGACGTTTGATATTGCAAGTGATGCATTTGCGACTTTCAAAGTATGGTTTTTGTTTGGAGTTTGATGTCCTACAATGATTTTTGTTTAGGATTTATTAACCAAACATAAATCTCTATGTGCAGAATTTCTTGAACTAAACTACGATCTATTCTTCAGCAAATATCGTGACCTATTAAACTCGGAAAACTATGTAACACGTCGACAATCATTGAAAGTAAGTCAGACACTTGATGACTCTTTGCTGAAGATGAATTTCTCTTGCATTGTAGCTTCTCGGTGAACTCCTACTTGATCGATACAATTTTTCAGTTATGACTAAATATATAACCAATCCAGATAATTTAAAACAACAGATGAATTTATTGAAGGAAAAGAGTAAAAATATTCAATTCGAAGCATTTCATGTGTTCAAGGTTTGTTTTTATTACTTAAAATCGATATCAAATCTCGTTCTATTTGTGCAATAGATATTCGTGGCGAATCCATCGAAACCTAAAGCAATTTCTGATATACTTCTACGCAATCGAGATAAATTGATTGAATTCCTTACTAGTTTTCATACGGATCGTAAGTGATTGGTATTCGCGAGACATCGTTCTATTTGACATCGTTACTATAGGTACGGATGATGAACAGTTCAATGATGAAAAAGCATATTTAATCAAACAGATCAGTGAATTGAAGGAAATCAAGGCCTAAGAAAAAAATTCATTCTTTTGCTGTTGTTGTTGCTCCTCTTCTTCGTGTATGTGTTACATGTATAAATCCCTGATTTCCTCCTAATTCTTCTTTGTATTCACATACACGTAAAACTCAATTTTTCGTCCTGTTTAATCAGAAATTTGTGAATAGAATACATTTGTGGTCGTCATCGTCTTCTTCTTCTTCTTCTCCTTTTTTTGCGTCTTTCACTGATGATTTGTAAAAACAGAATTCTCTTTTTTTGTTCTTCTTTTCACTTGTTCGTTTGTTTATGCGATCTTCATGATGTATGCTTCTTGATCAACCGTATTGAATTGATTGGTGTATTTGTCGATTTGTCAAATGTCTTAATAATTTTCTTCCCTCTACTGAAAGGAGGGTTATGCGTCGGCTTGATATCGCGGAAAAAACGAGTTGATGTTCGTTCCTCTGCTCCTTTGCAGCAATGATAGATAGCGACAATCTAGTGGTCATAGCATGAAACAAAGCTTCACCAAGAAGAAATAATAGGCAGTTAGTCCCAAGCATACACGCAGAAGAAACATGTGTCGTAGAAGAAGCAAAAAACTTGTTTTCCCTTTTCACTTTCTGAACAAGGAAAGCTCAAATAGAGCACGTGTGTTCTTTTATTCAAATAGTGGAAGCCACACGCACATGACCGAATATCTAAGTATCAGAGACCGATAGCGTATCGCTTTGTTGCGATTCCCAGGAGGATATTCTATGTGGTTCACTGTTCGATCCACACGATACACAACATTATGAAGTTACATCGAGAAACAAACAACGTGACTGAACGACCTGGTCAAGATCGATTGAATTGAGGGTGTTCGGAAGCAGGGATAGCTTCTTGTTTCCGACACTATTGACATTTCGTGTTACGATAAAAATGAATCTGAATTGTCCATCTAAACTTAGATAACAAATTATGAATGAGACAGGAGGGTGGAATTTCCTGAGCAATACTACGTCCAATATAGATAAAGTCCCAGGAACTTTCTGATCACCGCGACGGCTCGAGAAATTGAGTTTACTATTGTCGCTTACGGCCATACCACGTTGAATACACCAGTTCTCGTCCGATCACTGAAGTTAAGCAACGTCGGGCTCGGTTAGTACTTGGATGGGTGACCGCCTGGGAATACCGAGTGTCGTAAGCTTTTTTTATTTTCTAATAAGCACAAATTTCAGTTAACTGATGACGTATTGATTCAGCGGATGAACTTCATAGAGTACAAATACGTAAAAGAGACTTCAAGCTGCTCAATATGATTTTGACATGATGAGAAAACAAATCTTTCTCGTCGGTTAATGAGTATAAGTCAAGAATAGAAAATCTCTAATGCGTACCTGAAGATAATCTCGTGTCATTTTATCACATATCAATATTTTTCCACAATTAAAGCAAAGATAATGACTATTGCGACCATTGAATACTTTTTCTTAGCATAAAAAAATGAATTCAAACTTTATCTTTTCTACGAGTGCATGAGTTATGCCTTTATCAGGGAAAAAAGACGACTTTGACAGGATATCGACATTATTTAGCATATCAAGGTCATCTGGGCTAAAGCTTATGCCGATGATTTATTCAGAAATTATTCCAATTCGAGAAAGAAAATTCACAAGATTGTTTAAATGACTTGATTTTGAGACTTGCCATTTGATTGTGATTGTTGAAGTGAGTAATAAATAATGGAATAATCAGCGTGTCACACTATTCTATTCTCTTGAGATTAACACATTCGTAAGAAAAAAAAAGGAAACTAACTAAATATTGACTTATGTACATTTTTTATGAGCGATGCGTAAAAGTTGATGATTTCATTTAGCATTGAGCGATAAGAGAGCATCCATCTCTCTTTTTCTTACCGTTATATTTAGCGGAAAAGACGTCACTGAGAAAATCCTTGCAATCAAATCATTTTTTTCCTTTAACACCTGCTCAACGAGCGTGCATCACAAACCGACTTCTCTCGAAGACACTCTTATATGATAAGTGAATTCAACTAAAACAACTGTCATTTCATTTCCTTTCATCGTCACTTCACGACACACACACTCGTACCTACGCGCAGTAGACTAACTGGTTTACTCCTTATCTTCGACAAGAATGAACTCGAAACTCGTATCTTATTTCAAATGTAACTAGTTCACATTTTTAGCTAGCTCTCTGCATTGTCTTCTGATTTAGTGATGACTTATCTTGTGCTTCTCTGCGCATTTATTCAACTTGGTAGTTCTCAACCGACAATTGTTGACGATGATGAAGTTCAAAGTCAAATTGACACTTCATTCCTCAATAACTATGCCAATATTATCAACGATCGCTTCAACGGCAAAATCCCTGTCGAGGATTATTACTATCATAAGAAACAATTCAATCCCGATAATGTTCAACTGGCTAAACGGATAATTATGTTACCTCGTGTTGGCCGTCGTTCTGTTCAGTCCTAATCATAAGATCAAACTGATATTTAATTCTGTTAAAATTGAAATAAATGAGAGAAGACTTTCATTGAATAAAAACTTGAATTTTATTGTAAAATAAACCGAGAGACAAGAATGATTCAATGCATTAGGTTCTGATCAGCCAGCAAATGATGATCTTCAGATTGAGGATCGCCACCATCATGATGAACCAGAGATTCTTCAACGAAATGCAGTGCTAAAATACCGAAAATATACGTTGCAAAAATCATAAACACCGCGAAGAACAAGAACTCGCCGATCTAGAGAAAATATATCAGTCGAATTTATCTTGATATTTTCATTATTCACCTGAGTTTTAGCTAGATGAGAATGAGCCACTATTATCACAATAAGATCTCCAACACCTGATGTCATCACCCATATTGATGAAATCACCACTTTGTAGCGTTTGGGCGCTTCGGCGTAGGCAAAAATCAATACAGTTATACTAACTAAAATATCACCAGCTACTAAAAACAAGTACTGAATTATTTGCCAAAACATATGCACTGTAAATGGTGGAACATCTTCAAAAAGAAGTGGTTTTATCTAAATAGATTTCTTCCACTTTGCACGATTTTTCAGCTAAGTGTTTCTACAAACTTTATTTCCCGTTTGATTCACAAGTAAGGCGGTATAAACACCACTTCTTTCCACATAGAACGAGCCAGTTGATTCTTGATTTGTACTTACTGAATAGATGCGATATCTAGATTAAGATTATAGAGTTTTACTCGATGATCTCATTCGCAAAAGAATCACCTTGTTTCAAGAACAGATTCATATTCAGTTGGAATCAATTCACCAGTGATATTAAACGTATATTTGTTCGGTGTGAGTGTAACTATCGTATTGTTTCCATCATCGAAAGATACCAGACTAGAAGGATACGTGCGTATCGAGAGTATGTCAATCATATATTATTACCGCAGAAGAGCATATTGTTTTACTCCTCGAATTTGTGAAATCGGATTTGTTAGCTAAAGCGCAACAAAAAACGAGTGACGAGCGACTGTTGAGGAAAGTGATTCATTTTCTTACTGGCGTCAATTTTATTTCCGTATCCCGTGTTGCCTTGTTTTCGTCGGATAGAACGATTATTGATGGACAAAGTCTATCTTTAGCTAGGCTGTACTTCAAACTGTGATTGCCGCATGTGGAAACAATGGTCAAATTATTCTTCTGTAACGATACACAAGGATATTGAATAGCCTAAGTATAAAATAAATCCTTCGAAGAGGGCTAAGTTAACAAACGTCCAACGAACGAACATTTCCGGAGTCGATTATAGTATAAGAATCTATTGATATTGGACAATGATAACCATTGTAAACATCCGTATAAAGACGTACAGGTGCTTCATTTGCTTTCAACTAAAGATGCAAAAAAAGTGCTTTCGACAGTAGTGATGACAAATAGTCTCGCACCACAATGGCTCTTTCTAGTATGGCGGCGATAACGAAACTGGCAGCTGTTAAAATTAATCCAAGAAAGATTCGTTGCAACGGTCTGTCGAAATAAAAACGAAAGCGATAGAATATTCTTTCTTCCCTCATGTCGAATTACTCTAGCAACCAATTGAAGCGAGCAGCTGCCGGGAAAATCACTCGATTGAACAATGGAATAAGGAGAAGACTAAGACACGGAGCCAAAACTTGCATTTGATCAGGTTCAATTTTTAAAAACGGACCCTAGTTGAGCAATCAATATAACCTTTTAATCCGTTCAAGTCCATACATACTAAGTTGCCACTCATCGACGATGCTTGCAAAGTCCAACGCGAACCTTTTTGAGTTTGTAGCGCATTGAACACTGTCAATGGTAGAAACAACACGAGAACACGATAAACTAATCGAACATCGTTGATATCCTTTGTCTACGGAAGAATACATTCGATTATCGCTTTCTTCGCATGACCTCACTTACACTATATTTATCATCAGCATAGTGTAAGAAATATTTTTTCTTTTCTGTTTTCGAGCAACTTATTCCATTGCGCATCGCTCTCTAAATCAAATTAATGTGTCAACTGGAGTTTCGAAGAGAATAGTTTACCCAGGTGATCGATGCAAACTGAGCTATGACATTTTCTTTCGATGGAATACGTTTGTACAACGGTGTGCCAATAATAAACAAAACTATGAATGAAAACAATTCGAATAATCTTAACATAGCAATTGTTTTCTCTGATCTATATTACCAATTCCGAATACCATTAAAAATGCTGGAACAGCAAAAGCTAGTGGATAACAATCAGAGTCAAAACATTGAACATCACCTAAAATATCCTTGAAATGTGTTCTTCTGAATGGTATTCAATCTAATATCTACTTCGAAGTATAGGAGTTAACGTTCTAGCAATTAATCCAGCGGTTTGTTCCACAAAATAATATACAGTAAACATGAAACCCAATTGTTTTATCTAGTAAAATAAAACGTGTTGATTTTGGAACTCGATAATCATCATTTTCTTACATTTGATGAAGATATTTGGTCGGCACAAAAAGTACTTGTGCATGGTCTCGTTCCACCTGCTCCCAATGCGATAAGACCTAAGCCTAACATTGGTCCAAGTCTAAATGAACGAGGCTTCAAAAGTTTTCTGTCCAATCTATAAAACATACAGATGTTTATGACCAACACTCGGTATCGATGTAATCGATAAGAGAAGTGTTCCAATCGCATAAACTACGGAAAGTGACAGTATGGTTGAATAACGACCAATGAACCCGTCCGCTATAATCGCTCCGACAATCGGAGTGAAATGATATAGAGAGTTAAATATATGATAATCGACGGTTGCAGCCGTTTCTGTTTTATGAAAATAATGCATGAAATATAAAAGTAAGATCGTTTGAAGACCACAAAAGGAGAATCGTTCACATCCATTGATAAAAAATATATAAAGTATTGAAGTTGGTAGTTTCTCACTCGATTCTTTATGTGTGAAATACATACTCCCACGCCGTGACGGTGCTGCTGATTGAGCTGGAGTTGTCGCTAGAAGAAACACTTCGTTCGAACTAAACCTCAACGAGACACAAACACATTACCTCCAACAGCAGCAGCTAACACCCGATCCTCCTCAGACAATTTCTTTGCAGGCATCAGAGGACTTTATATTCAAACGTAAACTTACAATTTGATAAGCACACGGCGAATCATCGAAAAGTTGTCTACGTTCGAAAGTAAAATAACAAAACTATTCAGGCATAACATTCTTCAAACCAATGATATATGTGTAGCAATATTGTCAACATTGGAGGAATACTTAACCCACGTGTAACTGAATCGGTGACTGTGGAGTCGAAAGATTTTATTAGATTTCAAATAGGAAATAAATTTGAGCATGAGAACGAAAGTTTTGAGCACAAAGAAGAAAAGCAGACGTTAGTGAAGCACCACATACAAATAAAAATATGTCTCTAACAACGTGGACATGGTTGGTGAGCAAAACTACGTAAAAATAGATGTGTTGTATTACAAATACAAAGTCGGTAAATGCCCGATTCACTCCGATAATTTACACTCAGAAAAGGCATTCGTGGTAAATCGAAGTAGATCACATCACTTCGAAAGCGTAGATTCCCAGTTGAAGCTTTCTAGTAACAAAAGAAGACAATCAACCTAACGAAACAATTCGAGTGACAACGAACTTGTTGGCGAGAAGCGTACTTCGCGTTCATATTCTTAAAACGAAGAATCGAATGACGATTGTATCGATTGGCTTCTAGGACAATCATATCGCTAACGATATGAGCATGTTTAACATTAGATACTGTCAACTGATTTGTCGCGGACACATTCATATGCTTGTCGTGTATCTAACAAGAGAGATATAGAAGAAGATGAGGTTCTGGCAATAGAGAGTTATTCATACGTATTCACATTTCAGTCGTTTTAAATGCACACGAGTTGAAATTTCGGAATCGAATTCATAAGATTGAAGATTTGCAAAATCAATTAGTGATTGATTGTTAAAATGGAAATTATCAGTATTGAATAAGATCTGATCTTCGTCAAGCAATATGGAATTCTGATCACCTGATATATCAATCTACATGAGTCAATGCCTTGCATATTTCTGAAGAAAAAAGTTGTTCTTACGTGTTTATCTGAAGAAATATCTATCGAAGTTGAATGATCTGACCGATTGGTATAAACGAGATCTTTGCAAGTTACTTGTTTGAAGAAAGTTATCTGATCATGAAGTTGATTATACTGAACAGTTTTCGAGCGACTACTATCGAACAATGACCAATCGAGTTTATACAAAAACCATAGAAGACACTGGAAAGTCACACACAGATGGTTCTGAGTAATGCATCAAAAGTAATGGTTACCGTAAAATTGATAAAACTAATTAAAAATAAAGTCAGTATTGCACCGACAACACAGGTTAGTCTTCTCCCGTGTAAACCAAACGTTTTCGTCAATTGTTCAACCGGCACGGATGTTATCGAGACATAACCAGCATCCAATGCGACCGACAGGCGTTGTCGATCTGATGATCGACAAAAAGCCATATCATCTAAAAAGATACTCATTATTATTATTGATTATTGACGAGAAAAAAAAGACAGATAAAACATTGTATATAAAAATGAAATGTATAGAGTTCACTATTTTCAAAGGATATCTTCATCATGGTCACTTGTCGAATGTGTAAGCGGATTTTCTCTGGACGATTTTGGTATTCTATAGATGATTGTTTTCATGAATGCAGCTGCGCACAATGCGGAAAATGGTTGCCATTCTTTGTTTAATGTTCCATCGTGATAATCGGACACACCACGGATGATCATGAACGATTCAGTTCGATTGCCTTGGATAGCCGCGATCACTTGATCAATTTCGGAGTCGAAACATAAAACATTACATCGATCGCATAATGTTGTTTTCAAATAATCATTAGTTAGAAGATTCTTTCCACCAGCAATCATACCGAAACGTATCGTAGGTCGATGATAATCCTTTTTACCTTGATCGGGATGTTTTACTTCGACAATTTCACCATTATCCATTTTAAGGTGAAGACGATCGGTTGCCGGTGGTAAACAATCAATATTATGTGAGAGTAAATATTGAATACCTTCTTCAAGAAATTTCTCCCAAGGATACTTGTGTGTCAACGGTCGAGTCGCATTTGTTTGTTCATAGTTTTCTTTAATCGGTTCCATAAGCTGATACAATTGAAAACTTTTCGGTTTGTAACATGTCGAGATAAATTCATAACCTTCAGACGACTGTTCAGCTTCATAGATACCTAATATTCAACGAATAGAAATACATACGGCAAAATGAAAAAACCCAGTTCACCTCTTTTATCTCTTTGCAGTCACTACGAACATCTATAAGCTAACCTACGACAAAGAGGTCATACTTTCTCTTCTTTCTTGATCTGAACTGATTAACTTGTCTTAGCTGAAGTTATATAACCTCCGTCATTTAATACCCAAGACGATAGAGTCATCCAGACTCGTTAACAAGTGCTCACTAGTGAGAAGAAAGTGAGAGAAGGAAAGAAACAGCAAAATGAAGTGTTTATCTTAGAATAAAGAAGCAAAGTTTAATCAACTATGTGATCCATGTCCTCTCCATTTGATCATTTCTCAGATCGATAAATTTCTCATTTCGGTAATGAAATTATTTACCATAAATATAATCTTCTTCATTAGGATAGCCAACAATAATATCTCCGCGTCGAACATGTTTTGTTACATCTGTGTAGTGTGGAACACCGCCAGCACAACCGATAATAAACACGTGTTGTACATGTTGAAATGTTCCCAATAATCGAGTAGTTGTACTTCCAGTAGAGATTTGTGCAGTTCGACTGCGGCCAATTAACGGTAATTTTGTTGAAACAACATGATGTGAACCAATCGTACCGATCGTATAAACATTTGATTCACCTGACATGATAGAATTGATTGACGAACATTGATATTTGCAATGAATTACCTGCTTTATGCCGAACGAAAGTAACTTTATTTTCAATCATTGCATCGACTGCTAATTTTTCAAAATAATTTACAGTTATAATAGCAATTGTTGGTCGAAACGAGCTCGATAGTTCAGCAATCGATTTGTACAAGATCACTTCTGCGGAGAACAACACAAAAAACATCTATTCGAGAGCACGAACGCGTTCTTCTAACATACTATGAGTGTCTTCTTCTTCGGCCGCGATGATCACACGTGTCCATTGTTGTCCATCTTGATCAAGACGCTTAACGAGATTTTTATCTTCTAATTCAAGAAGATATTGAAGAACTGTTTGACCATCACATTCAACATATCTATTCAAAAAGAGAACAATAATCAGCTCGTGCATTAAATACGAACAATTCAATGAACATACTTCGCCAAGTCATTGACGAACATCGGATTAGGAAATGCTTGTTCAAGTAAATCCAATAATTTTTCTTTAATTAAATCAGCATATCGTTTTGGATTCTTTCCATGCACTAAATCAATGAAAGAAATCATGCATGATATCCTGTTCTTGAATAATTCGATTCAACTACAACAAGATAATCAATTTTAGTATAGGATTTGTTCCCTGGCATAAAAAAATTAGATCTACGTTAGTTTCGCTAAAACAAAATACTACTTTCGGAAAGATAATCATTATCATAGAGCATCAAACGTGAGACATATTGATCAACTGAAAATTGGTAAGCGACAAACGAGAAGATGAGATTTCGATACGAAAATCAGACATTGAATTAGCTTACCTGGATGATCGTTGATGTCGAGATCCGGCTTGTTTAGTGTTTGAATTTCTAATTCAAGTTTTCGAATACTTGTAAATTGACGCAACAACTCCATGAGTCGTTTAATGAAAGAAAAATAATCTTCAAAGACAAATGAACTAGGAATGTTCAAGTGGAGAATGTTTTTTGTTTTGTTTACCGCGAGGAAATTCATCCGATTTTAACAACGTACGAATAAACTTATGTGCATCGGATAGGCATTCATTTTGTGTTGATGGATATGACCAGAGACGCAGAGTACGATTCTCTTGATGGTATTCTGCTGTCTGTTGATCAGTCATGAAGACTGTGAATTGAGAAGAAAATTGTGCAGGTCCATTATCGCGTTGAGCTAAAACAAATCGATTCGATTAGCGAAAATAAAAGAAAAAACTCTTTACCTGGCTGCGAATTTTTGTAGATAATAAAATCAACATTTCGTCCGCTACCAATATGAAGAATATTCTTATCGGTTATATCTGTGACTTTTCGTCTTTCAATAAGCACTGTATTAAGCGTCGAAGTTTTTTGTAACGGAATCAAAACAACATATTCTAAAACGAATCTTTCTTCCTAACAATCTATTTCATACGAGATCGATTACCTTTCGCTCCACGTGCCTGAGTGTGTTGATTAGCCATCTAGAATAGAGATAGACTTGCTCGTCATTGTTCGTACGCGTGAGGTGTTGAAAGAAAAATAAACTGTGTCAGGTTGCCCATTTGCTCTTTCTCTTTTCATCTATACATATATATTTGTCGACCGCTCAACTTACTATATGAAAAGATTACATCAAGCAACGAGAATTATTTCTCTCTTTTTTTCATGCTTTAACCTATCGGTAAATCAGCGCATTTATCGTGTATGTCTTGCGTAAAAGCAATTGTCGCCTATTGAATTTATTCACAACGATGACTGCATACTCCCTCATTTCCACCTTCGCTTTCCCGAGAGAAGTACATTACTCATGATGCTTGTGACATTATTAATTCCATTAAAGAGTACACCTCCAATGACACTTTTGTTCATAAAAGGAGAAAGAATAGAGGAAATGGTACAATGGCTTTTTAAACTCTCGTAGCAAGCAAATAGTTCATTGTATAAGATTGATATTGAGCGGATGAGTAGGAAAAGGCTACGTGTTAATGTATACTGTATAGAACTTGCAATTCGATGGTTTCGTATGCATAACAATAGTAATGTGAAGAGAGAAGAAAAAGAATCTCAATCATTCAATCCATTGACCGATAAGAATGAGCATAAGGTTGATTGATTAATCACGAAGAAGAACAACACGTATGTTACACACTTACATCTCGTACGTCTATTTGCTTTTTTTCNGATGAGTAGGAAAAGGCTACGTGTTAATGTATACTGTATAGAACTTGCAATTCGATGGTTTCGTATGCATAACAATAGTAATGTGAAGAGAGAAGAAAAAGAATCTCAATCATTCAATCCATTGACCGATAAGAATGAGCATAAGGTTGATTGATTAATCACGAAGAAGAACAACACGTATGTTACACACTTACATCTCGTACGTCGGTCTGCTTTTTTTCCTGTTCTGACATCGATCCAGAACGAGAAAAAACTCGATATTTCATGGACTTTACAGTGGACCAATCACAATCCACCAAAGACGAATATGAGGACTTTTAAACATGCAATATAACATGGCTATACGAGCAGCTTCACATACAAATAATAAATAAAAACAAAAACTGCACATACTTACTTAATTGTATTCTGATAATCTTTCATGTCGATTTTTCTTCTAGATCCGTGTGTGAAAAATCCCATAATTATCATTCTATCATCATGACGGATATTGCAATAGCTGATGATCCAACAGGACACATAGGAACTGACATTCGAGTATTTGGAAAATGGAGCGGAGCTGAAGTACAAATTTCGGATATGTCTCTTGAAGTTCGTTGTTTATCTTTTCGAGCAATACATGTGTTGACTAAGGCGGTTGGTTCTTCTAGGATTATATTCTTGGCGCCAAACAGCCAAAATTTCTTCCACATTCAGCTGGTCGATATCAAGTAAAACGTTTCCGTAAGGCATCGTGTCCCATCGTTGAACGTCTCGTATGTTCATTAATGTTTCACGGACGTAACAATGGTAAAAAATTATTGGCTGTTCGAATCGTCCGACACACATTCGAAATCATTCATTTACTTACTGGCGAAGTAGGACTCATTCATCTACGAAACCTTTTTCTATCGAAATCGCCATTTCTTTTCGCCATAGAATCCACTCCAGGTACTCGTTAATGCCATCATCAACAGTGGACCACGTGAAGATTCAACACGTATCGGTCGTGCTGGTACAGTTCGACGACAAGCTGTCGATGTTTCACCATTACGACGAGTTAATCAGGCACTTTATTTACTCTGCACAGGTAACATGAAACATAGAATTTTTTTCACTTTCATTTTATACGATAAACGTTTTCTTTTAGGTGCTCGTGATTCAGCATTCAAATCGGTTAAAACTATTGCTGAGTGTCTTGCCGATGAATTGATCAATGCTGCTAAAGTAAGTAGATCGTATTCACTGAAATCGACAGGCACTCCATTAGAATTCTTACCACCTTTCATTCATGTGGTTTTGAACGTCGGCGTGTGCGAAATTAAATTTGAAGTTTTGTTCATTCGCAAATGATAATTTTCAAGAATTATTGTTTGATAGGCTGCTTCTACAATGCATCTTTTTCCTGAGAAACCTTTCTAAAAGATATTCTACGCTCATTCTAGGGATCGTCGACATCATTCGCCATCAAACGTAAAGATGAACTCGAACGTGTAGCCAAGTCGAATCGTTAAGGTGATTCAACAATTGGTTCTGGACTCACTAGCCATTCACAGGATAATCATCGCGAAAACAAGCGACAATCTCTATGTGTGTGTTGTTTTTTCGTTGTTTTTGCACGTGGTTTTCTTGTGAACACAGTGAGCTAGTGTGTTTTGTTATATTCTTTGAAGAAACAAAAAAGAAGAGGATTTAAAAAAATAACCATCAAACGAAACAAAAAAGTACAAGAAAATCTTCTTTTTATTTCTTTTTTCACCAATCAATTCTGCCAAGAAAAGTCTCTATTGACGGAAATGCACTTTGTCCTATAAAAATAACACCTTTTTCAAAATGTTTTCTTTGTTAAAAGGAAGAATTCAGTTGAGATGCATCGAAGCACGGTTTCTAACCGTCGAACTTCCGTTAGTTTCACAGTTCTAATGGCTGCATCAAAATTTAAAGCACTTATATCTCATAAAAATATGAAATCTGATGGCCAACATAAGCGACAATTGAAATTAAGCGGTCGATCTGTTTGTCCAATATCACCAGGTAAAAACTAAAGACGTCTTGATCATTATCAGCGAACGGTCATACGATTTTTCATCTAGAAATCTTCCGTTTATTCGAATTAGAAGTTCTCGATTTATCCACCGCACATATTTCCGGCTTAGACTTTCGTCTTGTTAATCTTCCGCGTGAAATCGGTTGTTTATACCATTTACGTACTCTTAATCTCGATGTCAATGCATTAACATCCTTACCGAATGAGATTGGTGAGCTCAAGTATCTTGAATGTCTAACTGTTTCGTGCAATAAGTTACAAACACTACCATTCACGTTCCGAAATTTAAAACGATTGGAAAGTTTACATTTAGCATCGAATTGCTTTCAAGCCTTTCCGTTGGTCATATGTCATATGGAAAGATTAGAATTCCTCGATTTGAGTTGTAATCAAATCGAACTTTTACCATCCTCGTTAATCAAATTGAAATCTTTGAAAACATTGCTATTGTTCAAAAACAAACTGAAACAATGGCCCGAACTGCTTTGTAATCTCACGCAGCTACAAACCCTATGGCTAGGAAAGAATCAGTTGCAAGAATTACCGAATCATTTCGGACAATTGACGCATCTAGACTGGACAATCAATCCATTGTCGACAAATATCGATGAGAATCCTTTAACTTATCCACCTTTACTCACCTGCAAACTTGGTATCGAAGCTATACGCAACTTTTTACAAGATGAATTGTACCCTGACTAACCGATAAGTGTGTGCAAACATTCATCAGAGATAACAGAAAAAAGATTTACTATTGCATCAGAAAACATTTCGTCATTTAATGCCTCCTATAAATACTAGCCTGGAGTCATGCTTTCGTGTATGAAACATGTCACTACCAGCTGTCTGTATTTTTCAATTGATTCTTTTCCTCTACGAATATCTAGCATGGCAACTAGAAATCAAGAATTTGACTACTCACAAGCATTATCGTGAGGCCGTGGGGATGAATGTGCAATTTTTCACTGTTCAAATCAATTCCTTGCCGCATCTCGCTGCGGCTTATGTTTACTACCATCGAATGAAACGGTCCATGTTGCTCTACGTACCTTATTTGATGCTTTTCACTTTCGGACAACTCATGTCTTGGTGGTTGCCGTACTTTTTCCGCATCGGGTTTTGGTATCTGGATGGAACCGGTGAAAAACTACGACAATATCAACAGTACCATGCACACTATCATCGAATATTACCCCGATTCAAAAATCATGAGATTATTCCTGATACAGAACATACAATTCTAATCGTACTGACTTGTATTACAGTTGTGCTAACGATTCGATCCGTGTATTCCTCGAGAATGAGCTCAGATTCCAAAATCAAAGCGAAATAGAATAATAAACTTCGACTGAATTTTTATAAATTACCTAAATAGTGTAGATATTTATTTGGAAAAGAGAAAACAGCTACTGGAGCACTGAAATCTAAAAAGTGACCTGTGTTTACGGTTTCGACGGCCCTTTAATGGATTTTAACTTGTCAGTTTCCACTTCTCCAAGTGCGAGTTGCCTTTTGAAGATGTCGTATTCACGTTTTTGATCGAAATGTGTCACCCAAGTCGCTGGACAGCTTGATTCAAATAATTGACGAAGCTGTAGACATTTTTCTTTTTCTTCTTTGTTTGTATCGAGACATTTCCAATAATCATCACGCGTCAGCCAACATTTTTCACGATATTTCTTGTCAATAACAGACATGATTGATCCGAATTGAATTTTCGTGAAAGCAGAACTCGAAGTTTTTCTCGTCTCGTTGTGCAGTAATGAAAACAAAACGCTATTGAATGGTTGATTCGTCTGTGCCGTCAACACGAACCACAGAGGGCGCTAATGGATGTAATTAAATCGTTTTCCTTTCAAGAGCTTTTACAGATATTACTGAAAATAAGACATGTCGAGAAACTAACCGGCACAAAAGAAGCGGAAGTTATTTAAATTACTTTATGTTTCATTCTGACGCCCTGCTGTTAGTGTTTTTTGCAGAAAAGTAAACTCTATGGTTTGCAACCTTTTTATAAACATTGAAGAACTTTTCTTCCTTCTGCAAATATATCTGGAAGAAAGTGTGATGCTAAACAAGATATTTATTTGAATACTCAACCTATTTTCTGAGTGTAGCTTTCCAATCTAGATGGCGAACATGAACAGCAAATCCAGTCTGTTCTCTCTTATGATACATGGCTTCTGTGTAGTATTTGCTTTAATTAGTGTATATTACTTAATCTTCAACCGACCCAGCCTCTCGTACATATGTCAATTAACATTACAGACTCCTGCGAATGTAAACTATGCATCATTGGGAAGTAAATCTATGGCTCAGAGTAGATCTAATTTAACCATAGAGAATTTTCTCAACGAGACACACGCTGAACTTGTTTCGCCAAATGGTCAATTTGTTTTACGATTGGAACCATCGGGTAATCTTCGTTATTTGGAAATTCTCCAGTCGGATAAACTTTTACCAACACATTTGTTTGAAAAATCACTTTTCTCCACATCGACCGGCGATGCCTGGCCTGGTAAGCATATTGTTACTTTACAATCAAATGGAATTCTTCAAGTTCGAGTAAAAACAACCTTTCTATCAGATTGGAAAACAACATGGACGTCAAGTTTATTGCCACAATGTAAAAAACTGAGTACAACTCACGGTTTTCCAGTCTTATCCGTTGCCGATTCCGGTTTATTGGCAATTTATTTTCAACATGATCGGATCGAACATTTGTGTGTGTTACATCCAGAAATCATCTATCAGTCGAATACGGCGCCTGCACAGATTACTACTAGCAGCAAAGGGAAAAGTCCACGAATGGCAATGGTTATTGCCGGTTTCTTTCGATCAAATACTATAGCATGCCAGTCACATGTTGAGAAACTTATCAAGAAATGGCAGCAGATGCATGGTATCTCCGTCGACGTTTTCATCTTTACATACGTTCAAGAAGCGCATCTTCCAAACAGTAAAGTTGTGAATAATGAAACCATACTAGCCGAATTAAAAAAGTGCTATAAAGATAACTTGAAAGGAGTCCGTATTCGAAATGTCAATGAGATCGAAGAAGCATTCTCTGGAGTCGATGCTTCTCATGTCACGCAATGTGGTGGAAAATTGAATCGTTTACAATCGCAACTCAAAACAGTCTATCTCGCTGGTCAATTGATGCGGAACTATATGCTAATCGAAGGTATTACGTACGATTATGTTCTTCGTCTTCGACCAGATACGAATTTTTGGGGAACAATTCCTGATTTACCGGTCTTCGGCACTTTTGATAACGAGGCAAGAATTTTGCTTCCTCATCCTTATCGAGAGCATTACTACTGGTGTTCACATCATGATGGACGTATACGCACGGGCGTAACCGATCAAATGGCGTATGGAACTTTAACAAACATGCAAATATATCTGAATATGTACGTCGGCTTTTCAGATTTCGTTCGTATTGTTACTGGCCAATATACCGATGGCGGAAAGCAAACGAAACACAATACGATGGCATGTGAAGGTACGGTTGGTGATAATGGTTGTGATAGACCCAACGCCGATCGTTGTGCTATTGAATGTCTTGTAAGTTATTACCTTGTATTAAATGGCTTAGATCCGGAAATCTCTTGGACATGGCAACAGAACGTTCTGAGAACGAACGGTGCACATTCGAAAGATTGCGGTCGACCTTACAACTGCTAATTGCATGATTATACTGTCACTTGAAAGAATTTTCTGTTTTCATCGTTCACATGCAATCGAAAGAAGTCATTTGACATTAGTATCAAACATAATTTCTATATCTTTTCAACAAAGAGGTCATTAAAGAATCAATCGACAAAAGCTATATTTTAACCATCAATTAAATCTCATGAAAAAGTAATTAGTTGATACTAATGTTAATTATCTATGACAAATCCATTAACGTTAAAACAAATTTGCTCTCTTTTCATACTCGAAATAGCCTATCAAGGCAATCGACATCATGTCCCATGATCTTATTTGTTTTCAAAAGAATCCCCGTGGTTCGATAGGAATCTCTAATTGTTTTTCTAACAAATACACAAACAAGACGATACAATCTCAAGACAACTGCACTAAGCTGGTTGCGCGATATGAATCATTTATGTCCCGGAGAGAAGTCGTCGTCGTCGTCGTCGTTGTTTTATTATCACTTGACACTTGTCTGATTAATCGACACGATTCAGGTGATAAAAATTCTCCCTTTAAAGGTTAAAACAAGCTGCCAGCAGCGGAATATAACCGCAGCTCAAAACATTGCGTTTCTTTTTGTCAGATGAACGTTATGATACTTCGCTCTCTGTCAAAATATGATGATCTAATATCGACACACAGCTGCGGAAAAATCTTCAAAGATCTAATGATGAGAAGGCGAAAGAGGAAAAAGCGGACAGATGTAATGACGCTGATGATATTGAACTCATGCATGTAGTCATATATCCAATCGAGCAATTTAATCACTAATCAGCATGAAATTTAACTTTGAAGTTTGAGTATAACGAAGAAGAAGATTAACATTGGTCAATAAACACACTAGGGAGTTGATTACATTTCATCACACGAAAGTTTTTCGATACGAGACAAGCAATCTGTAAAAGACTATTCAAAAATAACGATGATATTGATGAGTATACAACTTATTCAATCATAATTGTTGCAAGAAAATATCGAATTGATTGTTATTCGATTATAATTGTCAATAAACCTAATGAGATTACAACCATCAATTATCATGAGAATGAAGAGAGAGGAAAAGAACTTCGTGTTGATTTGCATAGTTTCAGTGGAATGTGAACTTGTTGATATGAAGAGTTTAGCAAGCAGAAATGAAACGGAAGTAAAACAACATTCCGAATAAAACAAACAGAAACAGAAAATCATGTTTTATAATAGCGACAGTTCACTTGAAATTATTGAAGTTGTCTCGAATATCCAAAATGTTATCTTTGAATTTTGACGCGATATCCAAACGAGAACCGACCGGATATTTTGTTTTCTTTGAAATATTTCAACACCAATCAATTTGACTTGAACATTATACTATTACTTTCACTGTACACTGCCTTTCGCTCCTTTTTTTCGTCATGAGAGAGGGAGAGAGAGACAGAGAACAAATTGTCTTCTCTCTCTCTTTCTCCCCCTTCTCGCTTCCTATTATAAAAGGTAGAAAAATGTTCACTGCATCTCATTCCTTCTCTCCCCCTCTCGTATATACATTATACACAGGTGCATTTGTCATAGACAAGAAGAATTTGTCGTTAGCTCAATTATACACGTATCAAATGCATCTTTTCCATTATCACCAATTTATCTTAATTTTTGTGACTGTTATCCAACACTGTAATGGATTCTGGTGGTAAGTATCTAAAATAGTTTGAAAGAGAAGAGCTGCTTTTGAAGTCAAGATCATTTCTCACACATGTAGGTGGGAGTGAGAAAAAAGATCATTCGATCGAATATCCTGGAGTTCTTTGATCTCTCGACGGAATCATTCTTATTTTTGACATCGTCAATGAGAAAATATTTTTGCTTCAAGGTCTCTTGGACTACCGTCATTTCAATTATGGTCATCATCACATCGATCAATCGAACAAAAACAATTCTGTACATCGTTAACATTTCTAACCATTGAACAACGTTTCTACTGCGAAAATAATTCGAAAATCTTTTCGATTATCATCCGATCACTACGTTTGGCTATCGACGAATGTCAATATCAATTCCGAAATCAACGATGGAATTGTTCACTCTTCAACCAACCTGAAATGTTCGGAAAATTGATCGCAAGAAGTAAGTTTCGAGTGAGGAAAAGAACAGTGTTAGTGAATGCTGAGAACTTGTAATTATATTACATCACATCGAGCTGAAGTTTTGCTTTTTATTTGATGTCGTCATCGGTATANCGATCACTACGTTTGGCTATCGACGAATGTCAATATCAATTCCGAAATCAACGATGGAATTGTTCACTCTTCAACCAACCTGAAATGTTCGGAAAATTGATCGCAAGAAGTAAGTTTCGAGTGAGGAAAAGAACAGTGTTAGTGAATGCTGAGAACTTGTAATTATATTACATCACATCGAGCTGAAGTTTTGCTTTTTATTTGATGTCGTCATCGGTATACAACTCGAGACAAGAATACTCTTCGTTCAATTTGCCTTGAAGCTAAAACATACCATTCGATAAGACCCTGATCTTTTTCTTTTCTTGCCAAACAATATGTTCAGAAAGAGAGGATAATTAGACCACCTGAAGTGATGTATATTTATGTACACTTTTTCTTTTCTAGAAACACCTGAAGTTGCTTTCATCTATGCACTTACGTCAGCGGCTGTCATGCACAATATCGCTAAAGCTTGTGCGAAAGGCGAGCTCACCGAATGCGGTTGTGATAAAAGTCAAACAACAAGCCGAGCCGCACGCGCTATGGTAAAAACACCTTCGATCAATGCGGCAGCCGATGGATTTGAATGGGGCGGATGTTCAGATGATTTAAAATTCGGTCGTAATGTTAGTTTGTCGTTTATTGATCGACAAGAGATGTTTATTAGTCGTCGTCGTATTGTTCGAATGATTAATTTACATAATAATGAAGCGGGAAGACAGGTAAGAGAAGAAAAGAAGAGAAAATTTTTATGTTTTTTAACGAAATTTTCTTTAGGCTGTCGAACGTAATGTTCAATTAACATGTAAATGCCATGGTGTTAGTGGGTCATGTACATTACGTGTTTGCTGGCGTACATTGCCTGATTTTCGTCTTATTGGTTCGGATTTACGAACAAAATATGCAAGTGCAACACAAGTTCGACTCAATCGCCGTTTAAATCTGCTCAAACCGCGCAAAACTTCTCAGAAAGACTTCAATACAACCGATCTCATCTATATTCACACGTCACCATCTTTTTGTGAGAAGAATTCTCGTCTTGGCTCGTTAGGCACTCAAGGACGTGAATGCAATTTAACCCGAAATGAACCTGGAAGTTGTTCGGTTCTTTGCTGTGATCGTGGATATGAAACCATCGTGTCAACTATCGAAGAAGATTGTGACTGTCAGTTTCATTGGTGTTGCGAAGTGCGTTGTAAACGCTGTGTAAAACGAATCGAAAGACATTTCTGTAAATGAATGAATATCTTTTCCTCATTTTCTATTTATTCGTGGATGTCANGACGTGAATGCAATTTAACCCGAAATGAACCTGGAAGTTGTTCGGTTCTTTGCTGTGATCGTGGATATGAAACCATCGTGTCAACTATCGAAGAAGATTGTGACTGTCAGTTTCATTGGTGTTGCGAAGTGCGTTGTAAACGCTGTGTAAAACGAATCGAAAGACATTTCTGTAAATGAATGAATATCTTTTCCTCATTTTCTATTTATTCGTGGATGTCAGATGTATTTGTTTGACCGAGTAACAGTTCCATTCATTTTTCTTTTCTTCTCTATTTATATGTACACTGATACTTATGTACAAAGAAAAAAAAACGATTATGTGTCTCTGCTTGATCAAGCATAAAAGGGCATTTTCTTTTGACAGACTACTTTTGAAATGTAATCAAGCAAAAATCCGGTTAGGTGATCAATGCTAGAGGGGAAATACATATGTATTTACTCTCGTTTTCTCTACTAATGATCTGGACACACCTATGTTGATGTTTGTTCGGAGATCAATATAATGATAGAGACGTTGCTTGTGAAGACAAAGAGAAAATAATGGTTCTGGTGAGAATTAGATCAAATTAACTTATTTACAAGAAATGAAAGAAAACTTGGCAGTCCGGCCGTTTGTTTTATCTCAGCTGGATGTTAAATGATTGATAGAATTCAGATCGTGTTCAAAAGAAGAATTGTAAAATAAGGCTTAAATTAGGATCGATTTGTTAATTAACAAAACAGACGAATGTATTTTCACACTTTGTATACGTTCGTATTCACATGCATTCAAATGAGATCTAAAAGAGTTTATTTTCTTTTTCTATGAAATAAATTCTATTGAACTGTTGAAATTTTATTAGTCAACAGAAAGAAAAACAAACAAAAAAAGAGAACAATAGCGAGTTTAATAGACAAAAGACAAGCAGAAAGAAACAACTCTGTTTGCGCGCATCTTTGAGAAGACACATGTATGGATCGGTTCCATTTTATTGTACGGGAGAAGATGTGCGCAAGACAACGGACGTCGAAGAATAGACAGAGAAAGAATGAAGATCAAATTTGTCAAAATATATTTGAAAATTCATGTCTTCATAGAAATTGATCTATCACAAAAATAGAAGACGACGACGACAACAATAACAAAGTGATTATAAAAACAAGTTTTACTGTTGTATGCAGAGAATCAAAACGTGAAGAAAAGAAATGAAGAAGAATAGAACGTATCAGTCCATCAATGTTATCGTAATCCTGAGAAGCAGTGACAGTGGAGAGGAAAGGAAAACAAAACGAATTGAATTGTTATTATCTCGAAGAGGAAGAGTCTTTTGTCACTACTGAATTATGTTTATTTTGATAACAGCTATTATTATTTCTATCATTCTTTTGTATAGAATTGGTTAGTGGCGACGAAACTTTGACAAATGGTGCCATGAAAAGTAACGCAAGTAACATCAATATCAACCAAATCAGTCCGTAATAAAACAAACGTATACCAGTGATGAATATATTCATTGTCTTCTTCGCATTCTGCTTACGTCTTTGTGTTACAGCATCGTAATAGATTTCATTCAATTGATCACTAGCAGAATCCCATGAATGTTTCAATGCTTGTTGTTGTGCTTTTATCGACAAATACTCGCGATCTTTCATAGCACGACGGACAGCTTCTTCGGCTGAATCTAGATCATCTGGTTTCCATAAATATCCGTGTTCACCATTGACAAAGAATTCTTTCAATTGTCCACCTTCTGCTGCGACCACTGGTGTTCCACTCGCCATAGCTTCTAAGTAAACTTGTCCGAATGTTTCACTAACTGATGCATACAGAAAATAATCAGCACTTGCATACGCGCTCGCTAGCTCTTCTCCGCCGAGATAACCAAAAAAGTATACGCGATCTTTGGGAAATACGGGTTCTAAGGTTTGTCGATATGGACCATCACCAATAATACAGAGAAATGTTTGATTTTGTATGCGATCTAATACAAGTGATAGAAATTCGAAATTCTTCTCCGGAGATATTCGACCGACGCAAAGAAATAGCGTTATCGAATCCATTTGTTGTTCAGTAAAGTTATTGTATGTTCCAAACATACGGTAACGCATCGATTGTGAACGTCGATTAGGGTTGAATAGTTCAGAATCGACACCAGTCTTCCAAACAATAACTGGCCGAGGTATACCTGTGTTTTCCATAAATTCGGCAAAATCTTTACTAACTGTTAAATTGGCTGATGAATAGATTAAGTGTTTCAAGCGAATGAATTGGTACAGAGATCGAGTCATAGTCACAGCGTACGAACGCATGTAAGTTGAAAGGTAGAAGTCGATATTGGTATGTGATGACCACACGATCGGGATATTGAGAGATTTAGCAATGGCACCACAAAACATGGCTGCTGGTGTTTGTTCAACAATATGAATGACATCAGGTGAAAATCGACGAATCGCTGAATACATAGTTGGCTAAAATCAAAATTCGAAATGTTCGAACTGCATACATGAAACGTTTCATCGTAAAAACAAATATTATTCATTCTCTGACATTTCAATACATTCGACACTCGACGACCGGTAAGATGTTTGTCTTCTTTTCTTATTCTTAATGCACTTTCGTATTCAGGTTAAGAGAATCTTTGCAAAGCGTAAGGTGCTAAAAAAGCGTTCGTTTTTCTTTGTCCGCTTAGCCTTCGATCATTGGTACGAAACCACAATATGACAAATTTCACGCATGAATGCGCAGACTTTTATGTGTACAAAGCCTATTTTGTTTGTGCAACTTACATTAGGAAAAAGAAACGGGCAAGCACAGTCGATTTTGTTGGTAAATTCAGTTGATGGCAATGAGGAGAATGTAACATAGGTCTGAAGTATATCGTTTCCTTCAACCCATGTCAAAGCATTCTAAATAGATACAATGAATCACAATAACAAGGTTTATTCGAGCTTAAGTTATGCAAATAATACAGTCGATGAATCGTTTTCAATATTTTCTCTTTCTCTCTCTCTCTATCCGACTTACTTTGCAACCAGTAATTACGTGAATATGATGTTTTCGGTTAGCTAAACGTCGAATAATTTCTTTGAATCGACGTGTTATGCCACTAGTGAACGATGGAAAACTTTCGGCAAATAGAAGAATCCGTAATGGTTCGTCATGGTGAAAACCATTTGTGTAAGCTACACAAAAAAAGTAAACAGTTACGAAGAATATTCCGTAGTGAAAACAAATGGTTCTTATTGTTAGTTATAAGCGAGCAACGTACCTCCCTTACTAATCATTTGATTTAATAAAAATCTAAAGTGAAATTTCAATCTCAACGTAAATGAAGTCGAATGAATGAATGTGAAGTAAAAACACTATGAGACACTCTATTCATTCGTCTCCTTTATATATTCTTGTGAAATGAGTATTCGAGACATGAAATCAATTCTTTTTTTTTTCTTCTTCGGTTTTTTTTCTCATTCTTCCTTTTCTTTCTACCATACATAAAATACGTGTTCACATGAAAATGCATGTGCATGTTGTACAGCAACGAAACACTCACATACACATAAAAAATGACTAAAAATACTTTTTCGTCACTCGCACATACTCAGCTATGATTAATATTTTTCGTTTTCTCCTTCTTTCTATGAATAACTCACATTGGTGGCAATGATCGATACTTGTCGAGCACTTATCAACAACATTCGATGTTGATGAGTCCTCAGGTGACTGAAAGAAACTTGCCGCTAGTGCTGCACATGAACCCGTTGTGAAACTGAACTTCCACCAAGATGAGGACGTTTCGTGTGGCGACGAGGATGCTGTTGCGAACGAAGATAACATTGCATTCTATTCGACAAGTAAAAAAAACAACAGAAATTAGACAAACAAAATCTGGACGAATCATTCGTTTAAATGCGTATAGATAAAATCAATCAATCAATCGATCACTAAATTTGATTTCGAAGTCAAAAACAAAATATTCGCGAGTGTTAACAATATGTCCGTTCGTCAACTATTCGACATCATCTAGTCGTTTTAATAATGTACTCGCGATAAGGTAGATGTCAGTAGAAAGTGCGATTGAAACGTACATTTATATATATTTGAGAAAGAATACTCAAGAAAGGAATCTTTTCTACGTGTCGAATGCAAATACAACGAAGGAAAAAGAAATTTGCAGTAACTAACACAACAGCCGGTACTATACTTACTAGGCGATAAAGCATACAACCGCATGTCTTTCTTCATTCTCTCTCTCTCTCTCTCTCTCTCTATCGCGATTTTTTTTCTTTACGCTATCTATAGCAAGATCTTCTTCGTTATGTATGCACTCGTATTACACAGAATTGTTCGACACTTTTTTCCACCATCAGAACGAACAGAAATTCAACACACAAAAGAACATCGAAGAAGAAAAAAGGAAATATCTTTTGAGAGAGACAGAAACGAAGAATATAAATATACTATTGCCAGTTTTATATATACATAGACATTGCCGTCGATCAAATGTCAAATGTTGCTAAGATGAAGAAATTCAGGGACAAAAAAATACAATAATATTCATAGTTTTTACAACTCAACGAAACCATAATTATTACTGTTTATTTACAGATTCAAGGTCGAGCAAGTCCTATTTATTCTGATTAATCTCACATGAAATCAATAATCGAATATGAAAAAATTCTTACTCAAATGTTTTCCTCGAATGAAAAGTACTCGATGTAAATTTGCATTCACGATTTCTTTTCTCTATTGATCGTAAATATTTTATTATTTTGAAAAGGCCTACAATGTAACAATCCGAATGAATCATCTCAAATTTCTGACAAATAGAACGATATGATTTCATTTTTTCTCGTTGTGTTTTGTCATCAAGTAGATAAATATAGACATTGGATTTAATGGACAATTAACAAACGATATCAGTATCAGTTTTCGTCCTGCTAAACTTCAAAATCGACAGCACGCGTGCACTTTAGAGAACAGAAATAGATTATGATGTAAATTTTCGCACTCAACAGATTTCAATATGATCCTCTTACATAAATAAATAAATATACACAGAGAAGTGAATAATGCACTTCGAAAACGACCATATGGATAAATAGAAAGTCATCACTGGATGGCAATATGTAGGAAATAGAGATAAATACATGGATGATTAATCTATATACACACGTGTGGACGAGAGATAATAAGACGAGACAATGGCTTTGATGAGATTACAAAACAAAAATGCACAAATTTATTGATTTATTTTAATAATAATTCATTTGACTGAGCAAGAAATTGATACGTGATTATGATATGACCGACTGTCCTTGTTTCCGACGTCATGGAAATATGGTAATCTAGGCAAATAATTTGGATGTAAACCAAACGATAGGAAATGTTTTTGTGTTTAATCAGAATACAATGATTATTCACAGCAAGAATTCTAGTTTTCATACGATATCAAACTGCTGTGAGATATGGCTTCATTTCTTATATATCTTGTTCGATATGATTATATTGAATGAATCGAAGAGGAAGACACGTTGTCGATAGAGGTCGCTCAACATCATTCGTCGAAATGAAAAACCGCATGACAAGGTTCAATTGGTTGATAAGTTTGACCGTTTGATCTGGCAGATAGGACGAGCTGCGTGCTTGTTTGTCAACAAATGTTTGAAGGGTATCGTATGTATTCGATACAATTTGATATTTAAACTGACGATGGATCCATATGCGAGTGACAATGAAGATCATGATCTTCATTCTTTATCTGAACGTGTTTTACCTTTAACATCTGCATCTTTTACGAATAATAATATATCTCCCAGAAATAATAGCAATAATCCTAATCGTATTCGTTCACTAAAACCACAAAAAAGTATTTCATTCGATAATCAAACTTATCGTGAAGAAATGTCCTTTCCAACAACAGCAAGCACAGGTGATATTATACAGTTAAGCGATGGTACGAGAAAAAAATACAACGGCTCATCATGGCGTCGAATGTGTTCCAAACCAAATTGTACTTATTATACACAGAGTCAAGGCTTATGCAAACCACATTTAGCGGCATCGAAGAAGCGCAAACTATCCAAGAGTGACAATGATTTACCCGTGATCGAGTCAGCGTTTCCGACTCAAAAAGAGCCTAAGAAAGGTGATATTATTGTTTTACCGAATGGTGTTCGGAAAAAATATGACGGACGACAATATAGACGTGTTTGTGCTAAACCTTCATGTACTGTCGTTGTACATGGTAGTCTAGAATATCAAAATGGGTTTGTATTGATGAATTTTCGACTACCGCTCTCTATTTCTAAGTATGAATTGTAGTTTATGCCCTCATCATTATAATGAATATCGTTTCAATACCATTAGTCAAACAATACCTCAAACTGAACAAGCATTATTCGGCCAAAGCTCGACTCCACCGAAGCAGTCTGTGATGTCTTCTTCTTCACCATCATCATCATCATCACGCAAACGTCATCGCCCGAATTCTCCATTATCCGGTAATTTATCACAAGTTCCAATATATGATAATCACAGTAAAAGCTCGGTACCCAAACCGAATCGTCGTCTATCGATTGCTGTTATTCCACCATCCGTCGACATTGAACATCCGAACAAAGGTGATATTATTGAAATGGAAAATGGATCGAGAAAGAAGTTCGATGGTGTTGTCTGGCGAACGATTTGTTCAATTCCAGGTTGTTTAATTGCTGCACAACGAAACGAGCTATGTCGGAAACATTTCATTAAACTTAATGGCAAACCGAATACAGCACCGACTATGGCCACGAACATGAATACTTCCGGCGCAAGGCTCACATCCAGAGTTGATAGCAGTTCGTCCCTGGATGACAGATCAGGTAGCTAATGAACTACACTAATCTGTAATACTTCAAATACTATTTCGTCTAGAAGTACTTCACAGTGTCAAGTTTTCGAAGGATCTTGTCACTGGTGTCAAAGATGAATCGATGGATTACGATGGTAGCCAGTACGAAGAACCCAATACAGATAATATATCTAACAGTTACAGTATTTCTGGTTCGTTTCTTTCTTCCAAATTATATTTAAATTTCTCACTGTTGCCTTTCAGATGAAGAAACACATATTAAACATGAACAGTCGTCATCAATTGAGGATGACAACCTAGGCACACAAATTGATCATACATTAATCAATGCACTTTCAGCAAGCAGAGAAAAATTTCCAACAAGTGTGGTGTTCTTTCCCCCTTTTAACTTAATACGTTCTTTTCTCTTCTAAATTTAGCTTTTCTAAAGAAATGGCTCCGGGAACATCGCAGTCATCCGTATCCAAGTAACCATGAAAAACTTCAACTGGCTAAGCAGTCTTCGATCACGTATGATCAAGTGACAACTTGGTTTAATAACGCTCGAGCTATTCTCCGACGTCGACAAGCAAAACTACGACATCCGTTGAATACTGCTGACGACAACGATGAGGATGACGTTGTCGATGAACATCTCACTTATGATAATCGAAAACGTGAGTCTATTTCTCCAATGCAATTCAATTCAATCGTTCGATTTTTCAGGTCACCGATCAATGCCTTTATTCAACGGTGTTAGTTGCCGTTCGATAGGTATACAATGCAATCCATCAACAGTCGAACAGACAACTATAACATCAACAAAAATCTCAGTTATGACCGATGATGAATTAGCGTCCGATCGAACAATTCAAATCTTGACGCCATCCAATCGAGTATTAGCAACAAATAATGTAAAAGGAAACAGTAGTCATCATTTGCTATTAAATGGAATTAAAACCGAAGATGAAGATGAACGAGAAAAAGATATTATTATTACAACAACCTGTCTCGATGACGATCAAATGGTAGGCATGAATCTGTTACTCTATACCCGAGAATCTGCTTTCTAAGAGAATTTAATTATAAGCAGGTTGAGTGGATAGAAACTAATTTCTACATTAATTATCATGAATAAGATAGGAGCCCATTATTCGAGAACATCTATGGAGTACACTTGTTATCAACGTAAATAGGCTACTACAAGAATTGCATGTCTGTTGAGTTAATACCATTGCGAGAATAATTTTTAAAAAAAAGTTCTCAGAGAGAAGGAATGTGACAACAGCAGGAAGAACTTTGTCAGGTTCATGGTTTCATTTATGTTTAGGTACGCGTCAAAGATTTCTGTTCAAGATTTCAAATTGAATTGTGTAATGTTGTTGATGAAACGACGACACACTTGATAACCGATGAAGAAGAAGGTGAAACGCTCGTTTGTCCTTTATCGAAAAAAGTTATTCAATCAGTTGCTCGCCATATGTACATTGTCACATATCGATGGATTGATGCTTGTCTAGAAGGCAACAAGATTGTCAACGAAAAACCGTTCGAAATTCAAGGTGATCTCACGCTTTCGTCCGATCATAATGGTTTGTCGATGCTCGTGTTTTGCTGCGGGAAGAAAAGGAGATTTTTTGTCTGTTTTGTAGGCATGCAACGAAGTCGACAGAGTATTTTACCAGATAATTTACCGAAAAATCTTTTATTAGAAAATTTTTCTATTATGTTAAAATGTAATGGATGTCAAGAAATGATGAATAATGAAGAATTAATTGAATTAGTTCAATTATCTGGTGCTAAACATACAACTGATTCTCATTTTTCTCGTTTACAACCAGGTATTACTCGTATTGTTCTCTGTGAAAAAGAATATCTTATGAATCGACGTGAAATGTATGAAAAATGTATTCAATCCGGTATCCATTTTCTCACTCCGGAATGGTAAGTGTGAGCAGCGACAGCCAGTACAAGATTTTCAACTCTTCTCTTTTCTTTCTTCTAGGTTTCTGGAATCACTTGTTCAATACCGTATTCAACCATTTCAAGAATATCAAATATCGCCATAAGACAAAGCACTACGATAAAATGTCTTGTCTCTCTTTCTCTGTCTCGTCTTCTTCTTCTTCTTCTTCTTCTTCTTTTTTTGCTTGTTGTCAGATTAAAAGCTAAACGCAATCGTTCTTGTATTCTCTTTAATGAAAAAACAAAGATCAATTATTCGATTGAAATACGAGAGATCAACATATTCGACGCACTCGAATGAAAGGGAAAAATTATTGTTATCACTGTCATGACATATATTCTGTACATCGAGGGAAGCCGTGCGTATTGAAATTATCATAGCCATACTCGTAAGAACGAAGGACGAACTCGATGATACACGAGTATCAAGTCCAATTAAACGAATTTGTCTACTGGTTGCATGTCAACCACGTGACGACATAAAATATCACAAACAGATACATACTAGACTCATATTAGGATGATAATCAACATATACAACGAAAGTGGTGCATCATTCCAGGAAAAAATACGTCATTACAGAGAGGATAATTAGTAGGTGCCGTTGTTGACGACTTTCTTGAAAATGATCTCATGAAAAAATCCGATCTAATTTGGATGCGATCTTTTATTGATGTCATTCTTTTTAATAACATTAAGCAAATCCGGGCGAGTAGCTAAAACTAATTACATTGAACACGTGAGAAGTTTGGCCATCCAATCTCTGGTGATTATTCACTGAGCAGTGCTGCTTAGTTCGCCGGTGAGTGTCTGTTTGATTCATTAGGTGTTTTCAACATTCATGTTTATTGTCAAGAAATCTGACGAGATTTTTTCAAGTTTGTTTTTAATTTGGTAATAGCAATGATATCAAGACTTGTCAGTGCAATTTATGCATGTTGTTTTTTCCTGATTGTCTTCGAGAAGTTCTTTGAAATAGTTGCGCGTGTCAACACCCCCAGTTTTTCTTTTGCGCTCTCTATTTCCTTGCTTAGTCGCATCTTATTGTCTGTTCTTTGCAAAGCTTTTCATCATCATCATCATCATTCCTTTGTGCCGTTCGGAAATATGGTGCTTCTGTTCGTATGCGTGTTTGCGTGCATACGTTGCAAAAAATGGAGAAGGAGAGAGGGAGAAAAAGAAGAAAAGAAGCGAACACAACAAACAGTCGGAGATGAAACAGGAAAAGAGAAAGAAAAAAAGAAAAAAAAATATCGAAAAATATATATTGACCTTATTTTCTTTTCTAGTACTCTCAGTGCAAACAAACTGAATGATCTACCATTGACAAATCTTTTTGCTCTCGGTATTAGTTGAAAGAAACAGGCAGGTAAAGGGCAAATCCCATCAGTTGATTTCAAAACAATGGAGTGTTTTCTTTTACAAGCACTTATTCTATCCGTGAAAAAGGAAAAGAAACTATAATAGTGCAGCTGATGCTTTATTCTTTTCATGTAACCCGAGACATTCGTTGCGTTCTACGTTGAATGAACTCTTCTACTAGTTTTTTAGATAGGCTTTCCCAGTCGATGGAAACTGACGACTATTTCACATATTCTCCCTTGATAATATACGGAAATGAGTAAACTATTGATGACTTCGCTGAACTTTTTCTCAGGTTTTTAACATAATCACTTTAATATATAATTATACTGCTCGTATATTACACGTAAGATTAATGAAAAACAAAGATCTTAGGAGAGGAAGCGAACTTATTAGTAGGTACTTTTTTTTTTCTTTCTGGGTACGAAAGTTCTTCTGATATCCGCAATATTCGTACTATTAACAATTCCGAGATCAGCGTTCTTTTTTCTCTTCATTAGTGAAGAATTTTTGTGTTTGAATATTAAAAAGTCATTTGAAATGACTTTGTCATTCGCTAAGCAACACGCTTCACTGTTGTCGAAAGGTTACAGACGAAAACATTGATAAGATTTTGTTTATTTTAAATAACACACTGAGATGTAGTGAAGCTTATGAAGGGCAAAAGCACTGATAATGAGTACGAGTTGGGCGTAGGTGTGTCGTACGCATCGGCTTGTTTTCCAAATGATATTTGATCCTGTTAGATCTTCTTGTCGATGTTTTTCTCTTTTTCTCTGACTAGCTTTGTCTTGACAAGTTGGAGAAGAATGGCGAGAAAATATTTTTTCAAGAACTGTTCTTCGTTAAACCACATTGAAACGAGAGACGGGAAAAAAAGATTTTACTCATTTTCCTTTTCTCTTTCTACGCCTTTCGTCTCATTTCTTTGCTTCTTTTCTTTTGATTTGCCTTTTCAGCATAAGTATATGCACGTATACTTGAAAATTATGCGCAAACAAACATATACACAAATTTTTTTCATTATATGACAAAAGTAACACTAGATTTTTTTTTCGTTCGTTCGGTCTTCTTCTTTTTTTTTCTTTCTTGTAAATAAACTTTTCATTCTTTATTGTTTACAACGCATCGTTAGTTCGCATGAGATTAAACGACAGCAGAATGACATATAATGGCGTCGGAGACATCTTTTACGTACATTTTACGCTAAGTTTCTCTGCTTTAGATGTTTAGCGAGTCACCATTATCCACAGCTCCTCTTCCCATCCCGTCAGAACTATCTATTCTTAGTTCTCCAACATCGTCCGTATCGGCGTCACCACTATCATCAATAGCGACTTCGCGTCGATCGACGATAACCTCAACAAATAATCAACGTTCTGGTTTATTTTCTTCATGTCAATCCAATCGACAGATGAAAATAGGAAAGTATTTCCTTGAGAGAACGATCGGCAAAGGTAACTTTGCCGTTGTCAAACTAGCGACACATTGTGACACACATCAAAAAGTAGGAAAACACGGATCTTGTCAATCAAAACCTTTGCCTTTCATTCTCTTCAGGTAGCAATTAAAATCATCGATAAGTCACGATTGGAATCGACCGATCATCAAAAGCTCGAGCGGGAGATTGCTGTGATGAAATCACTAGTACATCCATACATAATCCGTCTCTACGAAGTATGTAGACGATTTGCACTCTTTTCCTTTTTGTGACACATTTTCACAGGTCATGGAATCGAAAAATCTCATCTATCTAGTAACAGAATATGCAGCAAACGGTGAGCTGTTAGGTAAGCTACATTCTTTTTTATATGAAAGTAAAAGAAAAAACTAGAAGGGATTTGCGTTTGTTTGAAAATTTCAGATCTACTTCGTCGAGAAAAACGGCTGACTGAAGCGAAAGCTAAAGAAAAATTCCGACAACTTGTTTTGGCTGTTGAATATATTCACTCAAGAAACGTTGTACGTATCTTGACATAAATCTTCATATGTCTTTGTCTAATCTTCTCTGTTTCTTTCTTTCTTTCTTTCATCGTAGGTTCATCGTATGTTGTGATATAACATGTTTATCATGCTTTTTTCATTACTCATTGATATTTAACTTTAGGAGATTTAAAAGCGGAAAATTTATTATTGGATAGTCATGGAAATATTAAAGTAGCAGGTAATATAACTACACAACTGTTTTAGTAGAATTACATTGAAAAATGAGTGATGTCTGACTTTTTTGCTTCTTTGCTGTCATATAATTCTTTTGGACTAAAGGGCAAGGAAGTTAAATAACACGACGGCGAAAATGTTAACGGTAATATAAAAGTCATACGACGATGCAAAGGAAAAAACAGTAGTATGAAAATGGTTCTAAGCAAGAATTGAATTATTTTCATTTGTGTAAACTAGGAGACTGAGAAAAAGTATACTAATATGATATTTAATTAAACTACTTTTACTGTAGATTTTGGTTTTGCCAACACTTTCAAACCAAATGAAAAACTGCAAACGTTTTGTGGTTCACCACCGTATGAATGAATTCTGATTGATTCGAATGAGTTGAGTTTTCATCGATTTGTTTTTTTAGTTATGCTGCTCCAGAACTATTCCAATGTCTTCCATACTCGCCGGAAAAAGTTGATGTTTGGGTAAGGTTGATTCGAGAGGATTCCTCTGTAGTTACACAAAATTCATTCTAGGCTCTTGGTGTTCTTCTCTACATATTCGTTTGCGGTCACTTACCTTTCGATAGTAATAATCTTGCTGAACTACGAAAGCGTGTCCTCGTTGGGCAGTTTCGTTTGCCATTTTATATCAGTCAAGGTAAATCTCTTCTTCTTCGACAAGACGTGCTTTAATGCGCCTTCGTGATTTTTATTTGGTTTTAGATTGCAACTCTTTGATTAGTCATATGTTGACAGTTGATCCTGCTCAACGTTATTCAATAAACGATATTAAAAATCATCCGTGGCTAAGTTTAAGCCATTCAGATATATCCCATTTAACATCTCCAGCACAATCGATACCAGATAATCAATTAACAAATGCGATCCTAGATCACGCAGAATCACTTGGGTATAATCGAACCCAAATATTGAAATCTGTCAACGGAAATTCCTACGATAGTGATGCAGCCATATGGCATTTATTACTAGAAAAGTTTCAGCAAACGTGTCAAATTAATAGTAAATGAATTTCTTTCTCGAGTTTGAAATAACACCTCTGCCTTTTCTTTGTTGTAGACCCTCCAATTCCGACAGCTATCGAAACAGATAAATCAAGTTTGAATTATTGCCCACCAGACGTTGTAATGAAAAACAAAACATAAAAACTATCTTTTGAATGAATATGTATTTTTTTTATCTAGAATGGATCCATCCGTTCGTGTGATGCGGATGAACATATTGACGATCTTGAAACGTATTCCGACGATGAAGATCAAGATGAGCAAGTCCGTGATCAATATGTACAATTACACGGTTTACGGCGACATACTATTGGTCGACCAGTTTTACCTCTCTACAATAACAAAGTGCCTCCGACTCTCACACCAGACCTCCGACTTGTTCATCAGTTGAACAGTGTTGAACCCGCCCTATTAACAAATCGACTTTACCAGTTGCAGCAGCAGTGTAACGCACCACATACTTCTGAAAATGATGATGCAGATCATTGCTATTCACAATTACAATATCCATTATATCATCAACGAAATCCTCATTCAACAAGCTACAATGGTTTATCAGTGCAACCACCGATGACGGCTGTTTCAGATATTCATAACCAAGCACAAAAACCCAATCAATGGTTATCACCACCGGTTTCACACACCTTTCGTAAGTTATTCAGGAACTTCAAACACCAGTGTCATGTCCCTAGAAACAAAATATTTTACGAACATCGAGAAATATAACGCAGACTCTGTGTAGAATTGAACAAAAACCAGAGGAATGCTGTCGGAGAGACAAAGTCAGGATAAAATATTCATTGTATCAGGAACAAAAATAAAACATTATTGACGTCACATGACAAATGTCAAGCTTTCATGAACGTTCATCTGGAACCAAATTTTTGTCGCGATCGTTTCAAGTTTAAAGCGACGTTTTAATAATGAAATTAAAGAACTCAAAAACAGACCTCGGTGACATAAAACACATCCGATCGGAAATGTACTTTCTCTTCGATGCGTTTTGCTTTGATGCGAATGAGAGGTTTTGTCACATAACTTCTACTTTTTCTTTCCATAGAGATCAACCGGCGAGCTAGTGACAGTGGAGCTCATTTACTTCTATTTCAACAGCAGCATGACGTTACTGGTTCTAATCCGATTAGTGCTATTCGACCGACACAACTACAGTCTCCAATATCTAATGTACGTTGTGATCTTGAAGAAACAGAACATAGTATTCCAATTTTATTTTCACACCGGTATTTTAGAGATCATCACGTGGCAGTATAACACGTGGGGCGCCAATTACTCCGCCTATATTTTCCATTACACCTGATGAAACTGAAGAGAATGATGAAGAAGAAGATGATGAAAGACTTGCACGGTTTGTTATCAGAGAGGAAAGGATATGAATTCATTAATATTTACTTACGTGTTTCTAGATATCTCAATCTTGGCAAACGTCATACAGTATGTGAACAAGGCTTAATACTCGGTGGAAAAGCTCGTCGTAGTCCACGCGAAGCTGTCAAAGATCGTAGTCCATTGTCGCGTCGCGCCAGTGATACAAGTTCAAATCTGATCAATAGTACAACCAAAGTGTATCTTGAACGTTTATATCACAATGCAGTCGGATCAAAATTGAGTGATGATGATGACGTTACAACATCTAGTTTACAAGAATTGCATAAACTTCAAAAACAAGTGCAAAAGGTAACACTCAAAGCTGATCTATTGAACGAATTGAGTCACATTTCTCATTCATATTTTAGTATCCTATGAGTAACAATACAAGTTCGCCGCTCAGTCGACGGGCATCAGGTACGAAACTTTTTGAAAAGTTTTCACTTTAACGACTAATTATCATTCACTTTTTCTTTTCAGCTGTCCCATCACCGACGGGTTCTCTTGGTCTCCATATCATTCGAGAAGAACATCAATTGAACTCTTTCGTTTCGTCCAGATCACAAAATAAATCCTCATCTTCGTCGTCATCTTCCGAAGGATTATGTAATAATGGTGATGACGAAGATGAAATGGATTGCGATGTTCAAAATCATCCAATGCCACCGCAACTATCTCCACAACAACAACCCAGACAATTTATTCGACCGTCAACTCATTCATTGTATCGTGTACCGTATCATCATAAAACTCCCCCACCTTATTATTGTAATACAAGTCCATTACTTGCTCAATACTTAGTCATCCCGACGACGACACCGACTTCTTCTACACCATAATCTCATTCAGTGATCTTTATGTTTTGATAGTGAATATATACATATATTTATTTTCTTTGTCGTTATAATAACAAATTTATGTTCAAGATTGACATTTACTTCGAACAATCTCTACACTTTTTCCGTGTACATATCGTTTATTTTCCTTTCTACTATCTTAAAGTCTGCCGAGCAGTTCGTTCGAATAAAAAAATTGGCTTCTTCAATTTGTTTTCTTTCACTCACCTTTTTGGTTTTGATTCGAACACAGAAAGCAAAATATATTCGATTTTTCTTAAAAGAAAATCGATGTTACTACTCCGTGACTCAACGGCATGACGTCAGTCAGCTCAGATTTTTTTTTCTTCTTTCTGTCCAACCAACAAATTCAACCTCATGACAAATATTATGTTTTATCTTGCCAAAATTATGCAAGAATATTTCGTCATTCTATATAATAGTTGCGTTTTTTGTGAAAATGCATCATAACATCGAAAATATATGCGAGGCTGGTGATGCATAGTGAAACAAATGTAGTTCCTATTTATCCCTTAGTTCATATGAAAGATTGTGTAGATTGGATGTCAAGAACTGAAGATATAAAGCCTCATTATATTCAATTAAATAACAATAACAGTCATGAAACTATTTCTGATGAAGATATTATTACTTCACGTTCATCAGAGCCATCGGAACCTGTAAACAATCAGAAGTAGGTTAATCGGGAACTTATCTGAATATTTTCACGGGAACACTCTTTTCTGTTCCAGTTCAAATGACGTTATTGACGACGATGATTATTATGCTCAATTTGATTGGCCGAGTGATGAAGACAAAGATTTTCTAGAATCTTCTGATGATGAAAATGATGAAATCTATCTTGAAAAACATCTAAACAGTAAACAAATGACTCAATTCGATCAACTAGAGCAAACGCCATATCAACGTTCGAAACGTTCGGATAAGAAACTCAAAGCACAATGTCAGATTAAAACCAAGCATGCTAAATCAATTCGATACAATTCGCACAATAAACAATTGTACATGCATCATCGATTGTTCAAACGAGTTCAGTTAGATCCACCATCATATCATTTTCTCGCTTCGCCTCCACCACGGTGTATAGAAACGGTCAAACCTGATCGTTACGAACGAAACGATCCGAACAAAACGAAGTCAGCTACACCTGTTGTTCATCCTTCACATCAATTCCGCGAATACACAATCCATGAAAATAACATTCCCAACGAGCCTGCCTTTGACGATGCCATGATTGCGTTTCTTCTCGATATGCAAAATCGTGATCTGTATGTTAAACTCGACTTCATTTCGCTTCAATACTTCTTTTCTTCATTCGTTTTAGTTCACCGAATGACTATGAAATGTTATTACGACTTGACGAACGTGTACAACGTAAAACTGTAGACAAAAATGTTCTAAACAACCTTCAAACAATCAATGTTGACGAGACACATCTAAATGAACAATGCACAATTTGTATGGAAACTTATCTCCTTGGACAAAAATTAAAATTATTACCATGCAAACATATGTTCCATCTCAATTGCATTGAAACGTATCTCAAAGAATTTTCTACTCAATGTCCATTAGATAATATGCCGCTAGTATGACTACTACCATTGAAAGTTATGTTGAGTTCCCTATCAGTTGTACGCGTATTTTGTTTAGTGTTTTTATTTATTTTCTTAAAAAACACGTTCTCTAAATGCATTCAGTTGAGTACTGTGTCTTGAAGAATGGAAATATCATGGAAAAGGAAAGTCACTTATGAAAGTTCTCTCTTGTACTCCACTCAAGTATATGTTGTTGTACTCAACGGAGAGAAGAAATAGAATGAATGACGAGAGTGTTCATGTGCACAGAGTGAAGATTTTCAAAGAGCGGAATGATCGTCTCGAGTTCGAGAGAAAGAGAGAACTAATAAAGAAGTATTTTGAATGTTTGTTTTTATGAACTTTGAAGTGAAAAGATTTTGAATTTTATTCTATGTGACATCTACAATGCTTGTTGTTTGTCTATCGGATAGACCAATGCAATGTTGAGACGAATGTGGCCATGTCTGCTTGATAAATATTGGACTTACCATCGACGATATTCACTTTCTAAATCATCTTTTCACAGATTTGATTCATGACTCGTTGGTCTTTTGTTTGTTTTGCATTGCTTCTCCTAGCAATTCATTGGTCAGCAGCATTGAATATCGAAGGTTCATCGAAACGTGTGTTAGTATTGCTGGACAATTTGGCAATAAGAGAATCGCATTCGTTCTATTTCAAACAATTGAAAGGTAGGCGAATAGAAATAGATAAATTCAGTTCAGTGGGATAATGAAGAGAGATTTTGTTCGATTCTACATACTGGCAATCAAATGATGAATTCATTTTATATAGCTGTTCACATTCTGAATATCTTTGATTGGAATGTATTGATTCATTCAATCTGACGATTGTCATTCATGATCTCTTTTTTGTTAGCTATTGAGGAGAATTCGTTTGTTTAGACCGTGGATTTGAATTAACCTACAGATCATCAGATGATAGTAGTTTACAAATCGTCAAATATGGTGAATATATCTATGATCATATCATTCTCTTCGCTCCAGGAACGAAAGGTAATAACATTATTGAGTATTCTACTGAAAAACGATTTCTCTTTTGAAGAATTCGGTGGTCATTTGGATGCAGAAGTTTTAGCACAGTTTATCGATGCAGGTGGTAATGTTCTTATTGCCGGTAGCAATACAATCGGTGAGATCTTATATTATGAGGATAGTGTTGACATAAAAGGAAGAAATCACATTCTAGGTGATGCTGTTCGTGAATTTGCTGGTGAATGCGGTATTGAATTTGCTGATGATAAGAATGCAGTCATCGATCATCTTAATTATGATATTCATGACAATGGACAAGTAAGGTCAGAGGTTTAGATGTGCTGAAGATGAATTTCGATTGCTTCTAGCATACACTGATCGTTGCTAGTCCTGATAATCTTCTCGGAGCTGAACTAATCACTGGTCAATCGAAACGAGCTGGTTTACCATTCTTATTCCGAGGCATTGGGTAAACCTATTTCAACTTTCTCAGGTGAATTACAACATCCTTTGTTTCTATTAAAGAATGTCATCTGACCCCGAAAATCCATTATTACTCGATGTCTTAACCGGTTCATCAAGCTCGTACACGGCTAATCCCGATGAGCAAACATTAACTGACGTGAGCATTGCATTCTCATCACTACATACTTATCTTCACCCAGTTGATATCTTTTAGTATCCAGCAACCGTTGGTAAACGCACATTATTGATATCCGTTCTCCAAGCACGAAACAATGCTCGTGTTGGTTTTGTTGGTTCATTGGACTTCTTCAGCAATGATTTCTTTCAAAGTACCGTGCAATCAAATGTTGATAAAAAGTAGATCGATAAGAAAATTCCGAAGACAGTTGTTTTGATATTCTTGATCTAGATCAGTGAAATCCGGTAATGAAGAACTAGCTTTAGCTTTGACTGATTGGGTTTTCAAGCAACGTGGTGTTCTTCGTGCGAGAGATATTCGTCATTACTTGAAAAGTGATAAGACAACACCAAGTTATTATACAATTCGAAATGATATTGTAAATCGAAGTACCAAAGTGGAAGAATCGATTACTAAATGTTTCTTTTTCGTAGGTATTCAATGTTCATTTCGATGAATTCGTTTATGATAAATGGATGCCTTTCAATGGCACTGATGTTCAATTGGAATTCGTTCGTATTGATCCATTTGTTCGTACCACAATGAAAAATAAAGGTAAAAAGAATTTGTTTCTAAAACACTTCCATTCTATCATTGATTATTCAGGTGGACAACTCGAAGCCAACTTCCGCGTACCTGATACTTATGGAATTTACAAATTTATCATTGATTATAATCGTATTGGTTACACGAATCTATATTCGGCAACACAAGTAAGACTGATAAATCAATATGAAAGAAAAGAAAACATCTATTTGCAGGTTTCTGTTCATCCATTACGTCATACGGAATACGAACGGTTCATTACTTCGGCATATCCATATTATATTTCCTCATTTTCCATGATGGTCGGTGCTTTTCTACTCAGTTTCATTGTTCTCTATCATCGTGATGACTCAGCCAAACCAAAAGCTGAATAACTTAGCAATACACTCATTCGTTGGAAATGAAACTTGATTGTCATTTTGTTTTCATTTTATGATAACTCTTATTTATAGACTTTAGAAAAACTGGTCTTGTTTGTTTCTTTGTTTGTTTGTTATTCATGAAAAACGGAAAAAAATAAACAAATCGTTCTTTGTTCAAATCCTAAAAGAAAGAATTTTTTCGAATAGACAGGATTTTGAATGCTTAATCTCACTTACATCTGTTTATAGATTGATAGTCTCATGTCAATCTCACTACACTCCATCGACTGTCCGCATTTAACCGCGGACTCCCTGAAAGATTTCATCGAACAGTATTCGATTCATACTACTAATCAATTTCTTTTATGGTTAAGCAAATCTCCTGATAAAATCGACAAAACTATCGAATGTATTCATTCGTGTGTTCTTGCTCATACCGCTCAACTCGAAGCTCGTCGGTTGAAAGCTGTGCATTTTTACCGAGTGAATTCGTTTATGTTTGATCAAACACATCTTTTGCGATCTACTCGTCATTTAATTTTCATCTATGAACATTTTCATCAAAAGCAATGGAATGATTTCTTTAATTTCTTCTTACTTCGTTTGTTCCTTACCAATCAGTCAATTAAAGTCCAATACTTGAATACCAATCCGAGTTTATTCGATTTGAATTACTTTTATCATTATTATTGTACGTCAAACGAAAAGATCTGTGCGCAACGGAATGATTTATTCGAACAATCGTTTTATTTCCAACCATGTCGGACTTTGGAAGCATTCGAAAATCATTTGAATTACATGGAAAATAACCAACAAGATATACAAATCTTCATCATCGATGATCTCTTCTCTTTAATCCAACCTTATTTACATCTCGATCGACGAATTAAAAGCAAAATTCTTCAGTTGACATATCGCCTGAATCGCCTCGCACAAAAACAATCGATACTGTTTATCAGTGGCCTTATTCTGCATACGACAAAACACCAAAGGAGTTCTGTTGAAGATGTCCGATTCGATGCATTTCATGCGGACAAATATGTCTTGTTTCAATCCGTACCAACATCAGACAAAGATATTCAAGTTGAAGTTCTCAATGAAAAGACGAAAGATAAACAATCGATTGAATTCAAGTTGAATCTTGATGAGTGGGGTCGATGGTGAGTTTCCTAGTTCGTAAATAGTCGATGTTTTATCGAATTTTATTTACATTTCAGTGTCGACATTTGTAGTTAAGACGTAATATTCATTTGACAGTAATACAAAAAATGATTAAAACTAAAACAGATATACTGCGAGTTAATCTATAGAAATTCTCGAATTTCATTTCAGATTAATGTTCTTAACAACGTTGAAAGTTCGTTTACAATTAGGTATTACGAGTGGACTACTTCGATTACCTGTTCGTTCAATAAGCAATACAACATCTAGCTCGCCTTCGGATGGACGATCTCAGAATGAGGTTAATACTGGAATACTTCTACTTAACATGGGTGGACCTGAAACCATCGATGATGTCTATGATTTTCTGAACCGTCTCTTCTCCGATAAAGATATTATTCCTTTGCCTGCCCAAAAGTATAAAAAGATTGAAAATGAAGATCAAGATGGATGTGAACGTTCTTCTTTTCAGGATACTAGGACCCTGGATTGCTCGTCGTCGAACGCCGAGCATCCAAGAACAATACGGTAAGATTGGTGGCGGATCACCAATAAAAATGTGGACAGAAAAACAAGGACAAGGCATGGTTAAACTTCTCGATCAACTATCTCCATCCACAGGTAAACACTAATCTATTGCAAATCTCGATCTGATTCTTTTTATTTAGCTCCGCATAAGTATTACATTGGTTTTCGTTATGTTAAACCATTGACGGAGATGGCGCTCGATGAAATAGAAAAGTATGCTTGGTATGAAAAAATTCGAGTCATGTCTGTGCTTGTCTTCGTAGAGATCGTCCAAAACGTGTTATTGCATTTACACAATATCCTCAATATAGTTGTTCAACAACGGGTAGTAGTTTAAATGCTATAGCGAGATATTATGCAACGAAAGAGAAGAGATTAAGATTGGAAAAAGCGAATAAGATTTCGTATTTTGACGAGCCCAATGATGCCCAACCTGTGGAAGATCTGAAATGGAGTGTGATTGACCGTTGGCAAACACACCCAGGTTTTATTCAAGTACGAGAAACGAATGATTCGAAGAAAAATATGTCGAAAATGTTCTTTTAGGCATTTGTAGAGAATATTCGTGATGAGTTGAAAAAATTTCCTGCACACGTTCGAAATAACGTAGTGATTTTATTTTCAGCACATTCATTACCAATGAAAGTGATTAAGATTAACCCATATCTAAATGACAAAATTGTAGCGAATCTTTAGGTAGTTAACCGTGGTGATCCATATCCAGCTGAAGTTGCAGCTACTGTTCAAGCGGTTATGGAATCCTTAAACTTCTCAAACCCCTACCGATTGGTCTGGCAATCGAAAGTAAATTCTCTTCGTGCAGATACTATTCCATTCCTTGTGATATTTACAACCTAGGTTGGACCTAGTGCTTGGCTTGGTTGTGCCACTGATGATGCTATTACAGGTTTAGCTAAAAATAATCGACGTCATATACTTCTTGTACCTATCGCATTCACAAGTGAGTTTTCGATCTAATCTCGACATTTGCGTGACAGACAATACCATTAGGTGATCATATCGAAACATTACATGAACTCGACATTGAATATAGTCAACATCTTGCGACAAACGTAAGTAAATTTTGATTTTTCTCAGTAGTAATCATTGTTTCTTCCGCATTTAGGCTGGCGTAGAAATGATTCGTCGCTGTGCATCATTAAATGATAGTCCTCTTTTCATTAAAGTAATTTGAGATTTTCATGTGCATTCAAAATACATATCTATCTTTAGGCCATGGCAGATATTGTACTGAAACACATGGAAAGTCAACGTCATCATACGACTCAGTTATCTCTTCGTTGTCCTGGTTGTGTCAATAGCTCATGCGAACAAATGCGCAGATTTTTTTGTTCATCTACATCGAAATCATCAGCTAAATGATTTTATTGGTTATGCAAAAAGAAAAAAACACCGTAGATCTATTTCTAATTTTTTAAATAAAACCCGAATCAAATATTTTTATCATTTAACTCATATGTTTGTGGGCGTACGCGAACATTTTCTTCTTTTCCATAATGATCCTTCTTCCATATGACATCGTGAACAGACACAACTGCATACTTGTTAATTGGCAGTTTAACTAAGTATAAATAATTGATCCCACCAACGGCTTGTGTAGCGAATTTCTCTGGTTTGGGATTGAATGTCTTCGATACATTGTGAGTTTCTTGCAGTTTCTTCGAGATCACTTTTTTATACTAAATAGATCATCCAGAATTCGTCTATACTATCATCATGAGAATTTGTACTTACGTCGTCAAATATTTTCTTGTGTTTTGCTTTGATATTCTTATCCCATGGTGTATGTGCCCCTAGCAGCTTAGGTCTGAAAACAACATGAAATGAAGTCAGATTAGGCACACATAGCAAGCTTGCCATACTTAGCTTCAATAGTAGTCTTTGGCGCTTTGGTAGTGGTTTTCACCGTCGTTTTCTTGGTCGGTGCACCATAATTTAACTCAACACAAAGTATTGTGAAGAAACAAACAGCTATAAACAAAGTCTTTGGGTGCATCGATGTTGCCGATACTTATTTGTTTATGGTAATCTATAAATTACCGAATTCTTATTCTACTCAAAGGTTATTATCCAGATGGCAGTTATGATATATTAGTAATGTATGTGAGAGAAATTGAGAACGACGATTACTGTAAACAGTTCTATCAGCTTGAATACGATCTGAGATAATATTTTTTTCTCAACTGCGCCATTGAAATTTGTATGAAATGAGTTTTGTACTTTCACAAGAAACTCCTGTTGAGGAGGAAGTCTTTTCTGTTGCAATAACGCGTAGACATGACTAACCAAACAAAAGATTGTTGCTCATATTTCTTTCTCTTCTCTCATCGAATACAAACTGGGTATTTTATGCCTATGTACGTTTATACGAGCTGACTATTGACTTTCAGTAGATATATAAAATTTTTTGAGTTATAACTAAGTTAAGATGTCAATGAATGAAAGTAAAGTCTCATATTCAAACTGTACAGTCAAAATTCCACTTCCGTCGTCCGCACCAGTGTTAGCGACTTCTGCCCAGCATATATTTACTGATAATACTACCAAAAAACGAAAGCAGGCCGTCCTTATCGATCAACATTTTCAATACATTTTTGCACCTTACTCAATCCATGAAACCATTATTGATTGTCTATGGTATGACGATTCACAAAATGTCCTTCTACTTACCTCAACGAGTGTCCTGATGTATGACTTTAGAGTACAATCAGTCAAACCACTGCTACACATCAAACCAACAGATAATCAACTTTTCAAATGTTTTACGACAGGCAGTAATCAATCAACGTTATTAATTGCATATGATGAATGGGAAGCGGAATTCATCGAACGATGGGAACGAATATCAACAGATGATGATATATGTTGGAAATTGATCAGAAATTATCCATTAAATTTAACTTTCAATGAATTCATTGGAAACATGACATCCATCGAGAATAACTTAGCGATTACAATATACAACCATCTGACAGAACAATGGCGAATGGAATTACGAGAATTAGAAAATTTTGCATGTTTGAAGAAAATTCTTCTTCCCTCAATCAATTTAAAACATGATTATAGAATAGTTTATTTGAAACCAAAAATACTCAATGCTAATTGGCTAATTTTCTCCCCATCAAACGATAAGATCATCGCCATTGACTCCAATTGGCAAAAAAGATGCTATCAATACAAACTTGCGATACATAGAATGGCGCAATTCCAAGAAAATAAGATAATTATACGCACGGCGAACCGAGTCGATATTCATACAATAAATGAACAATTATCACAAAATACGTTTTGATATTCACATGTTTATTGTTTGCTTCTAAGTTTTCATTTAAAGTTATACAAAAGAAAAGAAAGAAAATATGTTAGATAAATAAATCAACGAGATTTGTTAAACTTCTATGATCGATGTAGTACAACAAGGTTTGTCCAGTCTTGCTTTGAAAAAAAAACGAAGAGAAAGAAGGAACACCGCATGAATAGTGTATATCACATTGCACGCATCAATTTCGTACGTATGAAGACTGACAATCAAGTCATAACAGTTGAACTGCTGGATTTTCCAAAATAATCAATTCGTCCCGTTAGCTGTCGACGATGATGGGATAATAAGTGTTGATGCTAATACCGTCGGTGTCGATACTGATGCTGGTTGTTCAGTTTGTTGCTTTTTTAAATATATTTGTGGAATGTCAACGTCGATTAATCGTAATAATCGTTCAACATATTGACCGTGCGCCTGAAACAAGAAAGTCTTTTGACAATCGAAGGAAAATGCAGGTTTGTTATTACTTCGATATCGTTGTGTCCAGCACCGTCGAGCCACAAGGGTTCGGCTTGATGTTGAATCTGAATCCGATTGTACAAGGCAAAGCCATGACTAACATCGATGACATCATCTTCTGTACCATGTATAATCAAAACAATTGTATGTATACGATGGATTTTATCGATTGACGGAAATGCATCACAGCACCATGTTCGTTTGGTTTCAGGAAATGCGACACGCATACCTGATGTTAATGGACTATGTAATACACATGCAACACAACAATCTTTTATACGCGACGCTAAATCAACTGTTGGAACAGTTCCTACGAGAACAAGAATTGACTTTTTTTTTTAGATAAAATTATGCAAAATCTCTTACCGATACTTTGTCCATAGAGAATGATTTTCGACGAAGGGATTTGATATCGCTGCTTGATTGAATTGTACGCTGCTTCAATATCGGCATACATGTTCTTCTCACTTGCTTTACCTTGTGAAGCTCCATAACCGGAATAATCATAACTGAATATATTACATTGTAAACGTGCGCCCAAAACAATAAAAAAACTAGACATTTGGCCTATACAAAGCAAGGAAAAATGAGCATTAAGTCTGAATAGTCTGGATTTTCTTTTACCAAGATCTACAGCATTTCCGTGACTGAATAAAATATAATACTTGGGATTTGCTGTACACTTAACGTATACACAAGCAATTTGATTTCGCCGTGAGGTGGTGACAAAATAAGGCTCTATTTTCGTTATTTCAGTAGGTGAATGTTGCCATTCGGCTTTTTCAGAAAAATGAATTGTATATCGTAAGTTTATTGAAGATTCAGCTGGCGACTTTTTTGTGATTGTTGGAACTGTTGACTGATCACTATTACCATTTGCTGCTGTAGAATTATCAGTGACTATCAAGGAATACGTTGCGTCTGGCGGAAGGAATGCTAGAAACAGCAGTAGTCAGAAATAATTTCTTATTCCAAGTCTCGTTTTACTTACCGAGTTTAGCAGCAATATGGGATGGTAATGGTGGACAACAGAAGAGAGAACAAAGATCACGTATTGAAAGTGAATTCATTGTTCGCGCATCTGAAATAGAAATAAAACATTGGTAGTCGTCTGAGGTTTTTCAGCAAGCTAACGACATTCGTCGATAATTGGAGGTTCTGATAATGAATAGAATATGATTACATATTATATTGAATCATTTTAAATTATAGAACATCCGGTAAGCATCGACGTGAGATTTACTGGTACGAATATTTAAGCTCGCTTCTGAATAACTCGTTCTACTAGGATCATCTTTTCCTCTTTCTGTGTGTACGTGTTTGTTTATGACTATCATAGAATGATGCTATAGGGTATAAGAGAAATAACGTGATAGAGAGTAAATCTGTATACGGAGATAACTTGAGCTACTTGCTGTAAATCGATTTTGGTCATGAGAGGCAAAAAAAAGAGGAAACAAGATGCTTCCGTCCTACTTCTCATTGCATCCTTATAATCATTGTTTGAGAGAATGCAGTGTGACAAATTTACTCAATTCTCATGAGAAATATGTCATAAATCAGTTAAGAAATGAATAGTAGAAAGAGGGAAGAATGAGCGAATCCTTTCGTTCGTGTCTAAGAAAAAAAAAGAAAAGAAAACAAGACATAAATTTGTTCATTTATAGACATCATATTCTCTGTGTCTTCTGTTTTTATGTTCATTGGAACAACCGATCATACAGGGGAAGAAAAAAGACACACATACACATATTATCATCACATACATATAGATTAACATTATTTGTTATTTTTTTTTCAAAGAAAATAATCGGGCACAACACGTTTCGTTGCTGCAGAACGTTGATCTTGTGGTGCAGCTTCGAATATTGTAAAACTTCGATTCAAATGTTCATCAAGTTCGAGTATAGCAGCCACATTTCCACAACGATAACAATAATTTGGCGCTGACCATACTGTTAACACTGTTTCATTGAAATGCCATTTATAACCTTCCATAACTAGCTGATGGGCACGGCAAATTAAATCAATGTTATTTGTTTGATTAAATTGTGATACAACATCACTGCCAAAGAGATAGCCAGCCCCTCGAGGACTTACACCCCAACCAAGTGTTTCTTCGGGATCCGACCTATGCATCATCATAGATTGATTGTTTCTCAAATCAGTTAACTTACCATAGAAGATCACACATCGGTCCATCATGCGGGACTTCCATTTTGCGATCAATTTGCCTGATTTGATCAAGAGTATGAATCGATGGACTGAGTCCACCATGCACACAGAAGATCTTTCCATCAATCACAGCTGATAAACTTAAATAATCGAAAACCTCTGTACAATAACGCCAAACCATAATGGAACCGTATTTTCTTAAACATTCATCATAAAAACCATAGACCTGAGTAATCTGACGGGATTCATGATTGCCTCGTATCAGAGTTATACGGTCAGGATACCGTACTTTAAGTGCCAATAACAACAGGAATGTTTCTACACTGTAGAATCCACGATCAACAAAATCTCCCAGAAATAGATAATTAGTTTGTGGAACATCGCCTAAAACAAAAAATTCGCAATAATTTTTAAAGAAAAAAAATCGAACACTAGAAGGTTTCAATTCGTGAAAAAAACAAAAACAGTTTATTTGCTACGTCTGTCTTTCCATTGGTTAAAACTATTCGATTCGAAGCGTTGACAAAACAAAAGAAACCTAAATGACTTTTCTGCAATCATCTCTACTCCCATCTATCAAATCTTCCTAAACTATGTCAAAGACGTCTGGCAAAATCAATATTGTCGTTCACAGTTACCTCCGACACGAAATAATTCCAAAAGATCGAACATTTGTCCATGAATATCTCCGCATATAGTCACTGGCGAATCAACACATTGAACATTACTTTCTTCCACTAAGATTTCTCTTGCTTTGGTACAAAGCATTTTCACTTCGTGTTCTTTAATTAATTCACATCGTCGTAATTGTTCCAGTTGTCGATCGAGATCTGAGAGATCAGACATTATTCTCCGTTTTGATTATTATTATTGAAGAGGGGAAAGAAACGAACGAAAAGAAAATAAAATAGGAGGAAGAAGAAGAATATCGATCTAAAATAAAAAGAACATTGATTGATTTAATCAAGACCAAATTCTTCTTATTTTCCTTCTCTTTTCGAATAATAAAGTACAACATTGATACATTGATAAGAGTTGATTGGTTGAGCGAAGGCGACAAGAAGAAGAAGAGGATAATAATGAGAATAACAATAGGATGAAAAGAAGATTTTGTGCAATAGCTGACAATATTTAAAGAAAAAAAGTAAAACATTAAAAAATAAAAATTTTATATGAAAAGCATATAGAGAGTTAAAAATGGACAGAATAATAGGCGTTTAATTGTTAGAATTCTCTGTTTTTTTCCTCTTAGATTTACTCCATCATTGAACCATCAGGATATTCTACCGGTGGAGAATATAATACATGATCTTTTGTAGTCATTACATGACTAGTTGTCGTTATTGCACCGTTAGGTGGCAGAGGAGGATCTTGTAATATGACCTGTACAACGAAACTACGTTGTAGACGAGTTTCACCAATAGTTGTTCGATCACCTGTAAGAAAGATTTGATGAGCAGATAGTGTCGTTTTGGGAAACAGTGGGTAAATAGAGAAAACTAGACTTACGTAATAATTTTCCACCGAAAAATAGCCGTTGTATTTGTGAATCTATCGCTCCGTTTTCTAGCAGAGCTAAGCGTTTTTTGATATTTCGAATTTTCTCATTTGATTTGCAATAGAGGCGATGTTCACGACCATTCGATAGACGAAATTTGAGGGGAATTTCCACATCTTGGTCATTATTTGTTTGTTGTTGATTGGCAAGTACTGGTGGTGTCGGTGTATTTGTTGACGATGATTCATTCCCACTCGAGTCAACATGCGACTTTTGTTTTCGTCGATGCTTTTTGATTTCACGAACAATTGGATTGTGAACACTTCCTGACGGTGATTTACTTGATGTACGATGTTGACTCTGGGTTGATGTACTTTGATTGTCTCGAAAGTCACGTTCACGATCAGCCACGGCTGTAGCAGCCAGATCGATTTCGCTTGCACCGGATTCATTCTCATTAATTGATGACTGCTCACCATCGACTAAGTTTATTGGTGCTGATAAGATATACACCGGTATTTGGTAACGAGTGCCGAGCTCGTCATAGCAGTCCATTAGTGTGCCATGTGGCAAGGAAATATTTGCACAATTGATAACTAGACCGATGAGAAAGTACTGGTATGGAAAAAATCGAACAAGTATTTATACACACTTGACTGAGCTAAATCAATATCGCTCTGGTCTACAGCAAAGCACGCACCACGAAGAGCGTCCCAGATTTCTTTCCGACCTTCGAAAGCTGGAGCTAAAATCATCCATCAAAACGGTCAATTAATTTTGAATCAATATTTGTTCAATGTGCAAAAACAAAGGCAACGTACCCGAAAACTCAATCAATTCTAGATTGTTTCAACCGTAAGCACGAAACGGAAACTCGAACGCTAGGCAAAAAGTGAGTACTACCAAAAGAAAATAGAATGATTTCAGTTTCTCGGAATGCTTCGTATACATCATGAAGGCTAAAAAAAAGCATAACTAACCTACCTAGACGTGATTGTTTCAATAGATCTATTATTACACTAGATAATTAATTAAATTATTACGTTCGTCATGCTCAACTTTACGCGGAACAGCAATTGTCCTCTGTCGCAAAAATGTTTTATAACTGTCTATATAAATCTTGTGTCAACATAGACAGTCGAATGAAGCAAATAAGAAACGAATCAATCGTGAGCGAAACACTTACCCGTATCCCAATACTCTTCTCGTTTACGACGTAATTGACTTTCGGTTATTGGTACATCTGATTTCCATTTTGGACGGCAAGCTGACCGATTCAATGGCTTGTTTCGTGCAGTAGTTCCGCTTGCTAAACAACATCGACAAGTAGCAGATGGTTTCTATTTGTGACAAAGTTTGATTCTTACTTGTTGCACTGCTTCGAGATGAATGCGATCGTCGTCGATGATTGTCTTGATCATGACTTACACATCCACCCATTTGTTTTCGATATACAAAAAATTGAATAATAACAGGAAAGTGACGTTTAGATTTGATTGCTTTTTGACAAATGACTTTTCAAATGTCGTTTTAAAACTAATTCGACATTTTCCAAGACAACTGCGAACAATTGCTAAAGTCAGGTGATTGACAAGAAACAAAAAAGATAGTCAAATCTAATGTTGAATAAAATAAAAACAAAAGAATAAGAAAAATGGTCGGTCTTATTAAATCATTTATTCTTTTTATTACCATATGACAACAACCATTCTTCTTCGAATATAGCCTCAATAATAAAAGCAAATATGAACGATAGATGTCGTTAACAAGAAAGACGATGGGCTTTTATTCAAATATGTCTCTCACTGTAAGTGAGAGTGCGAAATTTTGGTTGAATAATCTCATATGTCACTAAGTGCTGAGACAAGACGTGATTAATAACACCAGAGAATGTTCAGTATCATGTTGATGAAGATAACGACGTAGAAATTCATTGAGTATGTCGTCTCCTGGAGTCTTATTTATCGGTATTACTTTGCCATAAGAGTAAATTTTGTCATCATATGAATGAATTCTCAAGTACCGCCTGCTGCTAGACATTGCAAGTCACAAGTGATGGATCGTAGAGAGATGAATTACATTTCGTCGAACAGTTTATTAGAAATAACACATTGAGAGTGGTAGTGGAATATCAATTATTGTAAAAATATACTTTTGATAAACTCAATATAGCGATAAAAACATAAGTATACCTCATGGTTGTATTGAAAATATAGGCATCAAATACTCATATAACTACAAAAAAAGCTGAGTTTCACGGTTACAGTGTACTACCTATCGGGCTTGTGTTTTGTTATATGCATTCTCTTGTGTGTACTGTGGAGGTAATTAAGACGCGTATTGTACTAGCTGATGTTGTATATAGTTTACATTCACGTTAGTAATTATCCATATTCACTTTGTTGTGTCGACTGGAAGATCCTATAAAGATGACAAAACATAAATCACGTTTTTACCTAATTATGAAAACATCGTCGTTTCCTGATTCAAAGAAAAACATTGATTTCAAGAGTGAAGTGGTTTGTAGAAAACAAACTATTACTGGAATGCTAAGGAGAATAGTCTAAGAAGTAAAAAATTTGCGAAAGATAAACGAGAATCGCTACTTCAGACATTGCTTGTGTTCTGATGTTCGTTGAAAATTAACTGCATATCGGATGTATTCAAATTCAGCCACATACTTCCTGGAAAAAACATGAAACTTTCTCGCTGTAGTGGACAAGAAGTTTTTTTCTTTTCAAACGAAACAAAGCACTTACGACGTGCAACAAAATCAACTTTTTTTAATAACTTTTAAATAGTTTCTCTCTTTACTTCTTTTGCTGCCGTTTTACACATGACATAAACATTGCGCTACATTTCTATACTAAACAGCAGGCAAATATTTTACATCCTTCATAACTGGGAAAATCATTTGAAATAATTACCTAGTAGTAAGTATTGAATCACTTTTGCGAATTACAATAAGCATTGCTTCATCGGACATATGGTGATATTCGATACGCTCTTTATTTCTGATAGATTAATTAAACTTCATTCTCGTTTGTAATCGGGTATGAATAACCATGGAGTTTAACTGTTCTTTTTCATGATTCCGACTCTTCTATGCTCTGTTAAATAACTTTCACTAAGATTTTCTTGTCATGATTCTTAACAAGAAAAAGTGAGATATCACACATATATTAACTAGTTGCTTCTAATATATATATATATATATATATATATATATAAGGAAAAATAATTCCTTCTTATTTGTAACTATTGTTAGACGACATTTTACACACAGTTTTTCATTCTAGATTTGTGTACATCGGATTAGTTCCAACATGGCAGCAGAGAATCAAGACACAATTGAAGATTCGATTATCTGTTATATATGTCATAGAGTCTATGATGATCCTCGAATACTACCTTGCTCACATACGTACTGCCGTAAATGCTTAGAGGAAACTGCATTGGCCAATAAGGATCAATTCGAGTGTCCATTGCATGAAGGATTTACCGTTTCAAAAAATACAATCGAAAGCTTACCAATCAATCGAATTATACGTCATCTGATTAACATTTACGGTACGTACGAAGTTTTATTCGGTTCAGACGAAGTCCTACTAATCAATTTCAGGTTCTCGTCAAAGTCCAATCGAATGTTCGAACTGTCATTCCGCTGTAAGTGAGTATCGATGCGATAAATGCGAAAATGAAACGTTCTGCTCTAAATGTTATCAAACTGTTCATAAGCCACCTGTAATGCAAAAGCACCAACAAATGTCCGCGAATGAAACAGCACTAAAGGTCAACTTCTGTACTTCACATCGAGATGAGAAAGTCAAATACTGGTGTCTGACTTGTTCGCAATTGCTTTGCACCGACTGCATATTGCTCGAACATAAAGCACATCAATACAATTTAATACCGAAAATGGTTCAAGAATTGGAACTCAAGGTGCGTAATGCAGTATTATTCATAGAAACGTCGGATTGTTCCACTTTAGATCACAAATAATTTAAACAATATTCAAATGTTAGTTGACGAAAAACTAAATCAAGCCATTGAATGCATAAATGAATATGGTAATATAGCTGACTCCTATCGCAAACGAATTCAGGATACGATGTCGTGTTTACGTCAGGCTATCGATGAACATGAACAGGATTTATTAAATCAAATCCTAATTGTAGAAAACGAACAAAAGAATCAGATGGAAGAATACAAACTTCGATGGAAATATGAACCAGAAAATGTTCAGATGCACAAGGCAATGTTAGACATGCTCTTACTAACAAAAAACTATGCAATCTTATTAAATGGTTCACAGGAATTTGAGGATTATGTCACTAGAACGAACGATGTATTAAAACAAACGAGTATACCCATTGCAAGTTACTATGAATTGATTGAACTTGATCAGCTTGAGGCGATTAAGAAATACATTTTTCACTGTGGACGATATGTAAAAACTAATAACTGTCTGTTGGTAAGATCAGCTTTGAAACAACATTCAACACAAGAACATTCATCAGATTCAACTGTGCCAGACATTCATGTAGCATTAGTTGAACTGACAAGCAATGAATATCCGAATGTTATGGTAAGAAATCGATTGAAATCATTTGAACTTACTCGTTATTCTTCTTCTAGTATTTACCTAAACAACAACGACAAAAGCGACTTTGCCGTAAATAGACGTGATTTTCTCATTCCTCAAATCGTTTTTTTTTCTTCATGGTTGTTTATGAATAAATAAACAAAAAGAACGGACGAATTTGTTCTCTCCTTTCAATCTAGATCGACTCATTCTCGATTGTTTTCACCTTATGTTACACGATCAGAATTCGAATCTACGACGCATCTCGTCCGACAATCAGTCGCACTTTAAAAACTGACTTTTCCAATCTAAGTGATTTATTGTAACTTGATTATTGGTATTGTAGACATCTATTTTTCCAACGACAAGTATTTCAATACCTTCCGGCGTTCGAATAGATTATTGATCGTTGCTACTAAAACAACATTTTTATTCTGTCGAATCTGAATATTAAATATTCCTTTATGATCAAGAACAAAGGCCGTTAACTCTATTCGTATGCCTCCGCAGTGTTTTTAACATTGCAGATGTATATATAGAAGAGTACATTGTTACTTAAAATAAATGTTTTATACTGCATATTCGATCGTCCATTAAACCTTTCTGAGAAAAATTAGGTTTTAGTTGCTGACATTTTCTTCCACTATTGACAAATCGAATAATGGATAATTTGCATGTTATTTTCCGATAGCGCTAGAAATTAATGTTTTCGTATTTATATAAACGATACATCTGACTTGAAAGGGAAATGTTGTCGTCAGTGTTTCATTTCCTCGCTGACCTGAAAGACTAGACGCACTGTGATCGAACATTTTCCTGTTTTTGTGTTTATTTCACATAATGAATGTAATTGTAGTCCGAGGTGTCGAGAGAAGGAATTAATAATTCTTCTTAGATTACCTTTGAAATCATGCAAAATACAAATGAGTTTCTAAGTAAAATATGTAATTAATAGGCTTTTTCTCGATATAAATCACCTATAATCTAAAATGACATTTGAGACAATTTCCTATAAATGCGACGCACTGCAAGACTCGAAAACGTTTTCCCTCTCTCGTTCAGGTCATATCTGTGAGAGTGTAGAGAAATCATGATACTTCGGATCATTTCAAATATAGTTCAGAAGAGAAACAGTCGATTCAGTCAAAGTTAATTTCTTTGTTTTCAGTCCATCCGAACAATCAGTTCTCCTACGAGTACAAAAGATAGACGCAGTATCATTGACATCAAGAGGAACATTATTAACTTTTTTTTGTTCCATTCTCGAAGTTGTCTGTAATACTATCGGTTGTTATGTTTTTCTTAATGTCTAACATATCTTGTGTGTTTTTATTGATTAGAACTGACGAGAATATTATGAATAGTGTTTGTTCAAAAGAAATACGCAGAAGAAAAAGAATTTCTCTAACGTATGAAGACTTGTGACACATGCATTCGCGCATTTGAGAAAGAGAGACTTGTTTTTGCCATTGGATTGAAAAAGGAAAATCTCCATTTAGACATCAATGAGTCTTGTTACGCTTTTCTTCATTTTTTTTTATTGAGCTTATACTTCGAAAATGTATTCATCCGAACAAAGAACATGATCATATTAGACGCACGTTGAAGGACAAACTAAATGAAGAGAGACTAAGTAAAAAAGAAAAAGAAGAAGAAATGACATTTTACAATCGTCATCATCTACATTCCGGATATACTTAAGGCCTTCACATCTGAACAAGTTCCTAATAAATAATTCTACATCTGATTCTTTTTCTCTCATTTAACAATACTAGAAAGAAAGAAAACGCCGACGACAACTTACTTTTGTAAGCTAAGGCAAATCATTTAGATCTCTGACGATTTCTGTCCTGTGTACATCATTTCCTCGCTCGAATTTACCTAGTCAATAGAAATTATTGAACGGAAATCATTTCGATTTTGGTTCGTCGATTAACGGATTCGATGACGACGACGCAAAGAGAAAACAAAGCGACAAATTCACTTCTTAGATCTCTTCTTTCATATATTTAGATTCAGCGTTAACTTTATTAGCCAGATCTCTATTCGAAATCTTAGTGAACACATCACATCGATTAATCGAAAGTCAAAGAATCCAACAACATCATTCTGCTGATCCATATGTATTGTTCACATGCAAATTATACCTCAACTCGAGCAAATTGTCATCTCGACATCAACAAATCAATCCACCGACAACTTATCTTTCGTTATGCTAGCAAATGATACGATCTCTTCGTCACATCGCCCATTTTTTCTTACGATCCTAATCGCTATTTGTCTTTCGACTATTGTCATATTAACCATCGTCGGAAATATTCTCGTTCTAATTGCGCTATGCTGCGACTTCGCACTTCGTTCACCCACACATTTACTAATGGGAAATCTAGCGTGTGCCGATCTGTTATTAGGTAATCTATCACTCCAGAATCACGAACCAGAAATAGAAAGTAATTCTGTTCTTTGTTTAGGTATCACTGTTTTACCTTTTTCATCAACTCTGGAAATTCTCGAAGGAAAATGGCTATTCGGTCGAACGTTCTGTCATATCTGGCTTGCTATTGATGTTCTCTACTGCACAGCAAGTATCTACGGCTTAATGTTCATATCTATCGAACGGTATATTGGTGTCACACGTCCATTACGTTATCCGATTATCATTACACATAGTCGAACATTATTTGCGATATTGATTGCTTGGCTAGTTTCGATTCTAGTGTCAATCGTTCCCTTTCTTGGCTGGCATAACGAAGTGAAATTGATCGATCAAGCTTGTTTGGTCAACGATAATTTGTCTTACGTTCTTTTTTCATGTTCATTTTCATTTTATATACCTTTAATTATTATTCTCTGTGTTTATGGACGAATTTATAATGAAGCTATTCGGCAACATGCATTTCTTACTGGCGGAGAGAAGAAAGTTCGATTGAAAGAAACTGATGGACAAGAATGTGTCACTCTACGTATACATATACCACAACATTTGTCAGCGTCAACGACATCGTTATCGAACACAATCCATTCCTCAAGTTCAACATTAGCCACGAATGGACGCAGATTCTCAACACTACTGACACCAAATGGTCCGAATAAATTATCGAAATTTATGCGTGAGCGAAAAGCTGGTAAAGATCAGCAAACTTAAATTTTGTCCTAATTGAAAATATCTCTCCGTTTTCCTAGCTAAAACACTGGGCATTGTTGTTGGAATGTTTATCCTATGCTGGTCACCATTTTTTCTTCTTTTACCAATAAGTAAATGAATGAACGATGGAATTGATGTTCGTCATTTATGTTATTTTCTTTTTTTTTTACAGAAGCATTGACAAATTATGATCCGGGATTGATATTCTCCATTTGTTTTTGGTTAGGTTATTGCAATTCATGCTTCAATCCATTTATTTACGCATTTTCTAGTCGAGAATTTCGAAGGTACGTCGTTAAAAGCCGACTGAGCAAATATTTTTTCCTTTTGGCTTTTTTTAGATCATTTGAATCGATTTTAAGATGTCATCGCAAACAATATCGACGTACATCAATAAGTTTATCACGTGTGTCCGCTGCAACAGCTACGGATCAAGTTCATTTGAGAAAATCCCTGAGTTGTGATGTCACATCATCTCGTTTCTTTCCGAAATTGCATTCCAGCGTCAGTTGTCGAACATCCTACGACAGTCAACAGAATTTTATTCCTCTTCGAAAAACAAGTAATTTTCTCAAACGTCCTCATCTCTCCGTTTTTCACCGTCTATCGCATTCAACCAATTCGAAATCGTTACCCGATTGGCATCTTCAGCAGCCAACTAATGTCAGATAATCTACTTGTTATTCATTGGAATTTTCAAATAAATATTCGATCTTAGAATGATTAGAATTAGCAGTGGTTTATCACGCGAATGATGAAATTCTTTCACATTCTTTGATCATCTTTTACAAAGGTCAAGCACTGGAAATTGAAACGAGAACGAATAGCATCTTAATACGATATTCCTTATCAGAAGAACGGCTATACTCATTTAAACCTAATAAAAGCAATTTTAACATTTCAATGTGTTAACCCTGATTCTAATAAATGTTAATTTTCCTTTTTCAGCTGGCAAAAACAGTGCGATCAGACAGAAATGTAATGCACTCATACATCTCGATGTAAAAGCTTTTCTCTTATTTCCGTAGATTATAACTAGTACATCGATTATTATTCATGTCATGATAACTGTCAAAGATCAACGGTAGAAGTTGAATGCTATTATGCTTAATTAGAAACAATAAGTGCCTGTGCATGATTTTAACATTCCATCGTTTTATGAATAATTATCTTTTATTAGCAACATTGCCGTTGACCACGTTCGTACGCAGAGATGAACAGCAATCTAATCTGATAATGTGGATTATGAAAGATTCAATACACCTTTTCTAAGAAATAATTACGTGTAATATCTTTTATCGGAAGGGCAAGAAGTGAAAATCCGGTTTGTAATACAATTTCAAGAAGTCGCGCATAAAATTGCCTATCCAGAATATCCTGTTGTTAAACTTTAGGATTCTTCTATTAAATCGACAATAAAAGTTCGTTTCTTTCGAGCATCATATCAAGAAAATTCAATTATGTTTTACAGATCATTTGCACGAGAGGATTTCTTCCATGCGAATGAGCCATTTTTTACCGTATAAAACAATTCTGACAAGACAAGAAAAAAGAAGAATGAAAAATAATATTCTGCGGGATGAGTTTGTCGTTCGAGCAAACAGTTCATACGTGCAGAATGGTATCAGACTTAAGCAAAAAATTCTCTTGATGATACGCGTGTATATGCATGTGACGGTGATTTTCTTGGTCCTTCTTCTAGAGCATACGAACCTTCGTCTTTCTTTCGCATTCGATAAATAATGAACATAATTAAAAGAATAGCGGACAGCATTCCGATGACGACTCCACCGACGACACCTGTGATGGCAAGAATAGAAATCAGTTTTCCTTTAATACAATAAAACTATGCTTGTCACATACCGACAACGATAGCTGGTTTATTGAATAGTTCTTGCCATACATCGGATGAAATGAAAGATGGTCGTATTGTTGAGGGATTTACAATGATTTTATCCTTGTTTAGATCGGTTACAGTATTTTTTGATCCAGAACGATGAACGGACATGGAATTTCCATAGACAAGTTCATCCGTGTCATCATCATCATCGTCATCTGCATAGGAATGTCCGTCTTCAACTTGATCGCTATGTCCTTCATCGTTTCCGCTTGTTGTTAAATTATATAAATTTGGATCGGAAACGGCTGAGGCAGCTGAATCATCACCAAGTCCATCTTGATCATCATAAATATCTCCTTCTGCTAGAAATTCATCAATTCAAACAAATCATTTCACATAATTATCATTATTACCATAGTAAAATTGCCCATCTTGGTGTACAACTGTTGGTAGCGTTGTTGGATTTAATGTTGATATTGATACAGGCTAAAACAGAGAGAAATCGATCATTTCATCCCTCTGGAGATTGACAATCATTATCGCTTTTTCTTTNTCATGACGCCGATGGTACTCAATGCATGCTTTCCTATTTCATTCGCTCAATTATTCAATGATCGTAATTTCATTTCTCTTCTACCCACTTACAATCAATTCTTGAACTTATTCAAAGAAAATTCATCGTTTCATGTCTTGTCAGTAGAGAAAAAAAACGTGTACTAGCTGAAATGAACGATCATCTATGTCAATTTGGATTTGTTTGCTAACGGTGCTAGTTCACTCAACATCCTCTATTGAAAAAGAAAGAGAGCCGGACAACGTTACATAATCTCTCGAGACAAGTTGAGAAAGAATAGAAGAGAAAAATTGAACATATAAAAATGATAGAACAAGAGCAGAAGAGAAAATGTCAACGAAAGACAGATAGACAATTGTGTCGATTTTTCTGCATGACGGCAAAACAATTGCATCACTAATATTTAACTTCTCTTGTTTATAATAAGCCTTGTCGACTGAAAGTTGACGATTTACGGTTTTGTTTTACTAAATAATGTTCTGTTTCTTTCGAGGGAAGAGAGTAATGACTTTTGTTGAGCTTCACGTTCTTCTACTTTTTATATAAATAACGATTGTCTACAGTGATAAGTACATAAATATTGATAAAAAAAATACATTCATATGCAGCCATAAAGAAAGAAACAAAAAAGAGTCGTTGCTTTGATGTATGAAATGATTGATGAACAAAAGATTCTCATTCGATAAAATATTGTGCATCTTTTCTCGTCGTCAACCGTCGTCTCATTATACAAGTTACAGGAAAATGACCGAACTATTGATATGCATACACACCCTTGTTTACAGTCGGCTCCTGCTATTACCATTTCCAATTTCCTGAATAGGATGTCGTGCAAACAGTGTTATCTCCGTTTTACATACGGCCAATGCCAGCCTCCTCATCCTCACAAGACTTATACATGCCTTCCGTTCTGATGTCTTGCTTTCATTTCTTTATACAAAGTCACAAACGCGACAGAAAAAACTCCACTATTTCATTTTGACATATGAATCTATGATACTCACTGGAGAGAACACTAATTATCGACTGTTAGTACATGATGATTTGTCCAAGATTGCATTGAGTGCTTTTTATTGCTCTCGTCATGTGTCAAGAGTTCCGTTGATCACAGAGTAAAACATGGGAAAAATTCAAAATGTTGTTACGAATTGATCGATGGTGCGTGTGTCTCTATTATTATGATAATAAAATGCATAACAATCATGACGAGAAAGCAATCATGAATTGATCTTGTTGAACATTATGTTCTCTTTCTTTCTCCATGTGCATTTAACAATCAGGTCTAGACACAAAGGGAGATTGCAATGTCATATATGAAGAATACAAGAAGAAAGCTAATCATTATGATGATTGTTTATTGTTATTTGACGATGAACAGTTATCAAGTATATGAAACACAGAGGTTTCTTCAAATGGCAAATAAATAATCAAAAAAACTTGTTCAAGACTGTTCATTAATATAATGAGAAGAATAACAAATAATAGAAATTTGATTAATTAGACAATCGAGTAACAGAAAAAAACCCTATCGGCACATTATGAACAACCGGCTAGTTTCTCTTTTTATTCGAATGAAAAAAATGAACCCTCAACATTAATTATTAACAATGGTTCATTCTACTTATAATGAGGTCAATCGGATGTGAAAGAAGAGTAACAAAGCACGATTGCGATGTCCAGCTGTCAACTAACATACATAATAGAACATAGATTTCAGAACTTTGAGAATGGACAAAGAAATGGAAGTAATTACTTGTGACAATAGACATACAAAAATGAATAAGTTTAGTATTAATGACCTGAACTCCGTTTGTCAGAATAGATTTATATTTCCACAAAGAGTGTCTGTTCGGTACAGGTCTGTGGATATCATCATTCAAACAAAGTCAGATTCGAACCGAATGATTTCGCGTGTTAAACCACCAAACTAAAATTGTATTTTAGTCAATTTATTTAAGAAAAAGAATATTGTCAAGCACGTTGGGTTAAAGTCTCAGACGCAATGCACCTTTATTTACATCGGTATCGGCCGCAACGACAATTACTAATGGCGGAACATTCTAAGTGATTATTTGACGAGCTGATCAGTATGTCACAACAGTTTTTAGCTGTTTCAAATTCATTCGTGAACTTTGATCTTGTAAGATGTGTACTGATGGAATCAGCGTTTGAAAATCCAGTCGATCGACAGCTTCATTGGTCGATAGTTTTAGTACAGGTACACTATCCTTATCACGTATTAGTATTGCTTCAATGCCATCGATGTGAGAAAAGTCATTTCAATTAGGAATAAATAAATAAATAAATATTCGCAAGAATGAGATAGACAACAGGAGGAAGCACATTTTCTTCTGTTGGGCTAGGAAATACTTGAAAAATACAAATCGAGACAATGCGTGTCAGATGTCGCTACTTAATTATTGCTCAGAAAGATTAACTGTCGTAAACTTCATTTTGCAATGAAGATGATTTCTTCCAAAACGTATGCAAATTCGGCGAAACAAATATGATGATGATAGATATACAAAAGACCGAAAATGTTGCTGTTAGCCACTGAAATTGCGTTGACCAATATGGAAGATATCCATAGATTTGATAGAAGATACTTATGCCCAACTGTGGCAATCCTGATGCAATCATAGCAGTCAATAGTAAAAATACTCGAGTTAAGACAACGAGATCTCGGCGTTCGCGGTCACGTCTTCGAGTGCTTTTCATCACTTGTGCATGTCTACGAATATGAACAACCGTATAAATATAGCAAGTTGTGGTTAGAGAAATGGGCACCATATGTACCAATGCTAAGCCAGTTAATAATCCTCGAATATTATGTAATGCGATTTGACAATGATAATCGTTGGGAAGATATTCAGATGTTTTGAGAAGAAACACGGGCATAACTTGAGCAAAACTCATTGTCCATTGGAGAATGATTCCACCGAAGTATATGACCGGCGATTGTAGGAACTGCTTTCGATAGAATACAATTCGACAAAGTCGATAGACCGCTTGAAGGAGATATGAGTAGAAGAAACTACATCCGCTAACATAGAGTAAGTAAGCTTTGTAATGGCACCAATTGCCATCAAATGAAATGCCAGGATGTAGATGACCGTAAAGTGTATAACAATACATCTCTAAACCAAAAGCACAACCGATAAAAAGACTGATATACATATTCATGCATAATAAATGGGCAATTCGATCGGACCGTGTTGGCGATTGACAAAATAACATGATGAATGTTATGAGAACTGATACTAAGATTGTCAACGACGCAAATACGATAATGAGTACATCAAGCACCACATTGACTTTTTGCTTCGACGTCATCATTGTTTTGACTGATAATAACAGTGCTCAGGTCTAGAGGAAATAGTGTTATTTGAATTTATGTAGAATATTACATTCTACAAAGACATCTTTTTTTCATGTATTCAAGCACCCTAATTGACGTTTGTTACTATGGTAATAAAAAGGCTCACACTAAGAACAGCTCTCTTAAAAAAAAACCATTCCAATATTGCTCAACTCTCATGTTTCTTTTATTCATCGAAGAAGTTAATATGTCAGTTTTACTTAGAGAAAGACTGAAGAAACGTGGAAAAGGTTTATTAAGTAATAAGAACTATTAGGACGTTCCTTTTTCTCTTATAACTTTACTCAAAGTATCGCTTATAAATAGTAGATAAGTCAAATATTTACTTTTCAATGTGCGACAGTAAAATCTTCAACACACTTTGATTCAAAATTATGCTCATAAAGCATAGCTTGCGAATCAAATAGGAATCAATAAAAAGATATTTTAAATGCAATGTTATTAATTCATTGCATTCGACGCAAGTGCTTATATGATGTTTTTACTCATTGTGCAAGTAAATTAATAGAAAGAAGATTAACTAGCCTATGCTGATCCTGCGTAAAGCAAAGTTTCTTCTAACATCTGTCATCTTCGAGATAGCAATTTTCATTTCTATTCTGTGTGAATTAATATAGACGTCAATGCATTTTGGTAGATGCTGATTATTGTGTGGTGAAATAACGAATATCAGTAAAGTTCAAAACGGAGTAATAATTTACAATATTCATTGACTTCGCTTTGGTATCAGAGAAGCTAATATCTGGCAGATCGAGCATCTGCAATGCATGAACTTTACATAATTTATATCTTACACTCTTCCTTTTCTAAGAATGAAAGACATAAACTGGTGCGTGCTGCTGTTTTCAATCAAATTATTACTAGAGATGCTAAAGATAAGCAACTTTTTCATCTTAGTCCCTTCCACTTCTTCATTTGCTAATTGGTACTGAAATGCTCCTTTTCAAGTTGTTCTAGCCAATGAATTTGATACACAGTAAAAACACTTCTATATCATATGAAAACGACAGGATTGCTTTTGTATTTGAATGATATGATTCCCATTCCCGAAGGAACGGGAGTGGACCGAACTCGACGGCACTGCAGTGTCGAGACGATCCGTGGCACAGGTCCGAGTGAACTCGGGTGATCCTGGCCCATGTCCAAAAATCCGCTTGAAAGAGCCTGGCCCCGATGGGACCAGCGCCGGCTTTCAAACCGACGAGAACAGATACTACACTTTGATCTTAGCCGAAAAGGCCGAGAAGCGATAACTAACATCACAAATTCCTTCATCTTTTCTCCCTCATGTCTTCACACATTTGATATTTTTCTATTCTTAAGAAACAAAGTTTCATCAGTTCACAGATGGATGACGTCATTTTGTGATTAAGTTTTGTGAAGAAGCGAACAAAGATCGAAGATGTTATTTTTCCTTTTTTCGATTAATTCGAAAGTGTTGCTCTGGCAGATCAGTGTCGCCACCGATCCGCTCGTTTTCGTCATCGCAACATGTATTTGATCTAGTCAGATCATTTACCTCTTGGTAAGTTGTAATAAGCAACCTTTCTCGTGTTGCTTGCAGCTCGATCTCTTCATAGTCTCTACACATCGAGTTTCGAAACAAGTGACAGAGAAAGCGAAAAGTGTAAGGACTGGGTAGATGTCGTGGTTTTCAGAAGAAGGGGAAGGTTGCTTATTACAACTTACCAAGAGGTAAATGATCTGACTAGATCAAATACATGTTGCGATGACGAAAACGAGCGGATCGGTGGTAATACTGATCTGCCAGAGCAACACTTTCTTATTAACAAAGAAGAAAACAAATACGAAACATTATAATGATGATCTCACATGAGGGAGAAGATATGATCATGTCGGTTATCAATCTTAGCAGCAAGTGGAGGCTTCTTTTGATTCTTACATCGTATTAGCTAAGTACTTCGCATTAACAGTTTCCATTAGGAGAGAAGCGCTACTAGAGCAGTTGAGTACTTTAGCGATATTACACGTGATACAGAGAATGCATAGCTGGACTGTTGTACGAAATCATAGTGGCTAATCATTCTCCATTTATCATTTCTGTTATCCGCTTCTTTCTTACATTCTTTCTCTAGTCATCCAGATCCAATCGACTGCAAAAGCGAATGAAAGCAGGAACTAGTTTCGCTGAGTTTTTGGAGAAAGATTACTTTTCTTTATCAGAACTTTATCATGTTCAGCCTATTCACGACAATGCATCGAAATCAAGAAAAAAATGACATTGATTTTGTTCACCATGATCCATTTGAACACCAGTCGAGGTCCGTCTCACCAGCCAAAATGAGCAATCTTGTGAGTTTGTTGGATAGATCAAACAAGTAACGCGCCTAGTAGCCGCTAAACCCTCTACTGAAAGAATAGTATTAGAGCGCTACTATTCGTTCAAAGAGAGAAAAAAGTTATTTCAGTTGAACGATCGAATCATTTGATAATTTGTCAGAATGTTTTACGTGGACCAATTTCACTTCCTGAAATCTTCTGAAATTATAACGTCTAGTCGTTTGTCGGCCTCCCTTCGATCGGCCACTCACGGCTAGCTGTTCCCATGCGTATTCATTTTACTATCTTACCTTCATTCGGACGAAGACGTGTTCCGAAAATGAGCACATTTCGGAAAATCAATTCATAATCAAAAACTTAGAAGCTTTAGATAGCTATATGATTCTCTGGAAAAGGTTTCAATCTTCTCTCCACCATGAGGAACCTTAAATGGGTACCACCTATGTTCGTGCACAGCAACGATTAATTTCTGACCAAGAAATCTTAAAGCTCTATAAAAATCACAAAGTTCGTTCTTAAAAATATTATTCTGCAAATCGACGATTAGTCGCTCGTCGGCGTTCCTCCGGTTGGCCACTCGCGGCTAGCCGTTACATGTACATTTTCACTATTCCACTTAGTCGACAGTCACTTTTGAAACTAATTCATTCATTCTCTTCTATTCCCTCTTTAAAAGTCACCCTCTTTGTGCTATTGTGACTCTCGAAGACAACACTTGACAAGCGAAACATTATTTTGAATGACTGACATCAGATTATATTCGTATAGTATAGCTATTCATAAAAGTGTGCGATCTCATCAATATGCTGATGACTATGGAGATCCAGCGATCGGACGTCAGTCAGCTATTACATTTTGTTCTACATATTGCCGCTTAAAGCATTATCATCTGAAAAAAGTGATCCTTTGTCGCAAAAAAACGGGCCGGAAAGTGTTCATGAAAAAACTAACACCGGATTTGAGATCCTCGACCTTGATTACCCTTCGGACAAAACTTACTGCTTTCAACTAGTATTTAGATAATTTTCAAGTAAAACGGACGGAAGGAAGAACATCAACTCGTTTTTTCTGTAATATCTGCTCGACGCATAACCCTCCTTTCAGTAGAGGGAATAAAATAAAGATAGAGTGATCAATCATATCATATAGAATAGATGTCTTTCGTTTTTGTCAATCAAATAGATTAGGTTACTGTTAAACAAAAGGATTGAATACAAATAGTCTCGAGTCGAGTGGATTAGTTTATCGATAATATTTCAAAATAAAACTGAAACAAGAGAGTGCCATTCTATGAATTGTTATACAGTGAGCATGTGCCAGTAAAACAATTCTTTGTGTATCAACAAATTCATTCATACTTAGTCGATGTCTATGGTGATTATATGCCTTCTTTTTGTCCATTTCTGGTAAAACTCTATTGAGAGATCTTAAATGCAGCGACTAAAATCAACTTCGGACTTATATCTCTTCGAAGTAGACCTCTTTCAACATTAATATTACTTCTCGATCAGATTTAACAACAAACGATATATTTACGAAAGCAAAAGCTCATTTTATCACATTTGATTCAAGGTGAAAGAAAAGATGAACAAACGTTCATGTTTTCCGATTACAACAACATCTCATCCTTCGTTTTTTGAACGGTTACGAACTCATTTAGATCCACTAGGACGAATAGACTTTTAGCATCCCGAACAGGTTAGGTTTAACCTCTCTGTAATACTTTTTTGCAGACAGAAGCGCGTTATGCAAATGAAAGCTGTTTCGATTTATTTCTTTCAGTTAAATTACGTCTTTAACTAAACACTTTCTTTTCACATTTTCAATATTTGCATAGCGACAATCGCATTCTCTACAGGCATGATTTTCTCGTTCTTTAGTTGTTATGCATAAAAAAGGTAACTCTGTGAATGCGGTAGAAAGAAGAAAGAACACAAAAGTTTACCAACGAAGTTACTCTTTTTATTGTGATTTAAGCAACACAGCATCAAAGCAGAGTGAGTGTAGACAATAACAACCAGGAGAACAATAATCAGAACTTTCAACACAGTAGACAATCGGTCGATCTTCAAAAGATGCAAGACGTCGTTGTGATCTGGCTCGACAATCAGATTGATGATAACAATGTCGATTGTCAGTTTACAATTGCACAACTTGAACACATTACTGACAATGTGACTACATTCACGGATAATGATGAATGTGTCGAATATATACTCAATTGTAATGACCATCAAGTCTATCTAATTGTTTCTGGTACACTTGGACAATACCTTGTGTGTTGTATCCACGACATTCCTCTATTACACTCGATTTTCATCTTTAGTCAAAACAAATCATATCATGAACAATGGGCTAAACATTGGAACAAGATCAAAGATGTTTTCACTGATATAACATCGCTCTGCCAAGCCATCCAGAACACGTTTCCCCAAGATGAGCCCACTATCACACCAATCAGTTTTGTACCATCTGGCAAAAGACTGGATCTGCTCAATCCATCTTTCATGTACACACAACTCTTCAAAGAGATCTTGTTAACGATCGAATTCGAAGACAAACACATCGAAGAGTTTGTCAAGCATTATCCTGGGCTAATAACCCTCGATGGTACACATTCTAATGATGTTAAACAATCAGTACGTGATTACCGTTCAAAGAAGCCCATCTGGTGGTATACAAGAGGTAATTCCTTGCATTCCATGCTCAACGATGCACTACGAATCATGGATGGTGATGTTCTTGTTCGAATGGGATTCTTCGTCACTGATCTTCACCGCAACATAGAACAGTTGCACAAAGAACAGTTTGTTAACACACCTTGGAGTTCTCTTGTATTTACAGTATATCGTGGCCAAGGTCTATCTCACACAGATTTTGAAGAACTAAGAAACACAATAGGCGGGTTGATGTCATTCAACAGCTTCTTCTCTACCAGTACGCAACGAGACGTCTCGTTTTCCTATGCGAAAAGTAACGCAGAAAATCCCAAGTTAGTAGGAATTCTGTTTACAATACAGATCGATCCTGCTCAGTCAACAACACCGTTTGTCTCAGTTGGGAATCATGGTTCTTTCTTACAAGAAAACGAAGTGTTGTTTTCAATGCACACCGTATTTCGTATTCATCACATCGAAGTCATTAGCCCTGATCGACCACTCTATGAAGTGAATATCTCGCTGACTCTTGATTCTGACGAAGAGTTACGCACACTGACTGATCATATTCGTCGCGAGAGTCATCTCGATGGTAAAGGTTGGACGCGATTAGGCCAACTGCTAATTCAGTTGGGTCAACATGACAAGGCTGAGGAGATTTATGATACTTTACTCACTCAAACATCAGATGACAGTGATGAGGGATTGATTTATCATCAAATTGGTCATATCCGATACCGACAAGGCTTGTTTCAGGAAGCCATAACATTCCATGCCAAATCACTTGTGCTTTCCGAAAAAACATTTCCCGCAAATCATCCTAATATAGCCACATCCTACAACAACATCGGCTTGGTGTATAAGAGTACAGGTGATTATCGAAAAGCACTCGAATACTATGAGAAAACTCTTTCGATTCAACAACAATCACTTCCTGCAAACCATCCTGATTTAGCCACATCCTACAACAACACCGGTTCGGTGTATGACAATATGGGTGATTATCGAAAAGCACTCGAATACTATGAGAAAACTCTTTCGATTCGACAACAATCACTTCCTGCAAACCATCCTGATTTAGCCACATCCTACAACAACACCGGTTCGGTGTATGACAATATGGGTGATTATCGAAAAGCACTCGAATACTATGAGAAAAGTCTTTCAATTCGACAACAATCACTTCCTGCAAACCATCCTAGTCTAGCCACATCCTACAGCAACATCGGTTCGGTGTATGACAATATGGATGATTATCGAAAAGCACTCGAATACTGTGAGAAAGCTCTTTCAATTCGACAACAATCACTTCCTGCAAACCATCCTAGTATAGCCACATCCTACAACAACATCGGCTTGGTGTATAACAATATGGGAGATTATCCAAAAGCTCACTTCTATTGTGAACGCGCTGTTCAAATTGCTAAGTGTTCAATGTCAGCAAATCATCCACATCTTTCAACGTTCGAAAGAAACCTGGAGTGCGTGGAAAATAAACTGCAGCACTCTTCTTTTCTTGCATAAGATAAATCATCTCTTTTTTCGAAATCATATGTCATGATGTAACTTTTTAGAGCGGCATTCTATCGTTATCTTTCCATTAGAATGCGCAGAGAGCCGTTCAATGAGAGAAGTAGCGATAAGTTGATACATTGAATGTCTTTAAATGCTAACCATTGGGATAATATGATTGATGTCAGGAAGGAGTAAATCTAACGGTTGGAATCGGCGACGTTTAACAATAATCGTATCCGAAGTTAATGTTGAAGCCACAGAGGCCGTTCTATAGACACGAGTTTGTTAAAGTTTCTATAGCAACTCTTGAGAATGAAAGAAATGAGCTCTTGGAAAGGTGAGGTCGGTAGACTTGCCTATGCGAATTCTACTGAAGGGAGGAAAAGCGAGAGTTCGTACTTGAAATACTAATTGAAGTAGATGAAGTCTTGCTTTTCCCCTTAGAATTGTCAGTGACTCGATGCTGAATGGAAAAGGACTTCTCGTTTCAGATGCGTTTGAATGCATCAACTATCGAAAACACGCATAAAGGTGCTAGGACGCATTTATTTTGTGTTTCGGAGTTGCGTGGCTTGTATTGTTCTACTTAAAAAAAAGCTATAATATGATCGAAAACAACGATCACATTGCTGAATCGTGAGCAGCTATAAAACATTCCATTGTTCCTTTTTCTGAAAGAAAGGGTTATAGAGTCATCTATAGTTATCAAAGATTGACCACTGATGAGGTAATCGAGGTCGAGCATCCCGAATCCGATGTTAATTTTCGCAAAACTAATTAGTTAATTAGCTAATGATTAGTTCTTGTATAGCCGAATAAGGGTTGATCGAAGGGTAAGCTGAATCCAAGATCTCGAATCTATTGTTAGTTTTATAATAAAAATATTCTGTGCTGTTTTTTAGACAAAGGAAGTTTTTTTAGGCGATATTGTTTGAAGCAGCAATATGTAGAACAAAACGAAATAGTTGATTAACGTCGGATTGTTGAATATTCATACACCCTCAGCACATTGGTAGCATCACAGTTATACAAATGGTTATATTACACAAACATTGTCTGATGCTAACCACTCAAAATAATACTCCTCTCTGACAAATGTTGTTTTGGACAGTCACAATGGCACAAAGTCGGTGATTCTTCAGAAGGGATTCTAAAGTAGATGAAAGAATAAAAGTTGGACATGAACGGCTAGTCGCGAGTGGCTGACCGACTAGATGTTGATTTAAAGAGTAATATTTTAAAGAACAAATTTTAGCGATGTTCATATATTTTCCAAAGCGGATTTCTTTTCGGATAACATCTTCATCCGAATGACATGAAAACGGCTAGTCGTAAGTGGCCGACGAACAACTAGGCGTTTATTTGAATTGCTTAGAGGAGATAAATTAAGTGAAAGTAAATTGATTTTTTATTTTGAGTAGTTTGAAGAGAGCCGATGAATAAATTTTTATAAACAGTGTTCGTTTTGTTTATGTCTTTGGACAAATAAATTGAAAGTGATCTGACATGAGTGAAGCATGAGAAAATGAAAGAATGAGCATAAAAGTGACTTCAATTCGAAGCCGATTAGATAGAGATCTAAGTGAGAGCTTTTATCGCCTAGTTTTCTGATATTTTCAGAAAAGGGTCAGCGAATCCAACGGATGAGCGCTATTTGTGTGTACATAAAGTTTGATTCCAGCTGATCGAGATTTTCATTGAAGGCCTCGTTTGTTGTTGTGAAAAAACTCATAGCAATAGAATCATGATTGTACTGTTTGAAACAACTGGAGAACGTGAAAGTTGTTTCCGACGTTCTTTTTTCGTCGTATTTCAGGTAATACAAAACTTCAAGTTTTTGTCATGAATCTACTATTGTACCCAAATTAAAATGATTACGAATGTTTTTGTATGAATCGCTCAAGAGCGGACACAGGTAACAATCTGCGATTTTCGACACTGAAACCAGTAAGTTTTTAGTAATAGCCAGGATATGATAAAGGTATCAACTATGTTCTTTCACCCTCAAGGTGATTGCTATGAACATTTATTGTTTCAAATTTATTTATTTCATTATAAAGACATTAAAAACTTGGCAGGTAACTTACATCACAAATTCAGGAAAAATATCTCACGTTGATCTATCTGCACCGAGAAAAACGCTCTAGTATGCATGAAATTACATAAATGTTTCCAAGCCAGCCCATGATCGGGCAAGAATATCGATGTCAGTTGCTTGATCGATAATACAGTCGACTTGTTCATCGACCGTTAACTGATGATATCGATTTGACCCGTATCGTACCAAAATTTGTGCACGCTTGTTCTCAGTTTGATCGCCACCGACAACTTTTTCCATATGGCGAAGTGCGTCTTTCAAAGCTGCTGGACGAAGATAATTATTCAATTTAAGATCCACACTAAAATACATGTCATGCACAGCAGTCGAATATGTAACTGATTATATGTACATACGCAGTAATCACAGCTGGATTGATTCCATTCAGTTTTAAACGAGCACTTCGAATACGATCTTTTGCATAGGCATCGTCCGAACGAATCGGACTTGATTCTAAAGCGATAAAGTGAAACAATTCTTAACGTATTATGTTGAACGTACCGCTCTGTGATACTTGTTTACTCGTTTTCAGCGCATGTTCCTAGAAATTAATCCGAATGAAAACAAGACATGTTGAACGATTGGCGAAAACGTACCACCCATTCCATTAGAGGTTCTTTAATAAAGACATTCATGGTACTTAATAATAAATCGGAATTCTCGCGTAATGCATTCATCGTATGGACCATTGTCGCACGAAAAAGACCAGCTGTACCCACTGGTGACATGAGTTCGGTCAACTGTCGAGTTAAACGAATTGGTATGAGTTCAGGAACAGGTAAATGCTAAACAATGAAAATTAGGAGTCGTTTTCCACCGAAATTGAAAGATTTATTTTCTTACAATCGTTGCAGCATTGAATGCAGAACCAAAATCAATGCCAATAACTTGTCCTGATGTTGTATCGATCAAAAAACTATACAGAAATTATACGTGTAAAAAAATTGAACTTCTATGTCAATCAATTTTACTTTGATTGATGTCGATCACCAATGCCTAATATGTAGTGACTTGTACACAAAATGGCATAACTGGTTATAAACTGTTGACGTAATGTATAGAATCCTTCATGTGAATTAGCCATCTTGTAATAGGCACGTCGGAGTAAATCACTGGGAATAACTGCTTGAACTTTATTGAATTCTTCACGAACTTCATTCTTTGTCAGAGAAACGAATAGTTCTGCATACATTAGAGTGTTACTTGTTGATTTCGCAGTTGGTTTCGCTCTTTGATATGCACCAGTCACATAATCTTGAAAGAGCTTTCTTGGGTGTTGACCTTGAGAAATAACATCTTGTTCAGCCTTTGTATAACATTCATCAATCAGTTCTTTCAAAGGACGTGTGTTATCCAGCCATTCAATCATTCCCAATTTCGATGACATTGGAATAACTAGAAGAACAGTACCTGATGAAAAGCAATCGATACAACCGATTATCACTCTTACCTTTATACGTTCGTATGCAAACATGTGATGCATTTGATTGATTACAATTTGGATCATTATCGTAGAGATCATTCATAATAGTGAACAGTGCTTGAATACGTTGATCTTGTCGTATGTCTTCGCCTCCTTTGACAAGAAATCGATAATCATTTTCGTCATGTCCACGTATGATTAAACGTTTCGGTAATCTTAACGAATGAAGAACTAAGATTTTCTCATCGAAACCAACAATTTTGATATGATGCTCCAATAGTGGTTTCTTTTTGCTTGTATATTGTCCGGGTATTTCGATTTCACGCGTCGATGGTGTACCGAGAGCTCGATGTTGTTGTCGAAATGTTAACGAAAACCATGTGGAATAATCGTTTATATTAGATTTGTCTTGGGATATTGATTTTAATTTTGTGCTAATTGACGATAGCACTATTTTCACATCGGTTAAGAGAACAGTAGAAAATAATTCACCTTGTTTACCAAACAATGTGTCGAGATCTTTTTCTACAGAATTTTTGAACTGACACCGTATGGATGTTAAACGAGTCTTTGACAAACGATGATCTGTTCCGTCATTGAACACACTGTCTTGCGATGTCATCGTAGTGCTCGCGTGTTCTTCATTCGTTTCATCGATACTGATCGCATCGGAAAAGAGAACATCTTTGAATTTCTTCAGATGAGTCTTAAGTTTCTCGATATCCCGTGTTTGAAGATCATTGGTCAGCAATTGATATAGTTCTTTGCACCAACTCTCAAGCTGTTGTTGAGGATTTAGTTGATTCAATGCTTGAATAAATTCATTGACAAGTGGAGTTTGCCGATCTACTTTGTGACGAATAATTTCAAGATTACGCTTTAATGTCGGATCAGCAATTGAGTATTGCAAAGTCTCATAACTTAGTTTAAACGGATAAACAATCGATTGCGGATAGGATTTTACTATTTGGTCAATTAATGGATACAGTTTTAAACTAAAATAAAGGAAAAATGAAAAAAAACACGTATTTTCAGGAGATTTCGATACGTACGCAATGGGTTTATCTAGGTGTGCTGTAATTTGATACAAACAATCGAAGAACATCCAGCATGGAATTTCTTGTAAACGGTTGGCGATCGATTCCAAAGTGTTCGGATACAATTCAACTATTTGTAGTATACGGGAGAAACGTTTGACACCTTCATTCGAGCCATATTTCATTGATGATAAGACTGAATGAATAATCAATTCCGCTATTTGTTTACCATTATGACCAGCAAATAAATGACGCATAGGATGCTGTGTATCATCTTCATTGTTTTCATATCGACGAAGATAATCATCGCAAAATTTCGCTAATTCATTATAATCACGACTAAGTACAGTTTCTTTTCCTGTACGATTCGTTTCTTGTTTTTCAATATTACTCTTCAAGATGTTTACACCTTTGTGAAATAATTCTTTGATCAGCGAGTCGGCTTTCTGCATTGTATTATTTTGATCGTCTAAACCATAGACATACATTTCTAATTGCCGATGCTTGGCTTGAGAGATCTTCTCATCATGCTCATAGTCACTATAAGCTTTCGGTTGTTCTAATAGATAATCAATTATAGTTCGACAAAATTGAGCATTTAACTGTATATATGTCGAGTTCAAGGTCGCACTCTGTTCGTCAGTAACTGGCATAGAATTGATTTTTAGTTCCAATTTTGTCAATTCTTTCGCAACGAGCGTTGATAACAAGTTCGCCAAATTCGATTGGGATTGATGGCGCTTTAAATGAGCATCACAATAGATTTCGTTCCAGTAGATGGATTTGATCAACGGATTTTGACATAAATCCAAACGATTACGCGTATCATTTAGTTTCGTCAGTGCTAATTTAAAATTTCGTTGACGTAACGCACAGTAGGCCATGTCAAGTGAAGATTGAACTTTGTAATCAATTAATAGCGGATCGAAGTCTGTTGCTTTCAATCGACTTGTGAAACTCATTCGCGGTCCACCAATTAAATCATCAAGAATCT